CTCCTAAACTGTGCTGAATTCTGCACGATCACTCTCCACATACAAGATTAGCACCTCCTTTCCAGCTCCAAACAGACCATAATCCAAAAGCAGCTATTTAAATAGAGGTTTCTTTTATGCTTAAATTTCTAAATAAAAGAAACATCAGGGCTGCTGATACTCTCCCCAGGTAAATCCAATTTGGAAGAAATGCCACTGCTCAAAAATCTGGGTGTGAGCTGAAGTCTGGGCTCGGGGAAGGCATTTGGGATTCTCCAGTCGTTCTCTATCTGGAGGGCCCTCCAGTGGCCAAAATCATACCTGGTATAAACAAAGACCACCCAACCAAGTGGTTACAACAAAGGCCGGGGTGGACGCTGCCCTGCATGTAAAATGCTGCTGTTAAGTCCCACGTTTTGCCCCACAGAGGTGTGTTTCATTTAAAGAGAGCTAAGAGTCTCTGTTCATGGAAGGGAGACATTATTTGCATTACAAAAGGACCCCTCCACTTGATTTTCAAAAAAAGAGGTGGGTTTGAACTCCATTAAATGACAACGCCCTCTAATTTCTTTAAGATTCTACTGAATTTGCAAAAAACAGATAGACATACAAATTTCCAGAAGGCTTCTGTGGCATAAAACACAGTGTATTTCTATTCTCTGTGTGCTACTTGGCCCACCCCACCCACATTTCCATCTCTGAAAAACATCATAAGCACTCGAACGAACCATAAAGCACAGGAGAAAGTGGAGGGCAGGGCACTTGGTGGTGAGGTCTGAAGGCTCTGTGCAAGGTCAAGGTCCTCTGTGCCCAGCGCTGCCTTTCTGGAGCGCTGTGAGAATACCAGGAGGCTGTTCCCACGTGACCCTCTGTACCTGGAGGTCACTGCTGGTGTTCTAGAAGAGTCCACAACAAGTTTTTCCAGAAGAAGGTCTGCTATGCATTAGCACGTCATGTCTGTCCGGCAGGCTTCAGTTTCTTCTGGTGTAAAATGAAGGGGTGATTATGCAAACTGGACACAGAATTCTAGAACTTAGGGTTCCCAGCCAGTAAACAAGTCTTGCTCTGCAGAAGTACTGGGAAGGAAAAGGAGGGAGAAGGAAGGGACACTTTCTCCCACAGTCCCTTCAGTCCTTCTGACCCCCACCCAGCACCCCACCCCAGCACATGAGCAGCAGCCCCACCGAATTGCCTCCTGCCACAGACCACAATCTTCACAGGCCCACGTTCACCCCACTCCCCAGTAGGCGCATTCCGAGGTGGCCCAGGTCTAATGCTGATTCCACCCTGACACCTCACCCACCTTCCCCGGACTTAAGGCTCTTTGACCCCCTTTAGGTTCCACAGGGTTGTCCCCCTGCCTCTGTCATAGCCCTTGGCAAAGCTGGTGCCCTCTGGCTGAGGGTTGTGGGTGGCCTGGTGCCTCCCCTTGTCTCGCATCCCCGGTGCTTAGCATGGGCACAGCTGAGTGGATGTGGGATAAGGGGCTACTGCCTAGGGATGGGCAGAGTGGTTGAGGCCAGTGATCCCTCCCCCAGGACTGCCCTCCTCCAGGGCCGTAGCCTGCAGCTGTCTGTTGCCAGGAAAGCAGAATGGGGGTCACCCCTCCACAGAGTGTGGTGGTGATGAAGGGGACATCCTTTCCGCCCCGTTGCCTACCTCCCAATCAGGCACCCACCGTCAACCAGACACCACACCCCACCTTTGTGTCACAGTGACCTGAGCTCTCCCTGTACTAGCAGCACAAGCAGAAACAGCAGACATTCCGGAGCAGCAGGTATCTGACCAGACTCTGGGCTACGGCTGGGCACAGCGCCACCTAGTCCTCGCTCAGCCGAATGGAGAGAGGAACCTACAGCCACTCCTCCCTGTCGCCATTCCCTGCTCGGGCTGGACTAATCTAGCCCAAAATGTGTCCGCAAAACCCTCTTACTGAGGAAATGAAGGGAGTCGGCCTGCAGCTGCAGGAAAGACAAAAGGAGGCACCCCCAGGTAAGGTTCAGAGCCACATCATTCGATATGCACCAATCCAATGTGTCTAATAACCTAAGTAGAGCCTCACAGCCACCCTGTGAGGTAGGTGCTAAAGGGTCCTTATTTTCAGGCAATGAAACTGCAGTGCAAAAAGGGTGAGACACCCAGAGTCACCAGCTCCCCAGCCAGGATTCAAACTCAGGCCATGATCCCAGAGCCCAGACCCTTGGCTACATGGGACTCTGCATGAAAAGGATGCTAAAATCTGCATGAAAGGCAGCCTGGCACAGAGGAGCGCACTGCAGACTTCAGTCACGATTCCTCCCTGCAGGATTGGACAGGACCAAGCACACCCTCCCAGATCTCTCTCCTTGGTGCGGAGTGTTCCGGATCCCCAGCTGCCCTCTGGCTTGCCCCAGGCTCCTCGACTTTGGGAGATGCCTGAAATATGGGTGCTACTTTGCAACCTCTTCTCACTCCTGACACAGGTCTCCCCAGTCCCTCTAATCACCACCATCCCAGATGCGCATACCCAGCAAACATCTCCAGCCCAGCTCTGCCTCTAAGCTCCAGAAACTGTCTCGACGGCCCTCTCACACGTCCAATACTCCTTTCCAAACTGTTGTCATTTTTGTTTCCCCATAACCTTCATCACCTTCGAACACACTAGGCCACTGGGTAATCTCTTGGATCTATTATTTATTTTGTCACCCCCTGCCCGAGCCAAAGCTCCCCCAAAACAGGTGATTTGTTTGTTTTGTTCACTGAAGCATCTCCAGCACCTGGAGAGGGCCTGGCACATAGTAGTCACTCAATAAAAGTTTGTTACATCAGAGAAGCTGGCTGTTAACTAGTCACCTCTGCTTGGTTGTGCCCCTAGCCCTTCAAACTCAACATGAGCAAGAGAGAATTCACTAACCTGCCCAGCCTGTGTACCTCCTGGTGTAGAGCATTGGTCAACCACACAACGTTACAGGCTGGGAATAGCAAATCTGCCCTGCACCTTGCTCCCCTGCCAGGCCCCTCTCTTAGTGGGGCAGCACTAGCTGTGTCGGGTCCTCTGCGATGATGAACTCCAGTGTCTCCGAGCCCCTGGAAATCCCTCACCATTGTATGGAGGAGATCTCCTAAATGAAACAATTTTGAGCAATGGTGTGAGACCGGATAAGGTAATACATGGCACAAATAGTGGTGAAGGCAGAAAAATGATCTGCAGGAGAAATCAGCCAGTGCTGAAATTACCACTGTCAATGCTCTCTCTTTCCTTGGAAGCTATGTTCCCAGGGCACCTTCCCGTTTGAAAGCACTTGCCCACCTCTCTTTCAGACTTCCTGGTGCTGGGTGGTGTCAACTTTAGCTGTCACTCCATCTCATGAACAAGGAAACCATGGCACCGGAGAGACTGGCTGTGTGTCTCCTTGGTCACATAGCCAGAATCACAGAACCAGGCTGCCTCCTCAGCCCATATGCCTTCCTCCGTCCTTCCCTCAGGGCTACACCCCTCTAACCCGGCCCTCTACCCAAGCTGACTTTTTTTGTTTTCTAACTTTTCATTGGTTTTACTTTTACCTCTACATGGCAAAATCACTAGCTGCCCGGCCAGTACATACTGCCTACTTCTTCCCATGAAAGCCCTCTGTCATTCCAAGCGGCAATGAGCCAGGCTGAAAGAACTACGTTTCCCAGACTCCTTGCAGAGAACGGTGGCTAATGAAACCTAACTGTACGCTGCTCGGTGGGCATTCTAATAAAACTCGAAAAGGAGCCAGTGCAGCTGTCAGTTTCTCTTCTGCTCCTGCCTCTTGCCCTTACTTGATGCCTGGACATTGGGCTTGATGGCTGGAATGGGAGCTCATGCAGACTGCAGACATGAGGGGTGCAAAGGAAGAAAGCCATGCAGAGGACTGCTGAGCAGAAAGGTGGGAAGATCCTGGATCTTTAATGGCTGGAGCCTCTGCAGCAAACACACACACAGCCCCTCTCATTTAGAACCACTGCCATACGGGTTTTAGATGATATGCAGCTGAACTTCACGCTAACTGATTCATGCTTGGAGAGCAGGGGAACCCATCCCTTCATCCATCCAACTGATTTACTGAGTGTTCAAGGCTCAGTGGAAATACAGCAAAGGAGGAGCTCCAATTGGGAAGACTCTGTTTTCTGTTTCTTCACCCTGACCCTGCTCCAAACCTCACCCACAATCCTGGGTGACAAACAGGGTTTTGTTCCACAACAGCCCAGCCACTTTTGGTGAGATCACCAGTCTTCACTTGGGCACTCTCCCCTCCAGGCTTACAGCCCCGAGGACAAGGCTGACTTGTGGCTCCTGAGATGCAGAGGTCATGGATTTTGCAGCCCCTCCCACTGGGTGACTGTCGGAGCCATTTCTGGCCCACGTACCTTCATGCGAAGAGCAGACTCACTTGAGCTTGGAATGCCTTCAAAGGAAGGATGGGCCCTCAAGGACTGCCTCAGTCTGGATCTTATTCAGAAAGCTTGCTACATCTTGGAAATCATGTCCATTCACTCTAAAGTGTTCAATGTATCATCAGATTTTGTGGCCTTAAGAAATATTAAAGGTCATAGAGTAATATATCACAAATCTCTCTCATACAAGGAAGTCACATAAATCTCTGGGCTCACTCTCCCATCCAGGTCTTGCTGTTGGCCCTAAGCCACAATTGCCCTGTCTTCTCCTCTCTCTGCCTTCCCCTAAAACCTCTAAGGCTCTGAACACAGGAAGCATTCAAAGAGCAAATGTTGATTCCATATAACAGACCATCCATCAACCAGTGTAGTGGGGTTAATGAACCTCTGGGTCAGACAGACCTGGCTCAAAAACGGGCTTTATCTTCTTATATGTAAAATGGGATGATTACATTTATTTCAAAGGAATTTTAATATTAAATGAGATGGTAGTGCCTGGTACATCATCAGCCCTCAGTACATAGGGGATATTATCCACTTTTTCACCCACCCACCCAACAAGCTTTTTCAACAGTATAGTTAAGTGTGGGTAACAGAAAAGAAGCAGGCAACATGGCCATTCGTTTTAGAGAATTTAGTTTTGCCATCGAAAATAGACATTACAGGTAATTTTACCAAGGGAGAAGGTGGATTGTCAAAGTGCTCCAATAGCCGTGGATCGCTGCAATCAAATAAATACTCCAATGAATCCTTCAGTGTGATTTGTTTATTTCAGCAGTAAACTGTACCATGCCTTAAGGCCATGGGTATATATGTCATTCCTTCACAGACCCCTATCTGGGAGATCAGCGGAAAAGAGCTGTAAATGAAGAATGGCAAGCGGCGAGGGGCTGCCTGGACCCACGGGGGCGTTGCTTACTTTCTGTCCTGCAGGGCCTCTGTGACAGAAGTTGACAAACACAAGCATTCAAGGAAGGACTGGACTGAGATCCACGGGCCTCTGGGGAACAATACTACATTCACATCGACAGGCCGTGTGGGCGTGAGGACGCAGCTGTTTGCACTAGTGTTTCCAGGGCTGTCAAGAAGACGAGGCCAGGGGACCGAATCCCACTCGGGGGATGACAGCCAGGAGGAAAAATAACAACTTGGTAATTTATATTTTAGAGGCTCGTTTTCAGTAAGAATTAGTAGGACTTGCAGCAAACAGGACAAAGTGGTTGAGGCAGATGTATCATTACCTCTGTGAAAGGAGGGAACTGAGAAGCCCTGGGGAAATCTTAAAAGGTAGGTCATTCAAAAATTTATTCTCTATGTGTGTTTTGTAAAGATTGCCTACTTTTTGTACATTTTGCTGAAGTTAGGACAATCGCCTTTCATTGCTTGAGTATGAAAAAAAGTCTAGCGTTAGGTTTTAAAATGGTATTTGGGCACTAGGATGCTTCCATCCACCCCTCCTTCCCTTTGAGGAAGTCTACATATGAGAAACAGGAGCCAAAAGAAAACAAGGTATCAGAGTAATAAAATCTGGGTGAGCAGCCAGTGACACACTTATCCACCCCACATAGGGTTTCTCATAGAAGCTGAACTGGACCTCGCTACCTAGGCTCAGGGTGACGGTGGGAGCCACTGGCCAGGCTGGACTTCAGGTGTTTACTGTTAAGACGGATAAGTTCACTGACCGACACCCTCAGCCTCGGTTCCCTCTTTTATAAAGTCACTTATACCATCTATATAAGGCTCAAAATGGCCCTGCAACCCTGAGGTGTTATTCTGCATTGCTCCAGAAGGCAAGAATCACTGTCTTATTCCACATTATTCTCCCAAAGGCTAATATAATAATGGCCCTGCCCCAGAGGAAGCGTTGCAGTAAGTGCGTCCTGAATGAAGGTTGCTGTGGGATCCTTGCATCAGGTGCCTTACTGACCACGGCATTTTGAATCTTGAGACCTGACATGCATCTTTAATTTCTTCGGGCACTGCCTCAGTCCTTAGAGTTCTCTTCTTCCTCCTTGATACCTCTCCATCCCACAGGCTTCAGACGTTTGTAAGAGACTCCAAATAGGGGGCTCGGCACCTATTCACATATAGTCAGCATATTCTACCCTTGTGCTCTAGCATATCTATGTGCTGTAATTTAATACTTAGGGAAACTGTTTCGACATTTAACACATGCCCTGCCCAGCTGAAAAGGGGAAAGTTCTCACCATCCAATAGGAAATAGCTCCAAAGCTCTTTCCAGTTCCTTCTTTTCCACCCCCATCACATGCAGGCAAACTGATCCCACCACCTGGCCTCCAGCAATACTTAGAGCACCCCCTCCTCCTCCTTAGAGTTCAGATACATCCTTCTTGGCTGGTCAGGTTACTTTTGTACCAAACGTGATTAATTAACAACCATGACTGTGACCCATCTTCTGCTTACGTGTGTGTCCTATGCTCTCTTAGGTCTCCTTCTGCGCTGTTTCCTTTGGTGTGACGCATCGATAGCTGTTCCTTTCCTGTTCTGAGTAGCCAAAGACTAAATGGGGAAACATGGGTGAGCCAGAGATAAGCGACTCAAATAGATCCCGAGTTTCCTTAGTGTGGAAGATGAGACAAGAAGCACTTGACTATTACGATAGGTAGAAATGCAGCTAGTGGCAGAGGGACAGTTCTCTGGTTCCACCAGTCTTTCAGAGTAAATCTGTATCAGAACTGCTGATAGGGACAAAGGAAAAGAGGGTATCACTCTGCTTCTGGGATCCAAATTCACATCCGCCTTTGCAGTTGGAACCAGGATGTAACAGAAATAGAGGCTTGGTAAATTCCTCTACACTGACTCGGTCATGATTATGACAACGGAATAGTAACCAGATGCGACTGCTCATACAGACTAAAGTGATAAAAAGGACACACACCAAATGATAACAGTTGTTATCTCTGGGATGACTAGGAAATCTCATTTTCTTCCTGGTGTTTTTATATTCCCCAAATTTCTATAGTGGGTACTAATTCCTTTTTCAATCCCCCAAATAAAACATTATTCAGAAAGGTAAACTGGCTGGTTAAAATAGATTCCACATGTATACACCTACATCAGGCCATCCGAAGGGCCACTTGGAGCAGCTGGTGAAATAATGAAAAGCGCAGGCTCTGGGGCCAGGCTACTTGGGGCCACATCTCAGTTCTGCCTCCAACTAGCTGTTCTGACCTTGGGCAAATTCCTTAACCTTTCTTTGATTCAGTTTTCTTATCTAATAACATGAGAATAATATCCTCCTTAAAGGACTGTAGTGAGGATTAAATGAGTTAAAATATAAGAAACCCTCAGAACAAAGCCTGGCATGTAGCAATTACGTAATTGCTGTTATTACAAAACTACCATTGCTGAAAATGTATTGGGACCACCTTTTGGGAGCCTCGTACTCAGATTCTTAAGCACATTCCCTTAAATCACCTCAATGCAGATACAATTTCCTCCTCTGAAGATGGGCTAATTCTTGGGAGCAGTCAAGCTGTTATTATTCAGGAAGGTAAACTGGCAAAGTTAGTGCAAAGTAAGGCAAGCTGATGAAGTCGTAAGCTCAATCTTGTATCGTTCATCTATTGTCTATGAAGAAATCCATAAAACACACGTGCTCACAGATACACACAGGGCTCGGCACCATCTAGGGCCTGACCAATACTGGGATATCAATAGGTTCTGCTGCTGCTAGAGAGAGACTGAAAGTTAAATTTTAACTATGAGACGTCTTCATTCAATCCATCTTCATTCAATCCACCAAAGGGCAAATTTCCTACGCTAATTCACATTTAAATCCAAGCCTTTTTTTCTTCCTCAAAGTTTGCTGATGCCAAGCTTTAAGTATGAAATGTCACTGTTTTCACAGAAATATTCCCAAACATTACCAGTTGTCATTTATGCGTTAAATAGGGTTGCGACACTACAATGATAACATTAACATTTTTAAAAGCATTAATACCATTATTCTTCTACAGATTATTGCAGGCTCAAATTACCTTACACATAGCTTTAAAAGAAAATTAATGGGGGCACAGGCATCCAAGCCAGTTAGGGCTGGAGGGAAAGAATGGCAGCCACCTCCTTTAGCTGAGACCCTGATGGTCTGGTCCTAGCCCAGTTACTCCCCCAAGGAACATGTTACAGTGATGTGCCCTACCAAGTACATAAATAAAGGTGAGTAAAATGCGTGTTAAACATTCATGTGCCAAGATGCAAAGGATTCTGATAAAATCTAACCAGGCTGTTGAAAAAGAAAAGAACCTTCAGTGTTCCTAATTACTGAATCCTTTACACAAACATTTTCCAATAATAAAAAAAAAAGACTCCATTGATCAAGCATCAGTCGGGAATACTGTGTTCCACATAAATGATTCTGCAAAGAAATTTAAGTATACTTCACTGTTTCCAAAGGCCATTTTTAATCTTTCTGGTGGAAATCCTTTAAATGTATTGCCTGTGCACCCCTGAATTCCCTAAACAGCCAGTATTACTATGATGGCCCTCTAAGACTGTACCACAAGGACAAAGAAACACGGAGGGGGTAAGAACACAGACTTAAAAAGAATGGAATAAATCTAGGTTTGAATTTTGACTCTGTACTTAGTACATGTGAGATCTTGGAGAGGTTACACTCTCTTATGACTAATTTTCCTATCTTTTAACACAGTTAAATACTTAAATCACAGGATCATTTTCAGCATTAAAAAAAATGTTCATAGAGTATTTAGTACAGTGACTGGCAAAGAATAGGGGCTCAATAGAAGGGACCTATTCTCATTCTAGTTGACTGGGCTACCTCACGTGTAGGACCCTGTCCCTATGGGGCTATCGGGCCCATGCTAAACGGCCCCACCTTGTCTGGAGTGCTTCTACCCCTAGGTTTTCTGTAGTCTAACTACAGAGTGCTTACCTTTTCTCTCATTGTCAGGGTGTCTACCTTTATCAGTCTCTTTCCAGTTCTCATTGACTGTGGGCTGTGAATGACATACTAACAGCTGACAGATGTAGTCAGAATCTGGGGGCTCCACGGAGGAGTCCCCTAGGACTCCCAAGCAGTGTCCTCCCAGAGTGAAACCTTAAAGTCCACATATAATAGACAGAATAATCTTACAGACGCAATAGCTCTCAAGCCAGGAAGATTTCACTGTAGCCAGTCAGAACGTGTTAGCCTTAGCTATAGAATGTTCTAGTGAGGCGGGGGAGTGTGCCCAGTCCAAAAACACAGGTAGAGATGAGCCAGGACAGCAGAAATGAGCAGTGCCACAGCCCCGTCCAGGGGAGCCTTTCGTGAAGGGACTTCAAGGATGAAGATCTTCTGGAATAGAAATGGGCACAGGAAGTTGCACCCTGAAGGTCTCAAATGCTAAGTTCCTATGGAGCAGATCATTCCTGTAGAGGGGTGTCAATCATTCGTTTGTTCATTCAGTATTTACTGGGCAGCCACTATCCTCACCTGGACATGTCTGTGTCCATACTCACCAGGCAGGTTCTGGTTGTGACTGGCTTCCTGGGTACATCTCCCTACAGGGGGACATGGTACTGGCCATGCTAACATTCTAAACGACAGGACTATTTCCTGTGATGATTTAAAAATGGGCATTATCTTGATGCCTGTCAAGTCTCGTGAGTTTGGTTAAAGTCCATTTGCCCACAGGAGATGAACGCACTGATGTGTGTTGACAAGTCATCTAAGTTTGAAACCTCCAGGCTAAGCCATACCAGGTAAATACTCCCAGGTGGTAGGTGTCCCTTGGGATTTCTCTGAGTGCAATGTGTTGGACTGTGTTCTTTATGACACTGAATGGTGACAGGAGACAGTGTGGCACAATGATACAGAACAGGATCTGGGGTCAGAAGTACCTGGCATCGAAGGCTGGTTTTGCCATTTACTCTCTGGTTTCCTCTAAGCAAGTTACTGAGCCTCTCAGAGCCTCTGTTTCCTCATCTACAAAATAGGGTAACACTTCAGTTTCATTTGGACTCAATATTTAAACAAAAGCAGCAAGAAGATCTGTTCAATTAAAAGCAGCTGCCCCCCTCCAGTTCCCACCCCCTCTCCAGTCCGGACTTACAAGTCCATCTGCCACTCATTTGCTCATCAGAGAAACGTGCAGTTTCTTCCCAGGACTTCCCTGCTCACGGAAACCTCTTAAAAGTGCTCTTTGACACACAGCTTGTCATACAACAGCGCATTCTTCTCTTAGATCTGAAAATTGCCTTCTTAGCAAATTGCCTCTCAGCAAAATGTAGCTACAGCTGTAAGGGAGCCTCTTTCGTCACTGCGCCTGTGGAATAATTCTATTTACTTCAAAACCACCATCACAAACATCTCCCACTCCTCAGTCAACACAAAGACATCGTGTTCTGCAAGGACCCACCACCCGAGACCAGCTTGTTAAGAATGAAATTGTTCCGGATCTCAGTGTTTTCTCATCTAGGAAATAAACATCTTTTTAAAACACACACCTCAAATGGTGTTTGGAGACCTGTAGGAACCGTCTTTATTGCACTCCACAACTCAAGACGTGCATAGAAAGAGGATTTTCAAAGCAGTGTTTTCTTGACCCAGTTAAATTTTTATTTGGTGAAAAAGTTGACATTGAAATTATCTTAAAATTGTGCAACGATATAGTAAAATCTTCAGCATAAATCAGGGATTTGGGAAACGTATCAAGGCAACTGAAATCATAAATACCTAATCTCACTTGGGAGAGAAACAAGTGTGCAGTGTTTCACTTTTAAATAAGAGCAGAGTAGGCTTTCATTTTGCTACAAATACTTCTGATTTTTGCCTAAGGTTTCTAGTAATTCATAACAAGAGTCTTTCAGTGAGAAATGACATGGAATATCCGAGAGCAGTGTTCCACTTCGGCACTCATAGTTAGTTGCTCCATTTGAGCTAATACACATGAAACTAACACCATTCTTGAGTTACTTGGCCCTGATGATTTAATTCATAATATGGCTGCTCAAAATGAGTGGGTGGAAATAAATACACAACCTATCCTCCCTCAACCCATGTTCAGCGGTGGTACCCGTCCTGAAACCATGCGTCTTGTCCACATACCCAACACTCCATATCTCTTGCTATCTACTCCATATCTCAGTCTTGCATAGAAAGTAGTCTATATAAACTTAATGCACTGGCTTTTATTACACAAAAATTGTACCTGAAAGGCAGCACACACTCCAGTTAAGAAAAGTAACATAATAGGAATGTCAAGATACAATCCCAATACAAGTGAAGATTCCGCACAGAGTTTTAGAGTCAGTTCCTAAGATCAATGTGGGGGTGGTATTCGGTTTGCTTCCATCTCTCGGTCCCTGTTCTGAGGGACCTCCCAACTCTTTGCCCAAAGAAGAAAACAATCTTCTCAGGGATTACGTGTGTGTCCTATGCTCTCTTAGGTCTCCTTCTGCGCTGTTTCCTTTGGTGTGACGCATCGATAGCTGTTCCTTTCCTGTTCTGAGTAGCCAAAGACTAAATGGGGAAACATGGGTGAGCCAGAGATAAGCGACTCAAATAGATCCCGAGTTTCCTTAGTGTGGAAGATGAGACAAGAAGCACTTGACTATTACGATAGGTAGAAATGCAGCTAGTGGCAGAGGGACAGTTCTCTGGTTCCACCAGTCTTTCAGAGTAAATCTGTATCAGAACTGCTGATAGGGACAAAGGAAAAGAGGGTATCACTCTGCTTCTGGGATCCAAATTCACATCCGCCTTTGCAGTTGGAACCAGGATGTAACAGAAATAGAGGCTTGGTAAATTCCTCTACACTGACTCGGTCATGATTATGACAACGGAATAGTAACCAGATGCGACTGCTCATACAGACTAAAGTGATAAAAAGGACACACACCAAATGATAACAGTTGTTATCTCTGGGATGACTAGGAAATCTCATTTTCTTCCTGGTGTTTTTATATTCCCCAAATTTCTATAGTGGGTACTAATTCCTTTTTCAATCCCCCAAATAAAACATTATTCAGAAAGGTAAACTGGCTGGTTAAAATAGATTCCACATGTATACACCTACATCAGGCCATCCGAAGGGCCACTTGGAGCAGCTGGTGAAATAATGAAAAGCGCAGGCTCTGGGGCCAGGCTACTTGGGGCCACATCTCAGTTCTGCCTCCAACTAGCTGTTCTGACCTTGGGCAAATTCCTTAACCTTTCTTTGATTCAGTTTTCTTATCTAATAACATGAGAATAATATCCTCCTTAAAGGACTGTAGTGAGGATTAAATGAGTTAAAATATAAGAAACCCTCAGAACAAAGCCTGGCATGTAGCAATTACGTAATTGCTGTTATTACAAAACTACCATTGCTGAAAATGTATTGGGACCACCTTTTGGGAGCCTCGTACTCAGATTCTTAAGCACATTCCCTTAAATCACCTCAATGCAGATACAATTTCCTCCTCTGAAGATGGGCTAATTCTTGGGAGCAGTCAAGCTGTTATTATTCAGGAAGGTAAACTGGCAAAGTTAGTGCAAAGTAAGGCAAGCTGATGAAGTCGTAAGCTCAATCTTGTATCGTTCATCTATTGTCTATGAAGAAATCCATAAAACACACGTGCTCACAGATACACACAGGGCTCGGCACCATCTAGGGCCTGACCAATACTGGGATATCAATAGGTTCTGCTGCTGCTAGAGAGAGACTGAAAGTTAAATTTTAACTATGAGACGTCTTCATTCAATCCATCTTCATTCAATCCACCAAAGGGCAAATTTCCTACGCTAATTCACATTTAAATCCAAGCCTTTTTTTCTTCCTCAAAGTTTGCTGATGCCAAGCTTTAAGTATGAAATGTCACTGTTTTCACAGAAATATTCCCAAACATTACCAGTTGTCATTTATGCGTTAAATAGGGTTGCGACACTACAATGATAACATTAACATTTTTAAAAGCATTAATACCATTATTCTTCTACAGATTATTGCAGGCTCAAATTACCTTACACATAGCTTTAAAAGAAAATTAATGGGGGCACAGGCATCCAAGCCAGTTAGGGCTGGAGGGAAAGAATGGCAGCCACCTCCTTTAGCTGAGACCCTGATGGTCTGGTCCTAGCCCAGTTACTCCCCCAAGGAACATGTTACAGTGATGTGCCCTACCAAGTACATAAATAAAGGTGAGTAAAATGCGTGTTAAACATTCATGTGCCAAGATGCAAAGGATTCTGATAAAATCTAACCAGGCTGTTGAAAAAGAAAAGAACCTTCAGTGTTCCTAATTACTGAATCCTTTACACAAACATTTTCCAATAATAAAAAAAAAAGACTCCATTGATCAAGCATCAGTCGGGAATACTGTGTTCCACATAAATGATTCTGCAAAGAAATTTAAGTATACTTCACTGTTTCCAAAGGCCATTTTTAATCTTTCTGGTGGAAATCCTTTAAATGTATTGCCTGTGCACCCCTGAATTCCCTAAACAGCCAGTATTACTATGATGGCCCTCTAAGACTGTACCACAAGGACAAAGAAACACGGAGGGGGTAAGAACACAGACTTAAAAAGAATGGAATAAATCTAGGTTTGAATTTTGACTCTGTACTTAGTACATGTGAGATCTTGGAGAGGTTACACTCTCTTATGACTAATTTTCCTATCTTTTAACACAGTTAAATACTTAAATCACAGGATCATTTTCAGCATTAAAAAAAATGTTCATAGAGTATTTAGTACAGTGACTGGCAAAGAATAGGGGCTCAATAGAAGGGACCTATTCTCATTCTAGTTGACTGGGCTACCTCACGTGTAGGACCCTGTCCCTATGGGGCTATCGGGCCCATGCTAAACGGCCCCACCTTGTCTGGAGTGCTTCTACCCCTAGGTTTTCTGTAGTCTAACTACAGAGTGCTTACCTTTTCTCTCATTGTCAGGGTGTCTACCTTTATCAGTCTCTTTCCAGTTCTCATTGACTGTGGGCTGTGAATGACATACTAACAGCTGACAGATGTAGTCAGAATCTGGGGGCTCCACGGAGGAGTCCCCTAGGACTCCCAAGCAGTGTCCTCCCAGAGTGAAACCTTAAAGTCCACATATAATAGACAGAATAATCTTACAGACGCAATAGCTCTCAAGCCAGGAAGATTTCACTGTAGCCAGTCAGAACGTGTTAGCCTTAGCTATAGAATGTTCTAGTGAGGCGGGGGAGTGTGCCCAGTCCAAAAACACAGGTAGAGATGAGCCAGGACAGCAGAAATGAGCAGTGCCACAGCCCCGTCCAGGGGAGCCTTTCGTGAAGGGACTTCAAGGATGAAGATCTTCTGGAATAGAAATGGGCACAGGAAGTTGCACCCTGAAGGTCTCAAATGCTAAGTTCCTATGGAGCAGATCATTCCTGTAGAGGGGTGTCAATCATTCGTTTGTTCATTCAGTATTTACTGGGCAGCCACTATCCTCACCTGGACATGTCTGTGTCCATACTCACCAGGCAGGTTCTGGTTGTGACTGGCTTCCTGGGTACATCTCCCTACAGGGGGACATGGTACTGGCCATGCTAACATTCTAAACGACAGGACTATTTCCTGTGATGATTTAAAAATGGGCATTATCTTGATGCCTGTCAAGTCTCGTGAGTTTGGTTAAAGTCCATTTGCCCACAGGAGATGAACGCACTGATGTGTGTTGACAAGTCATCTAAGTTTGAAACCTCCAGGCTAAGCCATACCAGGTAAATACTCCCAGGTGGTAGGTGTCCCTTGGGATTTCTCTGAGTGCAATGTGTTGGACTGTGTTCTTTATGACACTGAATGGTGACAGGAGACAGTGTGGCACAATGATACAGAACAGGATCTGGGGTCAGAAGTACCTGGCATCGAAGGCTGGTTTTGCCATTTACTCTCTGGTTTCCTCTAAGCAAGTTACTGAGCCTCTCAGAGCCTCTGTTTCCTCATCTACAAAATAGGGTAACACTTCAGTTTCATTTGGACTCAATATTTAAACAAAAGCAGCAAGAAGATCTGTTCAATTAAAAGCAGCTGCCCCCCTCCAGTTCCCACCCCCTCTCCAGTCCGGACTTACAAGTCCATCTGCCACTCATTTGCTCATCAGAGAAACGTGCAGTTTCTTCCCAGGACTTCCCTGCTCACGGAAACCTCTTAAAAGTGCTCTTTGACACACAGCTTGTCATACAACAGCGCATTCTTCTCTTAGATCTGAAAATTGCCTTCTTAGCAAATTGCCTCTCAGCAAAATGTAGCTACAGCTGTAAGGGAGCCTCTTTCGTCACTGCGCCTGTGGAATAATTCTATTTACTTCAAAACCACCATCACAAACATCTCCCACTCCTCAGTCAACACAAAGACATCGTGTTCTGCAAGGACCCACCACCCGAGACCAGCTTGTTAAGAATGAAATTGTTCCGGATCTCAGTGTTTTCTCATCTAGGAAATAAACATCTTTTTAAAACACACACCTCAAATGGTGTTTGGAGACCTGTAGGAACCGTCTTTATTGCACTCCACAACTCAAGACGTGCATAGAAAGAGGATTTTCAAAGCAGTGTTTTCTTGACCCAGTTAAATTTTTATTTGGTGAAAAAGTTGACATTGAAATTATCTTAAAATTGTGCAACGATATAGTAAAATCTTCAGCATAAATCAGGGATTTGGGAAACGTATCAAGGCAACTGAAATCATAAATACCTAATCTCACTTGGGAGAGAAACAAGTGTGCAGTGTTTCACTTTTAAATAAGAGCAGAGTAGGCTTTCATTTTGCTACAAATACTTCTGATTTTTGCCTAAGGTTTCTAGTAATTCATAACAAGAGTCTTTCAGTGAGAAATGACATGGAATATCCGAGAGCAGTGTTCCACTTCGGCACTCATAGTTAGTTGCTCCATTTGAGCTAATACACATGAAACTAACACCATTCTTGAGTTACTTGGCCCTGATGATTTAATTCATAATATGGCTGCTCAAAATGAGTGGGTGGAAATAAATACACAACCTATCCTCCCTCAACCCATGTTCAGCGGTGGTACCCGTCCTGAAACCATGCGTCTTGTCCACATACCCAACACTCCATATCTCTTGCTATCTACTCCATATCTCAGTCTTGCATAGAAAGTAGTCTATATAAACTTAATGCACTGGCTTTTATTACACAAAAATTGTACCTGAAAGGCAGCACACACTCCAGTTAAGAAAAGTAACATAATAGGAATGTCAAGATACAATCCCAATACAAGTGGAGATTCCGCACAGAGTTTTAGAGTCAGTTCCTAAGATCAATGTGGGGGTGGTATTCGGTTTGCTTCCATCTCTCGGTCCCTGTTCTGAGGGACCTCCCAACTCTTTGCCCAAAGAAGAAAACAATCTTCTCAGGGATTCACCATGACTCTCTTCATAGGAAAAGGACCCACCTAACAGAGCAGGGTGTGGTTTTTACCCTTAAGGAAGTGCAGAGAATATCATCTTACTAGGTGAATCGACCACCGGGTGGACATTTGAAGGCAGGATTCTCCACGGGGAAATGGGTGATTATCCATGAGAACATCACCCATACCTTCAGTCTCTCTGGTTCCCCCAAAAGGCCACTGGCTTGAGAATGGTTACATTCCTTCCACTGCTGAGTTATAAAAATCTAGCGGGCCACAGCAAGGGCAAGAGGGAACATGCAGCTTTGTGAATTGTGCCTGTCCCACCGTAATATCCCCGGTGATGCTCCCAGAGATGGATGCCCAGGAACCACTCATACCCAAGTCAGGCGTGTCACCCAGTTACCCAGCACTGAACTATTTGCCCAGGCTGCCAGGGTGGCCAGGAGTTACTGGAGCTTCTCAGCTGTCTGGAGACAGGTCTGCCCAGCCATGGATTTTCCCTGGGATCCTCTGCAGAGCTCTTCTCTCCTCTCACCCACATGGACCCAGGTCTCATAGAGCTTGAGGGGCGTTCAGTACATACATGGGCAAAACTGGCTTCCAGAGAACATCAGTACACAATCCCCCTGGCCTGCCAAATTTTAGCGGTCCATTCGTGGTCCATCATGGGCCCCCATGGATGTGGGCTTCTGACATTCCCATAGACCCTGGGAGAGAGTAAACACTTTTTCCCGTGCAATGTGAACTTCTGCGGTGGCATTTCCAGCGAGGTGCAAAAGCCCCTTCTTCACAAACAGCCAGGGGCTCCGACTGGTCACAGTGAAGACAATTATCCGGTCACCGTCACAGGCTGTGTGTAGTTTTTGTTTTCATTTCTTACTGTCCCTCCGACCTCTGGACTCTTGCAGACGGCATAAATACATTAGAACCCACAAAGCTATGCAGAGGGAGGTAAGAGTGTGTGCTTCAAAAGTTCATAAAAATATACAATTTACACATAGCTGCATCTATCTAGCTTCATCTTCAGGAACATAGCTCTTCTGTTTATATAAAATACTCTAGTCCTAAATGGCTGCTTCTTCTCAAACAGCACAGTGGCATTTTCCAAGGAGACGGGTAATGGCCGGTCTATACAGTACTGTGCACTAAGCATTGGGAGGCACTGGGAGCTGGAACTGGATGCTCAGAAACATCTCACGTTGCCAACTGGAGACATATGCTCCGTAAAAGGCTTGCCCATGGAGTAATTCAAAATAAAGTCTCAGAGCCTTTTAGGTCAGCTTTTACAAATGCCACCAAGAAGTTGGCAGAAAAAGAAAAGAAGAAAACACACTTTGTAGTGGTTCAGTGAAATGACTCGCCTCCCACCAGATTGTTAATCTTTCAGTGACTTAAAGGGCCTGTTAAAGGGGAGGTTGGTAGGGCTTGCGGTTTTGAGTAGAACTCCAAGGTATTACCCAAGACAAAGCTAAAGTAAATTCCACTCTTTAAAAAAACTACAAAGGAAGCAGAAAGCAAGACAGAATAGGTGGAAGGGGCCTCATCATTACCACCACTTGTTAAAATACGATGGAGCCTTACCCATACAACACACTACAGTTTAAAATACTCCTCAGCCCCCCTCCAAAAAAACTTTTTAAACTAAAACATTTAATTGGCTCTTTGTTTTCCAAAAAAATCACTAGATAGAATGAAACTATATTATCACCCAAAGAATGATACTTTCGGTTAAAAGAAAGCAAACACTTGGGAGGTGATGCGTGGCATCTGAGAGGAGACAGGGTTTTTACAAAGCTTGCATATAAAGGACATGCATTCCGAAGCCTGACTGTGGAATGCACCCAGAGCTCACTGCCTCCTGGCTTGGAAGGAGTTCTGCAGTGAGGTTTGCACAGTAGGGGTCACAATGATGCTGGACATTGGTGCTTCCAACACTCACTCTACAAGGGGGGCCGAGGGGGCATTGGTTCCGTACTGGATTCCACATACTTATCAAGTGCCCATGATTTGAATACGGGTCGGCATTTAAAGGCAGAAAAGGAAAAGGCCAGTTTATCTTACAGAGAGAAGAAACTCTAAGGTTGCCACTACCATCAACTGGACTGAATGGCCTCAAATTTGTAGATGTCCTGTATCTCCCTAAGAGTGAAGAGCATCTAGCATCTCCTCTTTAAACTGGCAGGGGTGCAGGCGAGCGGAATGGGAGAAAAGACAAAAAGAGAAGGCACTGACCCAATTCAAAATGACTGCATATATCAGTACAGTAAAAGGACAGTAAGCGGCCACCTCAACACACATACAGAACTTCACACTCAATATTCCTCAGTGGTTAAGTAAAAGCAAACAATCGAAAAAGGAAGAATTAGGTACTACGTTGGCCAGTGTATGTATCATGGCACAGATCTAGAACTCTCTGCCACAACCGGACTAAGTCTTTGCAAGGATGAGGACACCAGTCATAAAGCAGTGTTAGCATTTTGTAGCTTGAAAAGCTACACCTTGTACAGAGGCGCATACAGTAAGGTTCCATCGATTAATGTAAGAGACGGGGCTGTGGCTTGCAGGGCGTCCCAAGCTGCAGCTCTGTGTAACTGAAATCGAGCAATGACTCAATGCACCCTCCTGCCAAATACCATTATAGGACACACAGTGAGTAAAAATGGATTGTTTCTGGAATGGCAACAAAACTGCTCCTGTTCTCCACCCCTCAACCTCACAGGCGAGGGGCCCTTAACATGTGTGGTGTCAGATGATCCCTAAAACCTTGCCTTCTACAGAGTCTCAATAAATTAACAAAATAACATAAAAGAACCTTCCCCCATAATACACCCACACACTCTCATCTCAACTAACCCCAAACAAAATTTAAAATCCGAGCACACTTCCAGAGAGGAGGGATTTCCATCCATCACTCTTTCTTGAACTTTTTAAATATATTTCTGTGTCTTAGAAAAATAAAAAGAATGTCCAATATAATGAACCCAAATTATCTCACAGACTTAAAAGCATGCCCAGCAAGCACAGCCCTGTAAGACCACATGAATATCAAGTCAAAGCAATTTGGTTACTCAAATCAGCCTGGTTTGAAGTTCACAGCTGATCACTCCAAAGTTTACTGGTTCCTTTCTTTCCTTTTTTTTTTTTTTGTTTGTTTTTGGCCCATATAAAAATAACATATTGCAACTCAAAGTGCATCTTTTAAAATAAACCATCAACTCTCTTTATCAAATAAAATATTTACACCATTTGGTTTCTAGTGAGGAAAGCTCTCTCAGGCTATCACCATCGGGACGTCATCTGAAAATCCAGTTATCATAGGAGCATCTTCATCATCCTCCCCTAAAGGCAAAACAGCCAGTCAGTGGTGGGTCCATTGCACTCCGACCCACCCTCACCTGCCACCTCTCTGCCCCAGGTGCCCCCACCCCGATGACAAGCTGCCGCTGGTCATATCAGCACCACAGACAGCCGGGCATGATTACACGTGCTGAAGACCGGCCCAGCTTCTCTCTGACCCTCCTCGGTCACCTTCTCCCCATCAATAGATGGCCCAGCTTATTTCAGTGGCAGCTTAAACTTAACCAAGTAAGAAAAGTAAGTCATTTGGGAAGGAGAATCTTACTACCTACCCGAAGTCCAATTTAGGTTATCGTCTTAGGTTCCTTAATTTGAGGTTTCTATACCCTATGTTAGCGCAGGGAGTTCTCTGCCTGATTTCTCTTTGAACCCACACTGCTCTGAGGAAAAGGATCTGAGAGGGGGCTTTAAGCACTTTGAGGACAGCTCCCTAGACTCGTGGTTGTCCCCTGGTGACCCCTGGTACAATTCTGTGCAAGTCAGCGCTGATGTGCACTCAGTGGTTAACTGCATGGCACCACAGCAGGCCGACTCCTTTTGGCCCCAATTACAGAAGTAAAGAGCCCACCCCATTCATACAAGGCTGTCCAAGAACTTGTACTAAAGCGAGAAAGGAAACTGAGAAGAAAAGGGGACAGAGCTAATATCAAATGATCGGTGAACAGGAACGCTTGAGTATCTTTATAAACATTAAAAAAAAAAAAGCGTTTACAGAAGAAATAAATAGGTAAGCCCACATTCAGCAGTCTAGGTTTGGGGAAGGCCCCATTACACACCCATTTCATTATATCAAGTAGTCTAGCTGCTCTGCCAGCACTCAGCAGTGTGAGCACGCAGACGTTTATAAAAGAAATCTGTCCTCCGTTTTTCCCAGGTCACGTGCTGTCAGTACATAGAAGAATGGCAGGTGAGACTGCCCTGGCCATGGGAAAGAGAAATGGCAGGACAGAAAGGGGTTCCGTCCAGCAGGTTGGGAAGTCATGACTGTGCATTCTGACCGGGATCTCCAGCGGTGTCACCCTCCAGGCCTGTGCAAGTGAGAGGGAGGCTGGAAATTCTTGAGGATCTGCCCATACCTGGGAGTACCCAAACCCCAGGGCCTCTCTACCCTTCCTATACAAGGCGAGCTCCCACCAGTTCTTCCACAAAGCTGCTTCCCTTCCTGGGCCAGAACCACGCCAGGGCTCCAACTAGTTTAAGCCAAGGCAGTAGCTCCTCTAGTGTCAAAAGATGAGCTTAAAGCAGGTGTTTCCTGATCACGTCCCTGGTGTTGTGGGGGTCTGCCCTGGGAGGAAGAAGCCCAGCCCTGGGCCACTTACCCAGGTCGTCGCCTGAGGAGAAGATGGCCGAGCCCAGCCTGGAGCTGTAGTGGCTGTTGGCAAAGGCCGTGAAGCTGCTCTGAAGCCTCCGATGCTTCGCGTACAGGACGGCAAACCCCACGCCCAGACTAAGCAGTATCAGAAACAGGATGGGCACCACCACAGCAGCAACATCAGTAGATCCGCCAGCCTGAGATGCAGACGCATCCACGCCTGCAGAGGCAAGATGCCAACCAGTGAGCCTCCTCCGTGAGGGCAGAACGGACCCCGGAACCCCTCGGTCCCACCCACCAAAGCAGCCAGGAGTTTGCAACAGCCACTCAAACCGCCTGCCTGGTGTGACACGCTCCCACACACACGTGACGCCTGAATGTTTCCCGGCACGTTGCATGAGCTGAGAGACCACAGGCCTTGTGCATGCAAATGCGGTAATTGCATTAGGCTCTAATCACTGCCTTGTTGGCTATTGAGATAATCTCTTGGAAGGGAGACCTTTGTTGGGGTATCAACATCGATTTCATTAGCATTATTACTTAAGACCACTTGCTTGCCTTCCATAAGAGGATGTGAAATCAGACCACTAATTAACGAGATTGCAATTATTTCCCCCTACTTGGCACCAAAGTCACTCTGAACTGCAATTACCTGAAGCTCCATTAAGTGATACAAACGAGATTCCTTTACTGCAATACTGACTTAACAGCTCATGAAGTTTTATGAGGTTTTTTTTACTTAAACAGAGAGAGAGAGAATCTTTCCATAGACATTTAACATTTTTAAAAAGCTCTTTGCAAAGCCATTTAGGTGTGTGTAACCAGCAGTGATGCCCCCCTTCTCACTGTCTTAAACAAATACTACCTAGCTTCATGACGATGTACTGCTACATGTGTCCCAACAGGGCTCTAGGGCAAAGCCCTCCCCTTGTCGGGTTAGGGCCAGTCTTCCTGGAAGAGGCAGACGTTAAAGTCTATCCCTGCTGGGAAAAATCTGAGTCTGAGGCAGGGAAATGGGACTTGGGAGTCAGTTGTCCCAGGTGCAGGGTGGTGTGGGTCAGGCCCCTGCCTGGTGGGGAGAGCTCAATAACTACCCACCAGGGATGCATCCTGACACCATAACCCAGAAAAATGGGCCATACAGCAGCCATTTCTTGTAAGCCTAATAGAATAATTATGCATGTCTTTAATTTCATTACTGAATTACCTGGAAAAACCTCTAGTAAAATCTTATTTCATGCAGCCAAACTAACCTCAACTGTGAAGGTCAAAATTAGGGGAATGCTCTGGGTGGGAGCAGTTAAGAAGGAGCCAGCGTGGCACAGGCAACAGGAACGAGTGAGCTGCTGGCCCCCACCCCACTGCCAAGGGGACAGCAAACGTCAAGGGGCAGGACGTGGACTGAGAGGTCTGAGAGATTCTTTCTGCTGGACAATCTGGGTTTTATAAAGGCAGCTAGCAGGTGACCTGACAGTAGTTCTTCCCGAAGTCTATTTCTCAGTTGCTAATTGGTTTTACTTAAAAAGGAGGCTTACTTGGGAAACACTAGGTTAACAAGAGTTCTGTTGTTTGTTTTCTGTAGGACTTTCCCTGAGCCTCTAATATGCTATGATTCTCCAAAGAGATGTGTCATGCAAGGCTTCCCCCTTTTAGAGAGCTGCCACGGGTGTTTCCCCAGAACACACCCTGGGAAGCATGACAAGACAGGACACACAACAACTCTTAACACGTGGTTTTGACTTGAGCACTGGTTGGCTCTTGGCTGGGAGTAAATGGAACTACAAAGGTCAGTAGCAAAATGACTGTGGAAATCCAGACCAAGCTACTGTGATAGAAGCAGAATTTCAGTGTAATGGCGGGTTCCTCTCCCGTGCCATCAGCTGGCCCAACGACGAGATCTGTGAGTGTCTGTAAGACAGAGTCGCCGAGCCAGATTCGGGTTCTGATCTGAGGCTGACAGTAAGATGGGGAGGAGGAAAGCTGTAACGTCAGTTACTCCATGACAGGGCGATACCGGCTGACACAGAGAACCGCTGGGAATAGTAACTCGCTGGAGGCCCTGAAAAGTCCTACAACAAAACAGAACTCTTATTAACCCAGTGTTTCCCAATTAAAATTCCCTTCTGAAACAAAACCTACTAGCCTTCCCTTTTTTTGCACTTTACATTCAGAATGTGGCCACCGAGTAACCCCGGCTCCTCACACCATGAGTGGTTTGGGACTTATTTATAAACAAATCAGTGCCTGAAAAAACTGATGCAAAATGATTTGCTTCTGAACTGAGAGAATATTTTAAATGCATTTAGAAAGACACCTGTTCATCCAGCCATGCTACATCCCTGACGTAGTTCCCTAGAACTGAAGGTGCAGCCGGAAAGCGTTTAGCACCTTACCAGACCCCACGTCGTCATACAGCAGGACAGCAGGCTCCCCACAAATCTGGCTGCCAAAAAGGCATCTTGCTTGGACGGTGAAAGTGTAATTATGACCCAGTTTCAGATTGGAGATTTTAAAGAAATTGTCGGTGGTATTCCCAAGGTAAGCTGTGATATTCATCGCACTATCAAACATGCGTATCTCATAGCCCTGAAAACAAACACAGCAGAGATGGCTCACGAAGTTAAAGAAGGAATCTTGCAGCGTCTATTACTGGTGCCACCCTTACGGGAGCTCCTTATTACAGGCTTTCATAGATGCTAAAGCCTTTTGGGTTTCTTACCAGATCTTCTGCATTATCGCTGAGATGCAGAATTCAGAAAATGGTCATTTCCCCACCCCCGATGTCTCTGAGAACTACCACGCCCACTTATGAGCTGCAGAGTGGAAATGAAAGTGCAGCCCTAATAAAAGCTGTTTAACAAGTATCTCAGATATGCAAAGTTCTGGTCAGCAGTTCTACCTGCCACATACAATAGTAAATGTCACACATCTGGACAATTCAGCTCTAGTCTGCTGTCATAGGAATGGACTAATAATAAAACCAGGTGGCAGTGGGCTCCAGCAATGGAGTAGGAAAAGGGAACTGGCATTAGAAAAGATGGGGTGCTTGTCCTTAGAACAGTGTGTGGGGACTCCATGGCCTGCCCGTGGCTCCCTTCCTATCTCGGCGCTTTCTCTTCTTCCAAACCCCACACCACCCTGGCCTGGGTGTAAACATCTCAGCGGGCTCAGGCCCCTACTCCCTGGAGGAGAGTGTAAAATAAGCTTCCTTCCTCAGACTGGCTCAGCAAGTGTCCCTCTCGGGGCAGCCCTGACACGGCATAATGACTGGGGTTAGGAAGGACTACTAGACTTCTCCGCTGATCCCCGAGTGTCCCAGTGTCAAGGACACTGACACCCACCCCACCAGCACCAGAGGAAGACCTTGGGTCCTATTTCGATCCACGTATCAGGCCCCAATGCACACTCATGGTCTCTGGGTCCCCATTCCGCCGAGCCATCTATTCTCTGAGCTCACTGTCAGGGGGAGGGAAGGACACGCCATGCTAACGCCAAGCCCCCCCACCGGGAATGGAATACTGAGCTGCATCCCCACCTAAAATCTGGGCTTCTGTCCCCCAGGAAGGCTACCCCAATGTCAACCGGCGGCCAAACAGGGTCTCCTAATACCATCTTCCTGGAATCCCACCCCTGCCTTCTTCTTTACAAATTAACATTTATTATTTTCGATCTAACACATATTTGGCGTAGAAGGTTTGCAAATACATGAAGGTATAAAGAAAAAAAATTTAAGTGACCCATGTCAACCATCTGTAATTTATTTAACCAGTCTTCTTCTGCTGGGTATTGAGGTCGTTTCCTCTTTCTTGCTATTATCAATGAATGAAACGACTCTGACCCTCCTTGTACAGGAATTCTTTGTGCACATTGTTTCCTTGGAGTACAATTCTAAGAGAATTGCTGGGTCAAAGGGTGTGCACACTTGTAAGGGTGCCGATCATCTTACCAGTACATATTCCCAGGTTGAACCAATTCATAGAGCGCTAATCTCCCCAACCATTACTCATACTGGGACTACCCCCCACCCCAAAACTTTGCCAATTTAACGTGAAAGTGTCATCCCTTTTACTAGTGAGGCTGAACTTCGCTGACGGGTGCTGGCGTTTTTTACTGCTTACCTCTACCTTTTTCAAACTGAGACTATTTCTGTTTCTGAATTGATATGAAAGCTTTCCTTACATTTGAGTAGTTTGACCATTTCTATATCACAGTTGTGACAGTTGTGAGAACCTCCAAATTTTAATTTCTCTTTGCTTCTGGTTTTACACTGTGACCAGGTGGCACCTGGGATTGGAAGGTAGGGGGGGAAGTTCGCTGTCGACACTCAACCTCAAAGTTACTGCAGCTGATGTATGGTGTCTCTCCTTAGCTCAGGCTTCCCAACGAGGAGATCAACCTACTCCATTCAAAATCTTATCCACCCTTGAGTGTCAAATCTATTCCAAAGTGTCACTTTCCTCCTCCTCCTACTTCCTGTTGAGTCATTTGTTAACAAAATAAAACAAAAAAAAAGTGTTTTCCATATGTCAGAGGGTTATCTTCAAGGACTGCCGGCTCCTTGGAATCTCACTGGAAAGGAACTGATGAGATGGCAGGTTGAGGGTGCAGCTCGGCCCGGGCACTAGGTCCAAAGCCTTGCCCTGGGACTCTCTGGGAAAGATGGGCCCCCTTGGTTCTGATGCCAAGCCCCCTCCAACTTCAGGAGGCACAGAGAAGGCTTCTGCCCATTTCCCTGTCTTTCTAGGAAAGACAAGCCCAGGAATGACAAGTGCCTAGGGCAGAGCCTCTCATCTTTAATGGGCAGTATAAACGTTTCACTAATTAACAATCCCACACAAAACGGTCCCTGAACTCTCAAGGTCCCTGCCCCACTCTTTCTTTTTTACTCTCTAGCCAGCAGGCTGTGAACAGGCTCATCTCTAAAATAGCATTTCAATTAGATTCCCAGAGTCACTGAGAATGGGGGAGCAACTCACCCTGCTTTCATTAAAATGCTTTTCCTTCAAAGCTAGACTTTTCCAAAACAGAAGAACGTGGTCATTTTCTGTTATGATTTTTAAGGCATCGGGTGCTGATAATGAAACTGAAAATTAAAGATGAAATAGGATGCAGTTAGTTCCTGTACATTTGAATCCGTTTTCTTGTCTGTCAGAGGGAGATTAAATAATGCTGCCCTTAAAGGGTTAGGTTAATGAGGAAATGAAACACATACACTGCTTAATACACAGCCTAGCAGGTGGTAGACATTCTTTACTGGCATCTTTTGTTGTTGTTATAATACGTTTAGCCAAGAAATCTGAACAATATCTAACTCAGACCCAAGGATGGGCCAAAAATACATGCGTTGGAAGAGGAAGGGATGGGAAGGGAGGGACCATGGCTGAAGCCAGACCAGGCTACTTCTGGTTCCAGTCCACTTTCCTGTCCCACTTAGTCCCCCGAGGAGCCTCAGAGCTCAGCGAGGGGCTAGGGAGCTGTGCCTGCAGACAGAGCCCAGGGGCGATCATGGTGTCCGCCCGGGGCCCAGGGCTCACACTGCCAGCCCAACTGGGCTGAGCCTCCGTTACTGACACCTGACACTGCTGCTGTCCAAATAACTGAGCCCACTACCAGTCCTCTGACCTTGAACCTCACTGCTGAGCCAGCTGTGGGCTGGCAGCAAGTCCCCCTTGAATCCACTGGCCAGTTATTGGTCTCCCTCCTTCTCTACATGTCATCTTGCCCCAAGGAACCGCTGTGACTTCCGTCCAGGCATCCCGCCGCAGTGCTTAGTTTTAGTGGAAAATGCAGTTTTATTCCCTAACTCTCTACCTCTTCTCCCCTAGAAACATCAAAACCAGCTGGGGGAGAGGAGAGGAAAGTGACAGAGAATAGGAAAGCCTGCGGTGCCCTCTGCACACTGCCGCCCAGACGCCGGAGCCCCGCCCCCGCTCTGCCCACGTGGGAACTGAAGGGTGGTATCTGCACGCCCCGGGCAACTCCTGACGGAAATTCCACGTCCAGAGGCGTCCTGGAGCCCTGGGCTGCACGAGAAGGCCTCCAGCCCCTCTCCAGTACCTGTGGTGATTTTTATACTGGAATCTTTGCTCATGTTGCCCAGCTGGACAATGACGTGGTATTTGCCTCCGGGTTCCAGCTTGCTCAGCGTATACTCCACCGTACTGTTCCGGGACTTGAATTTGTAGTTCCTGTCGCTCTTTCTTATTAGATCTTTAACCGTGATTGCGTACAACTGGGACGAGAAACAGACAACTTCACGGTCATCAGGAACCCGGCATGTTTTAGAGCCCCAAAGTCTGACCCTGTTCTTTAGAAAAGCCTTTGGGGTGGCAAACCCACTTTAAAAGGTCAGGGAAGGGGGTACAGAAGGACAAAGGAGGGGTAAAGCAAGAGAACGGCCGGGAATAATGGAGAGGTGACAAGTGCAAAGGGGGCACCCCCAAGACACTGTCCTTGGCCAGACAGAAATGGGGAAGACCCCCTGCTGAGCTCTAATCATCAGACGTATCTATGTTTCTCAACCCCTTACAGGACCCCCACCCCCTCCAAACCACGCCAAGAATAAAAAAGCTTCCTGGATGCCCAGCTATCTCACCAAGTCCTGGTCAGGAGAATCATACGGGGACTCCCACTTGATGACAATGGAGGTTTTGCCCGTGTGAACCACATGCAGGTGACGGGGGGGCAGCCTGCTGTCTGGGATCATCTTCACCACCACGTAGTCAGAGGACGGCCCTTGGTACGGTACCACGACCCGGACCTGAAACAAATACCACGTGGGCTCGGCAGTCTTCATCAAACCACTTTTTTCAACAAAATAGGGACACATGCACACAATTACAACTTAATCAGTACAAAAAGATACGAAATGTAAAATAATCCCTCACCTACCCCAGGACTCCAATTCCTAGAGGTACTATACTGGTAATAGTTTCTTGGGCTGCCTTCCTTCCATCTATGCACATGAGCACAGACATCTGTGCATATGTGTGTATCGATAGATACATACTTATCTAAGCAGGTGTGGATGCCTGTGTGTGTATGTGTAGCCTATTTTTCTTAAAAAGTTTTTTACACAAATGAGAAAACATTGCACATGTTATTATGTTCTTCATGTCGTCCACTTTGTAATACAGCTTAGAGATTTTTCTGTTAGGAACTGTTGTATCTCTTTTGGATGATTGCCCTGTATTCTGCTGCAGGGATAAGCCACAATATTTTTACTCAATCCCTCTCTTAATAGACATTTGTTTCATATGTTTTGTTATTACAAGCAGTAGTGTACCAAACACCTTTTTCAATGTATCTCAGCACACATGTGAAAGTATGTAGGCTGAAGTTCTATACACATGCCAGCAAAAGCTTTCATCTACTCCTGAGACCCACTGGCCAACATCTCAGTCCTCCACAATGGAGCCACATAGGTAAGTGGCTGTTCCTTTTGTTTCAAGCAGGAACCTGACGGCTGTGCTGCAGAGGAACTACCCTCCCATCACGTGCACGGATCCTGGAATTCACACCTCCAGCCCCCTGGGTCCTGGGTCTGTGCTGGGAGCCGAGGCATGAAGACATCCCTTAAAGGAGCAGAAACTCCTCTGGATTCTCCAGGAAACTCACCAGAAACAAATACTGCTCATCCCTGCTGACGATAATGGTTTTGTTGTGGAGTGAAGTAGTCAAGCTGTTTGGCTGGCGATAGAGGTCAAGAAAGGATGTGGCATAGAAAATACCATAAACCTGGTACAAGGAGAGAAAGGAAAAAGAAGTCAGCTCAACAGCCAGTGGCCTCGTCTCTTCAAATTCCTAATGTAAGCCTCTGGGAACCACTTCAGAAGAGCTGAGAGATGTCTTCACTCGACATTTACTTCATCAGCATTAGAGAAGGCCCAGTGAGCCAGGCACTGTGTTCGTACCTACAAAGATGAATACGCTACTGTAGTCTCTGCCCTCAAAGAGCTCATTTTTGAGGAAATATGCACAGAGAAGAAAAACAAGATACAATTGTAAAGTAGCAAATACACAATGTTAGATGGCATATTAAAAGACTGCATGATGAACTAGGTAACAAAGTAGGGGAGGGGTGTCCCCAGGACAGGGTGGCACTCTACCAGGTGAGGCACAGATGGGGATGCTGCATGCATGTGCTGAGTGGGGCAGGAAGTAGCGTGGATTTGTGGGGGGGGCAGGGGTGCAGCAGGGCAGACACTGGCAGCTGCTCAGGAGACACCCATTCTTGTTTCCTCCCAAGGAGAATCCTGGTTCTTAGAATTGCTACCTGGAAAAAAGTCTCCATTTCCCACCCCCCCTTGAAGCCTGTGCAGGCCAAGGAATGAAGTTCTGAGCAGAGATGTAAGCGGAAGTGTCCTGCGGGACCCCTGTGAGGCTGTTAAACAAAGGGATGAGCCTTCATTGCCGTGGCCTGGAATACTGATGACAGTGTGGCTCCACGAGGCCACCCGGACTGAGAGGTGACCTTGAAGATGGACGCTACAGGGTGCCAGCCTGGGTCCACATCACGCCATTCTGCCGCTGTGGAAGCCCTGGGCTGCTGACCTCCAGCCTTCTTCTATTAGGAGGAACATAAACTGTTCAAGCCACGGTGACTTTCAGTTCCTTTCATATGCAGCCGCTCTTACCCTTAATTGATACACGGTGGGAAACAGTTTAAAGCAGAGAAGGGAGAATCTTTTTTTAATCAAAGTATAGTTGACATATAATAGGATGTGATTTTCAGGGGTACAACATAGTGATTTGACAATTACATACATTATGAGGTGCACACCATGTAAGTATAGTTACCATCTGTCATCATATAAAGTTATTATAATATTATTGGCTATATTCTCTAGGCTGTACTTTTCATCCCTCTGACTTATTTATTTTATTATTGGAAGTCTGTACCTCTTGATCCCCCTCACCTGTCTCGCCCATCCCACACCCCCCTCCCCAAGAGGAATTTGATGGCACTCATAGCCAGGGGTAGAGGCTGCAGGGGTTCACAGTGGGAGGGTGCGTGCTGAGGAAGCTTTCTTTGCAAGGCAGAATCAAAGAACATTTCCTCCAACAGTGTATGAGCAGGTAAGACAGAGAAGTTGACGAAAATCGTACAAGTCTGGAGAAGTCATGGGAATGATGAGAACTCATCAGGGATGTGCAAAGGGATTTCAGAGCCCCAGCTGACCCCGAATTTCCCTCTAACCCTGTTCGGCAGCCAGGAATGCAGAGAGGGAAGCATGGACAGGAGAGAGGAAGGGAGGCCCCAAGGGCCGAAACTGGGAGGAGGTGAGCAAAGGGAATTTGGGGACTTAGGGATTGGAAAGCAAATGTGAATTAAGCAGGAACAGGGGGCAAGAGGGAGCGCAAAGAACCTCTACACGAGAGCAGCAAGGACACTGGAATTGCCCAGGGGGAAGGGTCGGGGAGCATCGCCTAAGGCGGGGAGGGCCTGCGGGACCTTGTTGACTGCGCGGATTTCTCACCATGCCCAGCCGCCAGGGGGAGTCCCTGAGCACAGGAACGTGCGGCCTTCTTCGCACCTGTTCAAACCAAACAGCGCAGGCATTTTCACACACTTGGCCAGGGTGTGCGAAAGGATGCTGGGCCTGGGAAAGAAGGTGCCCCAAAACTGACCAAGAGCATAGCTTGTGTCTGGGTGAGAAAGGAGGAAACAGCAACAGAGAAGAAAGCCCCAAGGCCATCCAGTGGCCCAGCATCAGGACATGGTCCAAACTCGCACTGCAGGGGTCACCCTGGCTGACTCACCACATTCCTGGGACCGGTCCAGGTGCATTCCACCGCAGTCTGATTGATGGCCTTGGCTTTGAGGCTGGGAGCAGGTGGGCGGTCTCCCTTGGTCAGGACATGCTCAAATGCCAGAGGACTATCCCCTAAGTCAGTCTTGGCCCAGGCAGAAATCTCATAGGACGTGTGAGCTGTCAGATTGCCAACTGTGAAAGCAGGAACAGGGAGATACCAGGAGGGAGCTGGGGGTGTCACTCAAGAATGTGTGTCTTGACACACATACCCTGTTTTTCTCAAATGTAAGCTCTCAATTGAAGTGAGTCCAACATGTTGTAGGATTTTCACTATTTTCCGAATTCATTTAGGTGTTATTTATTGATGACTACCACTCATAATACACTGAGGGGCACTGGGTAATGTCTTTTTTTTTTTTTTTTTTGAGAGAAGGCATCTCTCATATTTATTGATCAAATGGTTGTTAACAACAATAAAATTCAGTATAGGGGGGTCAATACTCAATGCACAATCATTAATCCATCTCAAGCCTAATTCTCATCAGTCTCCAGTCTTCTGAAGCATAATCAACAAGTTCTTACATGGTGAACGAATTCTTACATTGTGAATAAGTTCTTACATGGTGAACAGTACAAGGGCATTCATCACAGAAACTTTCGGTTTTGATCATGCATTATGAACTATAAACAATCAGGTGAAATATGAATATTCGTTTGATTTTTATACTTGATTTATACGTGGATCCCACATTTCTCCCTTTATTATTATTATTATTTTTATTTTTAATAAAATGCTGAAGTGGTAGGTAGATGCAAGATAAAGGTAGAAAACATAGTTTAGTGCTGTAAGCGAGCAAATGTAGATGATCAGGTGTGTGCCTGTAGACTATGTGTTAATCCGAGCTAGACAAGGGCAATAAAACATCCACGGATGCAGAAGATTTCTCTCAAAACAGGGGGGGTGAGGGTTTAAGCTTCACCACTGTTGATCCCCAATTTCTCACCTGATGGCCCCCCTGTGAGTAATGTCTTTTAAAGATGCCCATTTCTGGGGATATAAATCAGTACAACACTCCTGGAGAGCCATCTGGCCTTATGTTAAGGGTCTTGAAATTCTTCATATCCTTCAATCCAGAAGTCCCAGGGAGTCAGAGATGGGCTCAAAAAATGTGTGGAACATGATTGTCCATCACAGTGTTTGTTATGGTAAAAAAACACTGTACATAACCTGCCTGTCTAACAACAGAACAACAGTTAAACAATGTGCATTCCATGAACTGTTATGCTGCTACTGAAAGTTGTTTCTTAGACTATTTAATGAGACTAGAAAATTCTCATAACTTCATGTTAAATTAAAAAGGCAAGATATAGAACTATATATAGAACTATTATTCCAATTTTATAAAAAAAAGACATAGATCAGCAAAGAGAAAAAAATACTAACTTGGGAGAGATCCAAAATGGAGAGGGTCCCTGGGAAGTGAGATTGTAGGAAATGTAAAATTTTCGTTATAGTTTTTTTGTTTTCTCAGTTTTCTGTAATAAGCATGTGCCCCCTTTCTAATCAGGGGAAATGTTATTAAAAACTAAAAGAACAGTTGTTATAACAAAGGGGAAGGTTCTAAGAGGACAGCCTTTGGACTCAGAAGGCTGCGGGTTCAAGGCCTGACACACCACTTGGAGGTGGTATAACCAAGGGTGAAGTGTTGATACTCTCTGAGTCCCTCTCCTAGTTTATAAGGTGGAGAAAGATAACAGCACTCATAGCAGCTGGCTGTAGTGGGGATTTAAAGGAAAGGCTTATAAAGTGCCTGGCATGATGCCTGGCACTGAGTAAGAGCAAGCCCTACGTGCACTCCAGGCAGCAGCTACTGTTCCTGAGTCTGCCAATTCTGTTGATGCAACACTGAGGCATGGAGTTCACAGCCTGAAGGATTAGAAAGACATGGGTTCTGATACCAGCTCTGCCACCTTCTGAGGGAATTGCTTAATCTCTGAAGCTCGGTGTCTCTCCCATAAAACGAGCATATCCCTCAGAATTAGCACAGAAGCTATGAAAAACAATGCACGCAGAGGAACTGAGTGACCGCCTGCACACAGTAGGTGCTCAATGTTATTTTTACTCTTGTACAACCTCCTCAAGCAACCGTCAGTTTCCAAAAACAGAGAAAGGTAGGAATAGAGCACCTGTGAGCAATGAAAACCTGACTGAAGAAAGTACTTTGCAAAGAAACTAGAAGGAGAGAGGAAGAAAGCCCTGCATGATTCTCAACATCCCTAGGCAGCCTCGGGCCAAGGAGAGTTCTATGGAAATAAAATTCTTCCTTTAGCCCATTTTCAGATAGGAGAATTTTAGCTGAGACTCACTATCTGCACAGATACAAGAGGGATTCGACTCCTTCCTTCCTTCCTCCATGCAGATCTTCGACAAACATTGGCGGAACACCTGTCATGCACGGGCCCGTGTCACCTGACACTGGCAGAGGATGAGAGAACCAGGCCAGAAACAGGTAACTAAATCTTGGAACTTTCCTTTGCAACTGGAAAATCATCCGAAGAAGGTTCATCTATTTTCTTTCCAGGTTTTCCTCCTTTTAAGCCTCCTACTTCCATTAAGAGCCTTCAGGTTAGAAGGGGGTTTGAGGGACCACCCAGTGGGTCCCCCACCTGGAGTCAGGAGTCATGGGCAGAAGGCAGCAGAGCAGACCCCCACAAGGACAGCTGCAGAAAGCACCGCCTTCCTCCTGCCACCCACACCCCGACTCGCTCCGCGCTATTGATTACCTTTGTGTGACAATATGCTCCCCCGGAAGTTCAAAGTTCTCTTCTCTTGTTTGTGGGTGTCGAATGTCCAGAAAAGGTTCACCACATAGCCATTCACCTGCCCAGAACCAAAAAACACGTGACAGGATCAGAGCACAGTCCCGTAGCTCACCAAGCACAAAAGGCACCCCTTTCCCACTGATTCTTCAGGAATCTCGTTTCTTACAATGGACAGGTGGTTTCCTTTGACCTGTAAACTAGCTCCAACCTGTGCTGTCACTGAATATTTAGATTCCACCTACTTCTAAAAATCACATGAGACCATGTATCGTACAAAAGAGATTCAATGGAACAAAAAAATATTAATGCGGACAAAAAGGACGGAGAACCAGGTCATCAAGGCAGAAAGAGGAAAAGCTGAAAAGATACTCAGGTCTGGGCAATTAAGGCTAAATCTTAGTTCAGGTGGTCCCTGCAGTCAAGGCCAAGTGGTCAACACAAAGGGGCCTGGGTAGATCTCATTGTCTAACAGGGGCAGATACACCCACGCGACAGGAAAGACGACCTCTCCCAATTGCTGAGCTCATAGAATTGGTCTAAAGATCTTGAATGGTGGGACAATGAAGATCATTAAAATGTCTTCACAACCAAAGACTATACGGACAAGGTCCCCCTAAGGCCACGCCTTGCACCCTGCCTCTGTAGCCAAGGGCATCATGCCAACACATCGTAGTTCAATAAATGGCACGAGGACTCTGAGGGCTGTCTGTCCCACAGCAACTTCATGACAGGGAGGGAAGTGAGGAGCAACAGTGAAGGAGGGATGCTGGGGAAGGCGGATCCCCACCGGAGAAACCACACGGAATGCAGTGGGGCTGGCTGTGCGGGCGGGCCGAGCCAAGGGCCCGGGGCTGCTGGCAGAGGAAGGTTCCCAGTGGAGGCGAGTGGGCATGTCTCCCAGGAGTCTGACCCTCTCGCCAGGCTCTCCCCTCCACTGTAGGAACTTCTGCATTAGCGCTTAGCGCCAGGAAATCCAATAAAGCTGAAAATTACAGGGCGTACATATTCTGTTAACACCAACTCTTTATTTGCACTGTAGCTGTGAACCATTTAATTATATGGTTAAAAAAAAAAAAGACACCAGGCTGAGGCAGAATAATTACATGTGAGGCCTTGAGTCGTTCTTCGTGGGGGAGGGAACCAGCCCAGCTGTGGGAGCGCGGCTTCCCGGGGCCGAGGCCCGCGTGTCTACCTCACTGGGCTCTGCTGCGCTGGTTCCCGTACAAAGGAAAGCCCTGCCCAGTGGCTATTTGGAATTTCCACATTACCTTGATGTCGCTATCCATGCTCAGGGTGAAGCTCAGCGAATTTTCACCATAGCTGTCAATGCGGATCCTCGGTGGTGGGATCACTGAAAATGAAAAGCGAATCACAAAGAGAAGCCACGTGGTCCAAGTGAGGAAGGCAGAAGGTCACAGTTTTCAACTCAACAGACACAGCCGCCTTTCGGTTGAGCAAGAAAGGACATCACTTGGGCTGTTTTTACTCGTCTGCATCCTGCAGCCGAGGTCGGCCCCCCAGCTGCCTGGTGAACACATAAGTATCTTGGCTCTGTCAGCTGTCCTGGCCATTGGGGGGAGCAGAGGGTCCCTTATGTAAATGCCCCCAAACAGCCAGCTTCCCACCTGGTCCTGAAAGGTGCGGGGCACAGGGAGAGCCACCCCTGTGGGTGCCAGTGAAGTCCTAGCAGCCTTGAGTCCTTTCTGAAAGCTACCTGACAACAGGAGAAATCCTAAGTCCTAAGTTGTACATGTATGTGTGGCAAAATGGAAAGATGGTGGCCTCTGCAGTCTGGCGGACTTGACACTTAGCCAACTGTGTAACCTGGGGCAGGTTCTCTCTCCTCACTGAGCCTGGAGATAGTGTCTATATTTCACAGAGGTGGGGAAATCCACTAAAATAATATATGTGAAATGTCTCGCCCTCAGCTGCTGCTCCCCTTTCTCCCCCTTTCCAATAAAGTCCCACCTCAGCCAGATGAAAGAACTGGTCGGTCACTGGCATTCTTGGGAAGACCTGAGCTCAAGCTAAGAGCAAGGGGACAAGGAGAGAGCAGGAGTCCAATCAGACCCTGCTCGGTTCAAGCAATGAGCACCCTGCTTGTCATTTTGAAGGTCGGCCCACCGGCAAGCTGACCGTGCCCTGCCGGGGCACCCTGACGCGGCTGGACGGGATCCATGTTATCAGGAGGTGATTTAATGTCTGATGACAACCTGCATATTAGACCCTCAGCACAGGTGCATGCCTCAGACCCAGGCGAGGCAAGAGAGACTCAAAGCAGCAGATAAGACTTGGTGGCGTAAGAGATGCACCGAAATGTGGGGGCGCCCCTCCAGAGGCTCAAGCACGAAATGAAAGGGGGCTTGAGGAAAGTGCAGGAACCAGGAGAAAGAATGGTAGGAGTTTCGGGCTGTCAACACAGCAAAACAGTCCAGGTGCCGCCACAAAGCCGACCTGAATTATAATCACGGGGGACTGGAGGCAGGTCAAGCTTCTCCAAATCTGTCTCCTCAGCCACGAAATGAGTGTAACATCCTTACAGGCTTGATAAGGATTGAGAGAGAGCAATTCATGTGAAACAACAAGCACTGGGCTTAGTACACGAGAAGTGCTCACAACCGGTGGCTTTTCTCATTGTTACTATTAACCCACTGTGTTCGCGAATTAACGCGGAGCTTCTGGTGATGCCACAGCCGCTCTGTCCTTGTCTTCTTAACGTTACTGAGACACAAGGTCGCAGACCTATCACAACACACGCTTTCGGACTCAGCACACATTTGTAAGAATAGAAATAGGTTAGCATAAGCGTAGCTATCTTAAGGGCCTAGAAGCCATTTTCTGAGTATGTGACTTAGAAAGAAAAACTGGAACTGGGTAAGGCCTTGAAAAACAAGTTAATCCTGAACACCAGGTGGTGGGCAGCTGTGGCCTTTAGTCAGCTAACCTTGGTCAGCTAATCTGACATACCAAGTTTATCATGCAGAACCTCCCTGACAATTGAGGGGTGGTCTTATCTTGCTCCTGCCTAACTCCAGGATGTATGTCTTGCGAGAATAATGTGCAGCTGTGGAAAATTACTATGAGTTAAGTGTTTTGAAAATGCTATATAAACCCTTGGCTTTGAGTGCTCGGGGTCCTTGTTGAAACCCGCTGTGTCGGGCAGACACTTGGACCCCAGCTAGCTGGAATAATAAACCTCTTGCTTGTTGCATTGATCTGCTGTGGCCTTCGTCTCCTCACTGGGGGGAAGCGCAGACCGGAATAAGGCCGTTGGGTCTTACACCTTCAGCACATACCCTAACCAAACCCCTGTGAGGAGCTGAGGTTCAGTCATCAAAATCATGCAAGTTTAAGAGAAACAGCCACCTGCTGAGATTTTCAAATGCAGGTAGGAAAGTTTAGGGTTCCTTTTCCTTACGCTGACCTTCAATGCCCCTTCTTCTTAGCATGTGCTGGCAGTAGGTTTCAACCGGTTTTGTAGAGGGAGCTGGTAACAGTCGAGGGGAATGTGAATTCAGTATACTTTTTCCAAGCCCCACAAGCACCTTGCGGCAAAGACTGGCTGGCTCACTGAGTCTGGCTGCCTCCTGCCCTGACCTCTATGAGCCCCAATTTTAAAAGTGACCAGAGAGTGGCTCTCCACAGCCCAGAGCCCATTTCTCACAGGTTAAAGTAAAATCTCCCCATCACATTCCAAGAGACCCTTCTGGCTTTAATACTAACAAGTCCAGAAACGAAAGCCCCAAGTGCCAAGGCTCAGAGGAGGAAAATCCCTCAGGAAGATGAGTCTGTGCCCCAGTGTGCCAGAGCCTTCATTCTAGCTGCTTCCATTCACTCATTCACCAGCTCCTATCCAACACCAGTGACAGTGGGAAGCAGACCAGCTCTCTGCCTTCATGAGACACACACGTGCAAGACGAAGCGCCAGGCCCTCTGCGCACTGCACGGTGAGCACATCTCAGCCCAGGAGAAGCAGGGGGTGCTGGGGTTAGGGCCACAAGCTGTGGAGTCAGGAGGATCGGGTTCCAACCCCGGCTCTGTCACTTACCGACTGTGTGCCTAGCCACATAACCCCTCCCAGGTCCTTATCTCTTCTAAGAGTTTCTCTGAAGGTTCAACAAGATGAGCCGATGTATGCAGAGCAGCGAGCACTCCAGAATGCCCAGCCCCTGGCAGGCAGCCAGTCCTAACATCAGCTCTAGTGCTAGAAACTACCACCCACACGTGACTCGTCAGGGCCACTGAGGAAACAGCAAGTGTCAGCGTGACACACGCTTGAAGACACTCGCAGTGAACATGGAAAAAATCACCTTTAGCTTTAGTGAAGGGAAGGACTCCTATTTGGGATATTTGTTGGATATTTTGAGTATTGTGCATGGATAGAAAAGCTGGGCAGGATGGCCTCTGGAAGTCCCTTTGTATGTTTGCACTATGAGAAATGCTCAGTTCAAGCAGGAGGAATACATTCGCCAGTCACCTGAAGACGTTGTAACCAAAGTACTAACTGGAGACACCCAGAAAGGTGGACGTGTCAGGGGAAGGAGGTTGAGGGACATTTTCTAGTCTTTGCTTCTGCATTTCCCGATCATCCTGAAAATGATTTCCAGAGGGTTTCTGTCTCCTCTAAATCTGAAAATGCTGGGATCATTTACCTTTTCCTTTTACGGTGGTAATGGATTTAGAGTCGCTCCAGTTTCCTATCCCGCGACTAGTCACCGCAGCCACCTTTTCAAATCAGAATGTGAATTAGTACAAAATACAGGCAATATGCCATACAGCAAGCATTCTGAATGAGCTAGAGGGGTGAGACTTTGGCAATGAGGGTGGAAAAAATTATATGCAGAGGGATCCAGGATATTCAGAGGACCCAGAGACTGAAATAACAGGAGGAAAGAGATGATGGGACCGAGCCTAGATAAAGGGAATTGTGACAGTGCAAGATTATGAAATGTCCATTGAACAACAGATGTCAAGGTTGTTCTTAAGGGTAAGGGTGTGATAGTGTGTGTGTTACCATACATATACACATACACATACATGGAAAAGGAGATTGAGGAAATGATCAATGTATGTACTTAAGGGTCTCAACAAACACGATTTGTGCAAAATCTCCTTTCTGCTAAAGATATAGAACTTTCACAAGATCTGCATGATATCAGCTGATAAATGCCACTTATCATAGCTTGCATCACACTGCAGCCAGAGATAAGCAGAAAAGAGGTGGGTATAGAAGTGTAGGAGGTGGAATGCTAGCAGAATATCAGAGGTAAAAGCTGGTAAAGCTGCATTACGATTGGTGCTCAGGGAAGTCTGCTTTCCAGTCTGTGGCACTGGTTTAGGAGCTTAAAAGAATTATGACCTCCCAGAGCAAGGCTGGGCACCTAGCAGGCCACTAAAAAGCATCTCATAAAGGGGAGCATGGAGCTCTCATGAGAAGGCACCCATCTCCCTATGTTCTAAGACTGCCCAGACGGCTGAAATGGGTGCTAACACTCACTCTGACAGTGTATGGCGTGTTGACCAGCAAGTTCTTTATTTCTGTAGAGTTACTAGCAGCCCTCTGGGAGGCCCACATCTTGGAACCACTCCGGCTATATTCTACCTAAAGCAAAAAGAAAAAGATATTAGTAACAGGTAACCTAAGGGGCTGGGGCATCCTGATGCCTTACAAGGAGACAGGAGGACAGAGGGGAGATGAGATGCAAAATGTCCTAATGGATGGGTCATTACTTACAAGGCTATATACCTCATAAGTCCTGGTCATACAGAACACGCTTCTGTTCTAACAGACCCAGAAATCTATGCACACCGGCACACCTGCCAACTCCCAGAAGGAACTTACAATATACTCTCGAATAAGGCCATTGGTGTGGGCCGGAGGGGTCCACTGGCCCTCAATCATGCCTTCCACTTCTCTGTGCGGCCACAGCTGGAGATTTCGAGGAGCATCTGGCACTGGAAAAGAGGTAAGCTGGAGTTAAAACCCATGTGATCCCGCTCAGCTGGAGGACTTTCCCTGAGCCCAAAACAAGGACAAGAAAGAATCTAGAGTTGGGGGTGGGACCCGTCCATCAGGAGAGGCTGTTGGCTTGGTTTTCACACTGACAAAAACCTTTCTTTTCTTCCAGAATGCAAGGGGTACTGAACACACACGGGTCACAGCTTAGTCGAGTCTGACGTAGGGCTGTGCTCACAGGGCTGCATGACGAAATCACCTGGGCAGGTGGAGTGACCAGTGGCCCTGGGCCTTCAACACTGAGATATTAATTGTCAAGGGCAGGGCCTGCTACCTTGACCTGTCACACAACCAGAGAACCGTGGGCCTGATTACAAAGAAACAAGACTTACTTTCCAACAGTACAAACGTCTACATCCAGAACAGTGAGAAAGAATTCCTATTGTTTAAGCCACCTCGCCTGTGGTACTTTGTCATGGCTGCCCAGCCAACTGAGACAATGAATATTCATCAACAATTAATGACTGCCAGCCCTTCAAGGACTCATCTCTGAATCCCCAATATCTAACACAGAACCTGAGCGACAGTAGGGGCTCAGCTAATACCTGTGGGAAGAAAGTCACAGACAGTGTTCCAGGTCATCAGGAGTTTAGCCAAGCCGCTCTGTGACATCACTGCCTCGGCATCTATTTTGTTTGGCCCAGTGGCCTATGGGGCCTTAAACTGACATTAACCCCTCATTCAAGTGCATGTCCTAGATAACAATCCTTAGGGTTACTAGCAGATGTGAGTTCCTGATATGAGTTCATCAGTAGCCCTCGTGAGAACAGTCTTTGTCCCCCAGCCTCTAGGGCCTCCCCCTTGTATACCACATGAAGCCTGCCAAGACCCTCTCCTTTTGGTTTGAACTAATCCAGCCCAGGAACCCTAAAACAGGCATGTGCCCTGGGGCTCTGGCTGCTGTCTGCCTGTCCCTGCCTTGACCTCCCTATGTGGTGCCTTGAGGGGTGCCACGTACCCCTAGGACTTATGAGTAATAAACGTCTCTATTCCAAGTTTCCCTTGGGGCCTTTGGTTGACCGTCTGACAAGCCAGGGCTCCACGGAACAAATGCTAATCTAACAAAGGCAGACACACAGGTTCTCTTGTTTTGTTTTGTTTAGTACTTCTTGCTTTGTGGCGCTACACGATGCCCCATGCTCATCTGTAGGTGCCCCGCCCCAGGGTGGCATCAGCAACTTCTTCAGGGAGCCTTGGCCCCTTTTGTTGAAGAATGGCATCAGAAACCTACAGCTAGCTGTGCTCACCGCTGCCCAAGTGTCAGCTCTCGGGGCCTTCTCAGCTGACAAAGCACAGGCATATGTGACCTGTTGCATATACAGGGGTCTATAGATATTTCATATGTGACCATCTGCAAGCACGTTTAAGATAAACGAGTGCAAACTGACAGCTCCAAGTGCGACCCAAGTGTAAACATGGGCTCTGATGACAGTTGCAAATGCAAAGTTCACAAAACCGTGGATCAAAGGTCAGCATAACAAACACACCGTCACTCCAATGTCACCTACTGTGAAAGGGGGAGGAAGCAGGGAAGTCTCTAGGACGTGTGAGTTTTGGTAAGCTTCTTTAAAACTTAGCCGCAATACTTCTGCTGTGCCTCATATTTTAATGACAATCATCTCATAAACGCCATTACTGAGACATACCTAGAGATGGACAGTGGAGGCAGTAACTAAATAAAAAATGCAAATGAATGAGATGGGCAGAATCTGAAATTAACTTCTTAGGGTAAAAAAAATGTGACATAGTAAGAATAAATGTTTGACAACTCTGTCGGGACCCTGAAACTAAGCCACAATATTTCTGGAACACATGAGGCACGTGTAATTACGTTCCCACACTCCTGAGCATTCTTAGAAAGCTCTTCAAAAATTCCACATTAGGTCTAGCACGTGTCATCAAAATCGGCCCTGACACTCACGTCCTTCCGGAGTCCGCAGCGTCACGATGTCGTTGGTGTTGTGTGACTTGCTCAGACACTGGACCTGGACTTTGACCTGGTATGTGGTGTCTGGCTTCAAGACTTTTAGTATCGTGTTTGTCTTATTGCTGTGGGTCTCCAGCGTCTTCCAAATGCTCTCTCCAATGACCCTGGCCGACAGAATAAAGATACCATCACATCAAAGCAGCAAGGGGTGGCCAAAATGTCTGACTCAGTTAATGGGAAGCCACTCCATGCCCACAAGAGCTGTGGAGCATCCAGTGGCAAGAAAGACATCATCTTCTTCTCCTGTGGCAAAGAGGGGGCCCACCTGTAGTAGACGTTGTATACGCAAGAAGCAGAGGGCATTTTCTTGGGCCGCATCCAGGTCAACGTTACATCCCCAGAGAAGTCAGCTGTCCACTGAAGATTCTGTACTTTGTATACAGTCAATTCTTCTACAGAGAAAAAGGGGAAAAGGGAAAGAAAGTGGCACCTTACACATTCTCAGATTTCAATGGACCCAAGAGCTTCCTTGATCTTTGGCCATCTAGACTGTCAGACCACAATCCTCATCTTATAACATCCCAGAAAAGAATTTAAGCCTTCCTAAACAACCTTTCCCAAGGGGTTCCTATTTCCAGTCATATTTTCCCTTGCATTTCACCTCCTTGTCTGCACTGATTTGATACAGTTTCTCACCAGAGAATGCTACAAGCCCGAGGACAATGTCACACACAGCAGGATCCGGTACTGCTACAAGACTGAATGTTTGTGTCCCCCAAATGCGTATGCCTAAACCCGGTCCCCAATGTGACAGTATTAGGAAGCGGGGCCTTTGGGGGGTGATTAGGTCACGAGGACGGACCTCATGAATGGTATTAGCATCCTCACAAGAAAGACCCCAGAGAGCTCCCTCCCCACTCCCACTGCACGAGAACACAGAGAAGAGGGGCCTCCGTGACCCAGGAAGCAGGGGCCTTGGGCTTCCAACCTGCAGAGCTGTGAGAAAGAAGGCTCCTGTTTATAAGCCGCCCTGTCTGGGCATTTTGTTACGCAGCCTGCTTGGGAGATGACAGCTACTCAACACACTCCAGAGAGGGGCTGAGTCCACGCCCCCTGAGCCCGAGGCGCTGTGTCCCAGGGCTGCACCCACACGAGCTGGCAAGTGCATGGAAAGCCGGGCTAAGACACAGCATCTCCCTAACTGGGATGAGGTCCACGGGAAGCTCGATCAGAGGGACAAGCCTCGCCCCACTGGGTGCTCCAAGACTGGGCAGGAATCTGTTCCACGTCCATGCTGGGGAAACGCCCTGGGAGTGGGAGGCAGAGGCCCTCGCGGAGGCCGAGCGGGTGCCCGGGTGCACTCACCACCGCAGGCCCTCTCGTCGCTGCCGTCCGAGCAGTCCAGGAAGCCGTCGCAGCGCTCTGAGAGCAAGACGCAGGCCTCACTGTCCTCACACCTGAACTCCCGGCTCGTACAGGTCAGCGTGCTGTGCGTGGCTGCAACACAGGGGAGGGGCCGTGCTGTGCGGAAGGCTCAGCCTGCGGGGAGAGGGGTCTGTGCCTTCCGAGCCAGCCAGCTTCCACTTCCAAACACGCCTCTGGAACGAGGAAGGGGGGCTCCATGCTGGCACCGCTGTCCCCTGGTGGGACATTAATGACTGGAATCTGCCTTCAGAAGAGTGACGGCTTTGCAGTCAAGCAACCTGGGGCCTAACTCCTGGCTCCATGTGAGCTTAAGCAACAGCCTGAGCGTGAGAGTGCCCAAGTGCAGTTCCCCTACATAAAACTGGGGCAACCTCCCATCCCTTTCGCGTCTACAAGGATCCCGTGAAACGAGCACCTGCCCTGGTGCCTGGAGGACAGCAGGCACCTGCCCCTGCAGGCGCCCCTCCACCACATGGCTGCTAAGCATCCTGGTACCGTCATTAGCTTGCAGCCTGGAAGGACACGCTGACTTCTGGTTTGGGTAATGCTAAGAATAACAAGATGAATCATAGTAGTGAGAGGCGTATCTGTCTTCTGTAGTAGCTCCACAGGAAATGAAATAATGCAAACAAACAGCATCAGTAAGTTAAGAATCACACAACTCTGGTGATGAACCACAATTTGATGTTCAGTTAGTTGGGAAGGTTGATCCCAACTGGCATATGAGAGGCTCCGAAAAGGAAGAGGTGACAATGTATTTGCAAATGATTCCAAAAAGAAGAAAGAAGAGAATGGCTTATGGAAACCAAACCTGCTGCCCCAGGTGGGGCTGGACTTCAGACCTTCCTGATAGAGACTCACACACGCTGGCCCACCCCAGACAGGAAAGGCCATCTCATAACCCAACCCACCAGCAAGAAGGGTCTGAAATCACTCCTGCTTCTCCAGCTCAAGGTGTCCACACCCAATCCCCGTAAAAGGGCTTTGCAGGTGTGATTAAGTCAAAGACCCCAGTGTAGGGAGTTCAGCCTGTGTTATGCAGGTCGGCATGTCCAGTCACCTGGGTCCCTAAAACCTGAGATCCTTTCCTGGCTGTGGTCAGAGAGGAAGATGGAAAGACAGAAGGATCAGGGAGATGGAATCTGGATCAAGCTTTGAAATGGCTTTGAGGAAGAGGGCCCCTCAAAGCTGGAAAAAGCGAGGAAACGGATTCTCTCCTGAAGCCCACAGAGGAAGCAGCCTTGCCCACATCGTGGTTTTAGCCAGGGAGATGCATCAGATTTCTGGCTTACAGAATTATAAGATGATAAACATACATTGTTTTAAGATGTTACGTTTGGGTAATTTGTTACAGGGGCCACAGAAAACTAATACACATGTGAATCTCTACTTGCCCAGACCTCACACTCAAGTTTCTACCTTGGCTTCCTGAGTTCAAGTTGCAATTTCTCTACTAGGACTCGGAATCAAGCCCCTCCTCCCTCTGTTCCCTGCCCCGTGCAAATATGCACACAGTATTCTACATCATGACTGTATCAATAGTGAAATTGCCAAAGAGACCGCTAATATGCTGTAATGATCTGAGAGTACAGAATCTCAACAGTGATTCTAAATAATCTTCTGGGGAATTCTAAAAAATACAGATTCCTAGGACCTGCCCCCAACCTACGGAAGCAAGGACCTGAAGCTGAGCATGTATAGCGTTTACAGAGCTCCACGGAGCTTCATCAGAATGGCGGGGCTTGAGAACTTCTGTTCTAGAACAAGAACAGGTAATCCTGTTTTCTATCTGAAGCACCGGATCCACTTCTGACAAGCACAGTTTGAGATGTTCGTAGAGAAACTGCATAATGTTCTCATGAGAATAACCAAGACGGTCAAGAGGAAAGCATAAAGGATCCTGGGATATTTCCCTAGAGATGAGAAATACAGGGGCTGGGGGTGAGGGGCACAGTGGAATGTTGGAACAGCTGTCCTCAACTGGTGAGTTTTCACAGGGAAGAAGAATTAAGACTTCTCTGGACGTCTCTAGGGTACGTGTACAGACTTTAGTTAAATGTATTTTTCAAAGAGCTCTCTAAATTTTCAATGCGAGATGGAAAATACCAAAACCATTTGAGAGGCTTTGTGCAAACTATAATCCCCCATCTCCTGGAAAATCACTGCATTAGTGATCTCTTTTACGCTGAGCTGAAACTAGTTTGCCTTGGGGAGGCTAAGAGGGGAGTTACAGAAAAAATTAAATTATTTAGAAAAGGTTTGAGAATGACTAGCTTAAAAGTATCAGAAGCCAAAGAAGGAATCCATCCATCTGCTGACCCATCCACCCATCTATCCACCCATCATACATACATCTACTCACACATCTATCCATCTATCCATCCACCCATCAACGACCATCCATCTATTTATCCACTCACCCATCCATCCATCTATCCATTTGCCCATCATCCATCTATCTAACCTCTCATCCATCCATCCCTCCACCCACCCATTTATCCATGAATTCAAGGTGGAATTCATCCATCCACCAACTCAACTACCCACCTATTTACCCATCATCCATCCATCCATCAGCCATCCACCCACCCACACATGCATCCATGTACCCACCTACCCATCCACCCAACCAGCAGGCATTTATGGAAGTCCTACTGTGAATCAGGTACCGTTCAAAATGCTAAGAATATGGTGATGAATAAAACAGACAAAGGACCTACCTTCGTAAAGCGTAACTTCTATTAAGAGAAGCAGCAAACAAGTAAACAAATGTTTTTTTTTCCAAATATGTTATTTTAGACAGTGATTAAAAACTACAAAGATAAAGAGAGTCATGGTAACAGAGTAATGGGCGGGGGGCATTTTATATAGGATAGTCAGAGAGGGATGCCATGTTCAGAGGGGACTGTTTTGGAAAATACCAACCTCCCATCACAGAATTATTCCATGTGGTAAGAATGTGGTAAATGGAATAATTTAAACAAATAAGTGGTAAAGCTGGAGGATGCTTGAGGTTCCCCTATGAAATCTTTCTCAGTATTTTAAAAGCAGGAAAACACCATGTTTAGAAACAGAAAATAGAGTTGTCATTCATCTCTGAAAATTCTTAAACTGATTATTAAACAGAAGATTAATGGGCAATTAGAACAGAATAGACTAGCCTTGAGGGGCCAGCTTCTCGAAGAACCATGCCACGCTAATCTCATCTCCTTTTTTGATAGGGTTATCAGATTAATGGGCCAAGGAAAATTATAGATAGAGCCATCTTGATTTTAAGACCCTTAACTAAGCAAACATCTTTATGAATAAAGTGGATTTGAAATAGGCTGAAGAAACTTATTTAAAGAATACTGATTAATGAAATAATCTTGCCCAGGAGGAAGGTCCTATTTTATTTCCTCTTTCTCATCTCACTGTGTGGTTACTTATTTGGCGGAGATGTTCCACATGCTATCATTTTAGTAAGAGTGGGGTCAATCTGCCCTGTGATTTTAATGTCCCAATGGTCCACTTTTTTCATTCTATTAATGTAAGTGCAACATTTTTCACTAATCTCTATTTCTCTGCTATTTTGGAGTATGCCACCCCATGAAAACTTTGGCATGATGAAAAGACCACGACTTTGTACAAAGAAAACCTACATAAATACCCGAGTCTATAAATGACTGACTAATCCTCTTTGCAGCTTAATTTTCCTGTCTCTAGAATGCAGACAGCTGCCACATCGCAAGGTTATTTGTGAGAAGGGGAGCACAGATATCGGGGTCTGGGGCTCTCAAGACCTCGTCCCTGGGGTGGATTTCGCTCTGACTACTCACGACAGTTGGCCTCATCCTGGCCATCCTGACAATCCTGATGCCCATCACAGCGCTTCCAGTTGGGGATACACGTCTTGGGTTGGTGGCACTCGAACTCAAATCGGTTACATCGCCCAAGCTGGGTGGGAGTGGAGGCGGCAGTGACATTTGCTAGAGAAAGAGATTTGGAAAATTCACTCTTCAGCACTGTGGGAGCTAGCCAGCAACCGCAACCAGTTCAATGTGTTGGGAGACCAGTGCTATAGGGATTACGATGGGACCTGAAGACACCAGTGGGCGCTAGATAAAAACAGCAGATGGGCAGACCCAGGCATCTCATTTCGCTCTTTCATACGAACCACTAACAGAGACAAAAGCGACACAATCTTGGAAGCTGGAAAACAGACAGACAGTGGGTAAGTGACTAAGGGGCCCAGAGCAGACTACACTCCATTCTAAGCTGTCAGGGCAGCAAGCTACACACCAACAAGATCAACGCCACAGAATCCTCAGAAAGGTGGAAGACGTAGCACTTCACTGGGCGTGAGAGGGGAAAGTTACAGTCAGGGAACAGAGGGAAAAAGGCTTCAACAGCACAGAGATCCCAGATCCCTTCTCCCTGCCAGCCCCTCCCTGGACGGCGGCCCTGACGGAAGACGCAGGATTGTTACTTACAGAGGGAGAAAACAAGGGCTGGTTAGACAGGCACAGTCAAGAGCAAGAACACTGCCCCGAAGACAGGGGGATTGCCCCTACAGATGGCTAAATGTACAAACCTTAGTCTTGCTCATCCAGAACCCTGGAGTGAGAACATTTTCCTCAGCAAGAGATTATAAAAATCTTCTCCAGGGAAACTGACCTGCCCCAGAGACAAACCCTGAAGCAAACCCCAGGAGAGGTCTCTGACCGTGGCACTCGGAGCGGACAAGCCCACCCACGTTACAGAATTTCTCAGGATCTTAGTTCCCAGTCTTAAAACACAAACGAGTGACCCAGGATTATCTGAGGAACACCTCTGACCTGGAAAAAAGAGCCAGTGCGGACCCACTTCCCACAGACAAAGAAAGACAAGGGAAATTTGGAGGAAGCAGAGGATTTGTAAGAAAACTTCAAAGATAAATATCCTTACTAGGCTCAGAAAGAATACATATTTATCCATGAAAAAGGACAACATGCCATAAAAAAGGAACAGCACTAAAAATTTAAAAGCTCATAGAATTAAAACCATGAGAAGTGAAATGTAAAACTCAATAGAAGAGTTGGAAGACAGAGCTGAGTATGTCTTCCAGAAAGTAAGAAAAAAAAAAAGAAATTAAAAAATACAAAAGTTTTTTTTTTTTCTTAAGTAAGGACCAGATCAGGAGATCCAATAATCCAATGTATGAATGGCAAGTGTTCCAGGCAGAAAAAAAAAACAGAGAAGAAAACATCACTCATGGAGTACTTCAAGGAAAGATTCCCAAAACTAAAATGTATAAATTAACCAGAATAAAAGAATCTGTATCCTCCACATTGGATGGAAAGGGAGCCATATCAAAGCACATGATTGTGAAATTTCAGAACAGACCCAAAGGGAAGATACTACAGGCTTCCAGAGGGTAAAACCACGTTGCCTACAGAAGATCAAAATCAAAATGGCATTAGATTTCCAAAGAGCTGCTCAAAGACAGTGGGGAAATGCCTTCAAAATTCTAAAGGAAATCTATTTACAACCTAGAATTCCAGACCCAGATCAACTTTCGACTGGGTCTGAAGACAGAAGAAAAAAACTTTCAGGCGAGCAAGATCTCAAATAAACCACTCACAGACCCTTTCCCTTTCTTAGGAACTTTCTGGAAAATTGCTCTACCAAAACATGAGGTTAAACTAAATAGACAGACAGAACCTGGGATATAGAAAATAGGAGCTCGCACAGGAGAGTCCTTAGGGTGGAGAAGCGACATCCCAGGAGACACCTGTGCCCCAGGCACACACGGCCAGTGGCACAAACCAGAGCTGCCGGACTCAAGGGACGAACACGCGGATGGTCGCCATCACTGCATCCTTGGCCACCCTCTCATCACATTCACCCAACAAAACCACTGGAGGGTGCACTGCACCTAAATAAGGGAGGAAACCAAGAAAAAGCAGAGCACAAGATCCAGGAAAGGGGGACTCAACGTTGGCAGAAAGGCAGAGAGAATTCCGCAGAGAGCAGGGAAGCCCCGGGGAAAGGGGATGGGCAGGCCCAGAGGACAAGCAGCCCAGAGAGGAGGCCCCATGGAGTCGGAAGCGATGTCTGCAAGGGCAGCACTGGAGCCATGGGGTCACCTGAAGCAGGGCCTTCCAGGAAGTCATACTGAGAGGAGATGCATTAGCAAATGGTACAAAATAACAGGCAGAACACTAACAGACCAAAAAAGGGCAATTATTCATTTTGGGATAGTGTGTGTGTGTGTGTATTCCATAGTTCTATTTGGATTTTCAGAGGGACCTCTCCTACTCACTAGGACCACTCTGCTAAAACAAGGCGCCTGGAGAAAAGTGGGAAAGAAAATAAGGCTAGAGAGTGAGGCACATCACAATGCTTCTGCTGGAAAATAAGGGACCCACCAGAAGGCTCCAGTCCTGGGGATATGATCCTGCATCAGTATGTGGCTTCTTGAAAGATAAATGGAAATGGGGAGAGACATGAGGCAGAGAAACCAGTTAGAAACTTTTACAGTGAAAAAATCAGATCCGAGAGCTAGAGACACCAATTTACATTTGCACTGACAATGTACAACAAAAAAGAAGTCACAAAATCTGAATGCAAAATCTAAATAGGGATCTGCTCGCTGGGACCCTATTTGAGGTCAGAATTTGAGAGTCAGAATTGGCTCGAGTCTCTTAATGTCTTGCTTAGAGTCTCAATAACCAAAAAGCAATCTTGAGAGAAGGATACATCGAGTTACTTTATAAACAGGTATGTGGGCCCTGAGGGGAAAGAGCAGAGATAAAATTTTTTTTCCAATTTATTTTAATTTGAGAAGCATTTATGAGAAACCAACTATTTGCCTATTATCGTAACAGGCACAGCAGGGGATTGAAAACAGTATTCAGCATGATCCCAAAACACAAGGTGCACACAATTACCACGGAGAGGGAAGGTTTATGACATGAAGTGACGAGGAAGCAATACGGCAGGTCACAGTTAAGAATCTAAAGGGCAACAGGTAAAAGAGTAACTGCACAATCCAGTCTGAGACTGGAAAGAGATCAGCAACAGTTAAAGAAGCAGTGAAAGCTCCAAGGAGTGGGTGGTGGGGGGGGAGCAGGGAATAACACCCCACCAGTGACACCAGCCGTCTGAAACTTTAGGGAATGTGCAGGTCATATGGGCAACTCCTGACCTCCATCCGGAATTTCTGATTCTGTGCTTTTTATGAACACTCCAAGTGACTGCACTCCAGGCGGTCTTTGTACCATCCTTTGGGAAATACCAATGACATATCAAGGTCTCTTTCAGCTACAAAATCCACACTTCTGTCTGCCATGATGGACAGTGGGTTTCATAGCCAGGGAGATTAGGACAAGGTCGAGGAGGGCAGAGGGCTCTGATAAAACAAAAATCTCACAGAAGGAGTATAAGCAGAGAAGAAACAGGTCTGTCCAGAGCGCACCAGGAGCCCCGCTCAGCAGAGGTGAGAAGTAATGGCATTGAAGGAGAGAGTAGCTCACACAGGGCCTTGAAAATAGGACTCAAGGGTTACACAAGGATGCTAGGAAAAGGATTATACAAACCAGGGCAAACAACTGTCTATTCTCGTACTATAACTGAATTGGGAATAGAATCCTGGTTAGGAAAGGACACAGCATCCCTACCTCTGTTCCACCCGCAATTAAGGGCATGCGCTTGATGGGTGTCTCAGGGTTTACCCGGGCCTCTGGAAATACGGTTTACTGCACGGATCTCCGGATGCCTCACCATATTCAGCCACTAGATGGCAGTGCTTACCCTTCTTTGAGTAGGATGGCCTCCAACTAGCAAGCAGGAAAATTGGGCTCCCTCCCCTGGGAGCTGAATACACACAAACACTTCCCTTGTAATTCCCACAGTAATTTCCTGTGGAGACGGAAGCAAAGGTGGCCCAACCACAGCCAGGGTGGAAGGCAGGGTGGCTGGCCTTTCCTAGCACGAAGGTCAGAGGGCAGCTACAGACAATGAGACCTCTAGCGTCCAGCTCCCAGTCTCCCTGCTTGGGAGGTGCAAAGCAGCCTGACACAGCACAGTCCAGAGGGCACTGAGCCTGGCCATGCTGCACCCAGGGTGTGCCTACGATGGCCCTCTCCAGGGCGCAGAGGGCAGGCCAGCACTCACCGGGCGAGGGGCAGCCTTCTTCGTCCGAGCCATCTGCACAATCTTGATACCCATCACACACCCAGCTGTCCATCACGCAGGCCCCGCTGCTGCAGCGGTAGTAGTTGGGCAGACACGTAGACGGCCCAGGAGTAGGCGACGGAAGGATATGTGAGTCTGAAGGAAACACCAAGCAAAAAAAAAAAACCCCAAGTATGACAAGAAGCTTGATCTCAGACCAAAATGTGGCCCTAACCTCGTGTGGAGATCTCAGTTTTAGCTGCACCAGCCCAGGAAGGCCAGCGTCAGGCAGTTCTGAACAGCGGCTCATCTCAAAATCACTTCTAATGGGGTGTCAGAGTAGCCTGTAAACTTCTCCCTTTTTTGGAGCAGATTCACCTTACCTATTACATTTGATGGGGGCTGATATTTGGATGAGTTTGCTTTTGCAGAAGCTCAAGCAGCAGACGGAAGGGTGATGACTCAGAATGACGGGAGAATCCTACTGAGGCCAAGAACGGCTCTGGCTAACTCAGAGCGACTCCCCTAAGCCCCAGCTCCCAGGGGCAATGGCGAGAAGGGGGGGATGAGGGCGTGCTCCCTGTCAGCGCTTCTCAGGTACCACCCGGAGGTCCTGCTCAAAGGCAGGCTCTGGCTCAGGAGGGAGGTCACGGGGTCAGAGACGGCATCGCTAACAAGCTCCGGAGAGCCAAAGGGGCTGCCGGCGGGCGGAGCACACTCACAGGACCGGCGCGGGGATTCACACGGTGCCTGCAAACTAGGGAATCTGGAACCCTAGGAACAGGGGAAACCCACACACTGATCTTAAAAATGGGAGGAGGATGGAAAAGAACTCGGAGTTACTCCTGAAAAAAATCATCGACTAAGCCAGGCGCCAGGCGCAGAAGAGACAAAATTCAATTCTGTGCAGGTGGGCGGAAGCCCACTGACGCGTCCTGGTCTGGGGCTGCCTCAGGACCCTTACCTCCACAGTCCTTCTCGTCAGACCAGTCCCCACAGTCGTTCTCCCCGTCACATTTCCACCTGTTGGGGATGCAGTGGCCATTCTCACACCGGAACTGGAAATAGCGGGAGCAGTTTGGAGCTTCCGTGGGGTTTTCTGGGGAGACCACACCACGCCATCAGTCATTTTCCCTGCACCGGTGCGCACACAAAGCTCTAGCCACACAGCCCCTCAGCTCCGACACCCCAAGGCGGCCTGCGCAGCCCACCGGGAAGCTGAAGCAGCTCCTCGGGCCCCAGGGGTGGCCAGACTATGTCCACAAACTCAATAGAAGCCCACCTTCCCGGACCGGCCCATGTTTCTCTGCCCTGTACTTCTCTCTCTGGCACACGATACCTGAGTTTTTAGTTTTGACACTTTATCAGACAGAATGACCTAACTATTGACAGTGACCCCATGGTGGCAATCCATAACTTTCAGAGGGAGAGGGGGGCACTCTCCAAAATATATATACCATGACTTCTCTACCGTCGTCAACACACACAGTGTGAACTTCCCAAGTGGGGAAAGAAAAGGAAATGGAATGAACATCTATATTAGGGAGCAACTTCCCACCGCAAGACTCGCCTACACGCAGGTTCAAGAACTGGTGGGAATTACTGCTGAGGAAAGAAAGAGCAGAGCCCGAGAGGGGGCGTGTGCTGAGCCGGGCCGCCGGTGTCCGCATGGCGTGGACGTGGGGTGAGGGGCTGCACCCGAGGCCTTACCGCAGTTGGCTTCGTCAGAGTAATCGCCACAGTCATCCATCCCGTCGCACTTCCAGATCAAACTGATGCACACGCCATTCTGACACTGGAAGCTGAACTCATCGCAAACCTTGTGGAACTCGGGGTCTTGGGCTAGAAAAGGGACAAACATCCAAAAATGCAGGTTAGTCCCCACTGAGGAGTTCCAAGTCGTACAGCTGCTTGGAAACAACAGGAAAGAGCAAGTGACCCCACCAGGAAGCTGCCTCGCTAAAGGATTCTTGAGCAAAAGACAACTGTAGGCCTAACCCCCAGGCCCTCAGAAAGTGACCGCACTCGGAGATAAGGTCTTGAAAGAGGCAACCGGGGTAGAATGAGGTCACTAGAGTGGAGCCCTAACCCGATATAGCCAGTGTCCTTATAAGAAGAGGAGACTAGGACACAGGCAGGCGCATAGGGAGACCATGTGAGGACACCGGGAGCAGACTGCCCCACCTACAAGCCAAGGAGAGAAGCTTCAGAATGAAACCAACCCTACCCACATCTTGACCTCAGACTTGGAGTCGCCAGAACTGAAAGAAAATACATCTCTGCTGTTTAAGCCACTCATTCCATGGTCCTCTGTACTGCAGCCCAGGCCAACAAATACAGTACCTACTCAATGTGGGGGCGCTGTTTTAGGAATGGAGCTACAGGGGAACACGACAAAGTGAAGCGCACGCTCCAGCAGGAGGAGACGGGCAGTGACATAAACACACAGTGTACAGAGCGGTGGTCGGTGCTGTGAAGACCCCTGGGGCAAGGCTAGGGGGCTGCAGAGAAGGAGACGCCACGCCAAGATCTCAGCCATTCTCCATCTTCCCCCCATACATATGCCAACAACTGAAAGTGATACTTCTGCAGCAAAGCTAAAGTCTTTCTCGGGGGAAGCAAGACTAGAAATGCCATTGAGGCCCATAAACCAGAGGGCGAGCCTCCCCAGAGCGGCCCACCCCTGGCAGCTTCCTCAGTGATGGCGAGTCGCCTCCCCGCCTGCCCCACTCACAGCATCCCGCAAAGGCCGCATCCTCGTCCGAGCCGTCGCGGCACTGGATGATGCCATCGCACACCATGGAGTGGGAGAGGCACTGCTGGCGGTTCTTACACACAAAGTCCATGAAGTGTGTGCACAGGGGCTCTGGAAGGGGTCCAGTGAGAAGGGCCATGAGCATTCAGGGTGGGCAGGGCCCTCGCTGGGCCTGGGCACACGCACCCCAGCCCAGATGTGCATTCAGGAAACAACCATTAGCAGCCACTGTGTACTGAGCACTTGCTCTGTGCCAGGCTCTGCCCTCCAGGACTTGGCATAGGAGTGCATTATAAAACCCTCAAGACAATATGATGAGAGATTCCACTGCCCTGTTTTCAAAGTGAAGCATTCTGTCAAGACCACGCAGTGAGGAGGGAGGACCCGAACTGACTGCCAGAGCCGTCTGACATCAAAGTCCACAGTGATCTTACTCTTATGGTACCAGCTCCCCACTGTAGGGCTTCACGAACTTTTCTTACACAGGCCCAGTGTTACGGACAGAATTGCAGCCCCGAAAATTCATACGCTCAAGTCTTGATTCTCAGTGCAGCTCCATTTGGAGACATTGCCTTTAATGAGGTAATTCAGGTGAAATAAGGTCATAAGGGTGGGGCCCTGATGCAGTAGGACCAGTGTCCTTCTAAGAAGACACCAGGGATGGGGACACAGTGAGAAGATGGCCTTTGCATTGGAACCACAGACACGGGCTTGTCTCGGGCCTGCCAGCCAACCCCACGGATTCTGGACTTGCCAGCCTGCATGCCAGCATGAGCTGACTACTTACAGTAAGTCTCTCCCTACACACATACACATCCTATTGGTTCTGTTTCTCTGGAGAACTCTGATACAAGCAGAGGGAGAGAGTTCTCACGGTCTTGCAGGCCATATAATCTCTATTACAACGAAGTGCTCAAATCTGCCACTGTGAAAGGACAGCAGCCAGAGACAGTATGTAACAAAGGTAGCGAGTATCTTCCAATAAAACTTCCCTTACTGAGAACGGCTTCCAGGCTGGATGGGCCCCAGGCCGGCGTGTGGACCCCTGCACTACTATGTCAGTTCTCAGTCTGGGCTGCCCAGCAAAATCCCCGGAGCACTTAAAAAAATCCTAATGCCCCAGCCACACTCTAGATAAAATCAGAATCTCAGGGGGTGGAGACAGGGACACCCAGACACCAGCAGCCTTCAAAGCCCCCCGGGGGGGTTCCAGTGTTTATTCAGGGACAAGCATCCCTGACCCAGGACAACCTTTCTGGGCTGAAAGAAGACTGGGGATGAAAAGGGTCACCTGGCCTAAAAATGTTACCCAAGTAGTAATTAGCAACACTACTAAAACCAAGAAGGTTGGGGAAATAAGGGACTAATTCAAAACAGTTGGTGGATTCATGGAACATCCTGCAACTTAACAGTAACATTCACGGGGCTGCCACCATCACCCACCACCGACTCGGCCGGTTCTCCTTCACCTGAACTGAGGTTCCCGGCCAGGATCGGCCTCCGAGGGTCCTGGCCCAGCGCTCGGGGTCAGCTCGGTTAACAGCTGGCCACAGCAGGTACTGAGCCGGAATATGCTCACAAACCACTGCGTGGGCCCCTGGGGCACGAAGCGGACTCACCGCAGAGCTGCTCGTCCGAGCCGTCTGAGCAATCCCGCAGACCGTCGCAGTGTTTGATGGAGGGGATGCAGGTGCCATTCGGGCAGCGGAAGCCATTGCACTTCTTCTCTGAAATGTAATTCAGTAACAGAGAAAATGACAATGAGGGAACAGGCGGGCACTCACTCACGTTGCTGTGGGGGGTCTAAATTTGTCCCAAATGGAAGGAGGGCAATTTGGCGATTACCACCACAATTACAAAGGCATATATGCCTTTCCCCAGCACTGCCATTTATAGAAATGTAATCTACCTACACGGGTGGAAAATAATGTAAGTACGAGGTTACTCACCGCAAGTCTGTTTGTAATAGATTGAAAACCACCTACATGTCCATCGATAGGGGGTTTTGTACTAAATTATAGTATACCAGAACACAGTAAAAACTGTTGATTATTAACCCTGTTTTTTTAAAGCTGTCTTAAGTGACTCACCATCTTAATTTCTCAGGAATTATAAACCAAAGCCCTTTTAGAGAAAGTCTGTCCTAAAAATGTTAAGAATCTTAGTTTCCGTGCTTAGCATAGAATTCTGGGCACTAGGTCACCCCTTCTCCTGAACAGAGAGCTTCTGCCAGATATTAAGCTTAGAACTCAGTGGTAGCAGGTCGGTCACAGCCATCGCAAACCCAACTCTTGGTAGAATAGTTCTCACAACGATCAGGTGGGAGGCAGGATATCATGGATTAGTCCTGTAAAAAGTCATCATTCCTAGGAAATCATTTCTAAGGACATCAAACAGAAACAGTAAAGAAGCACCATGAGTTGGGGATATATTTAATTTCCCTACGTATAAAATGTTTTTTAAAAAGTACCAAAAATTATAGGGGGTAAACCCCTACTCATTAAATTAGTGAAAACAACTAAAAAGATAAAAGGTAGTAACAACAAAGAGTTGGAGAAACATACAATATATAACTGATGGGCATGTTTTTGATATAATCACTTGGAAATGAAATCTGGAAACAATGAGACTGAGATCAATCAGAACCTTTGACCCATTAATTCATTACTGAGGAACATATGCCAGGAAGTATCTCAAAGGAAAAATAAGGCTTCATTTCCAAGGACAGGAATGGTTTTACTATATAGAACAGTGTAAAACTAAAAAGCACTCAAATGTCCAACATATAAAGTGAATATGCACCCACATAAAAATGCTAAACACAAAAAAATACGGATATATGGGAACATTTTTAAAGTGGTGATGTGAAAGGAGCCGAATATATAACAATGTGGAGATAATGATACAATCCCATGAACATTTGTACAGTGTGAAATAATAGAAAATATATACATTGGCCTCTGCCCCTGGGGATGGCACAGAGCTCCTAAAGCCTTGGAATTTCCTGGGTGATAGGAGTGTCTTTAGTTCTGATAAGGCAACCGGTGGTTGGCCCCTGAATGGCTTTAGACCAGGGGCTGATCACCAGGAAAACCGGGCCATGACTAGAGGCTTGGACTTTCCGCCCCAGCCCCCATCCTCCAGGAAGGAGAAAGGCATGGAGATTGAATTAATGATCAATCATGCCTGTGATGAAACCTCCATAAACATCCCAAAAGTACAGGGTTCAGAGACTTCCAGGTTGCTGTACACGTGGAGGCACAGGGAGGGCAGTGGGCCTAGAGAAGGCACAGAGCTCGAGCCCCTTCCCCAGACCCTGCCCTAGGCACCACTTCCACCTGGAGGCTCTTCTCCATCCTTTAGTAAAAACCAGGAGGTGTAAGTGTTTCCGTGATTTCTGTGAGCCATTCCGGCATATTACCGAACCCAAGGGAGGGGGTCAGGGGAACCCCGTATACGCAGTCAGCCAGAAGTACAGGTGACAACTTGGGACTTGGGATCTGAAAGATGTGGGACAGGGGGGAGGGGAGTCTCGAGGGACTGAGTCCTTAACTTCTGGGTTCTGACTCTACCTTGAAGGTTTGTCAGGTTGAGCTAAATTACAGGACTCCCTGCTGGTGTCAGGAATTACATGATGTGGAAAACATCCATCCGAGCAGTGTCAGAAGTAGCGTTTCTGTGAGCAGACTAGTGAGAGCAGAGGAGAAAAACAAGAGTTTTTCTTACAGACACAGGCAAAGGGCAGGAAACCTTAAAAATATTTGGTATAAAAAGCATTTTATAGATTGTGTTTGTATGGTAAGCAGTTATGTGGTTCATTTCTACTGTGAGGGGCACTACTCAGAATTCTTTTTTGAATCAATTATACTGAAAAAGTGCTACCTGAGGGGTGGTGAGCCGTGTTCCCAAAGGGCCAGTACCGAGAACGCTTAGTCATAAAGTACGCTATTTATACAGGAACTGCTGGCTAATTTCTGGCAGAACGCTGCTAATATGATGCAGTTGGCCCTCTGGGTGGGTTAGCTGGTCTCCATTTCTTTTTTCCGTTAAGTTGTAATGGAAAAGCAGTGAGGCGAAGTGCCTGCCCGAGAATTAAGAGCACACGACACACCCCGCTATGCCCCATGGCAAAGCCACCCAGAAAGTGGGTGGGCTGGTCTGTTGTCAGAGTGGGGACACGGGCACAGCAAAATGCTACTTCAACTCCTGGCCCATCTGCCGCCTCTTTTCCTGAACAGCTGGCGAAGCTCCGGCTGGGAACCAGAGCGTTTGCACTTACCGCAGTTGACTGGTTCCTCGTCAGAGCCATCTTGGCAATCCGTGTCCCCGTCGCACGCCCACCGCTGGGGGATGCAGTGCCCGTTGCGACACTGGAAGTTGGAGGCCTCGCAGGTGTGATAGATGGCTGCCAGCAAAAGAGAAGGCAGAGACTGTCAGTGCCTCCCTCACCCCTGCTCCCCTGGCAACCATCAAGGGGCTGACGGAAAAGGCATGACCTGGAGCATCTGAACCAAGAGACAGGCACCTGGTGCTGCCCTGAAGGTGGAGTAAAGCTTCCAGAGTGGACGAGGACTCGAGTCGGTGGGTTTATAAATGTCACACAAGCACAGAAATACAGGTTAAAAAATCATTTACTTTCACAACCACTTATGAAGTAGGGATGGATTCCTTTTTACAGATATGAAACAGGCTTAGAGAAATTAAGAAAATCACCCACATTCACAAATAATAAGTAACAGCACCAGGGCTGCCTGAGACCAAAGCCTGTGCTTTTTCTTTATCTTGCTACTCTGTCTTCTCATGAAAATCCTCCCACTCATTCAGATTCTACAGGATCAGGAGAGGTGGCAGAAGTCAGGAAACCAGGTGCTACACCCAGTCCAGCCACTGTTTGAGGGCCTCAATTTCATCACCTATATTGATATTTGATGATCTTTGTAAACTCAGAAAGGTATGATTTTATAATTCTAAAGAAACTACCCAATTTCAAATGTGGGAAACCTCTGGTCCAAAGAGCATAAAGGATTTATCCAAAGTCAAAGGGAAACCAGACCCCAGCACCGAGCACTGTCTTAACTTTCTGGGTCAGTCAAGAGCAGTATCTTCCAGTCAATTCTACAATAATACACGGCATCCACTCTAATCACAGGAAGAAAAAAAGAGGGAGACAGAGAACCACTTTTAGACTGAACAGCCTCATTTGCATATGTGGGCTGAGGCCACATGGAAACCATTTAAAAACATCTCAAAACCTCAGTCAAAGACTAGCTCAAATGCATAATAACCACCTCAAACCCAACCAACATTACCAACCGCCTTCTCTCCCAGATTTCCCTTTCTTCCTCTGAAACAGAAAGCTGTTTGTGTCTCGTCATTGGTGAATGAAAGCCAGGACTGGCCTTGCTTCCAACCAACATAAAATAATACAACCGAGAGAGACAGGCCCTCTGTTAGTTTAACTGTGGACAGGACGTCTTCACAACAGAAGCAGGCAAAACAAACAAAAATGGGTTGTTGAAGGCAAACTATAGTTACTTATTCAGTCAAGATGGTTGGCAATAAGCTACTCAAAGGTTGGGAAAACTGACTTCCAAAGCCCTCTAGAATCTCTACTGAATTTGAGGCTCTTTTTTGCAATACTCTGAAATAGAAAGGACCTGATTTTTCAAACCACTTTAATACACGGGGTGGTCCATTATCTGTTGTCTTCTTATCTCTCCAAAGACCACGGCCCTGTGTGGCAGCATGCAAACGGATCCACAAGAAGTTTCAATAGTGTACAACCTTCGGCACTCAGAACCCATTAAACATCTTTATTAAATATACTTCTCTCTGATAAGAGGAGTAAGTGTATCATGCATGTTCAATGAGCTTTTGCCCCAGGAACAGCCTGGAATACTTTTGATCTATTGATTTTACAAGTCTGACAGCCCTTAAAAAAAAAACAATCCCTCACCAAAGCCTTGCTCACTTTCACACGAGATACTTACTATTGCCTGAACTCCATGCCACACTGAATATGCTTGTTATAATTCAACCTATGCATTTCACTTCTAACTGAAAACAATTTCAGAGGACTAATGGACTTTCCAAATGACCATTCTGGGAGACATGTCTGAAATCTCAGATTCTATCATAGAACTAAGCACAGAAAGACTATAATCAGTTTGAGCAATTTCATTCAAGTGGCCAGGAATGACTGGAATGCTTATTGCAGTCTCTTTTTCTGGATTTTTCCATCTTCTGAATAACATACTAGTTCTCTGACATTGGGTATCTGGTAAGTAATCCATTCTTTTACAAGGGTGGAAGAGACTGACTTTAATACAGACTAAAGAATTTGGGGGGTTAGGAATCCTTGGCATGATGGGATACATGGGGCTCTGAGAACAGAAAAGGCTAATGGGGTAAAGGATCATGAAATCGGAATATCAGGGTTTCTAAGAGCGGCCAATATGCTACAACTCACTCCCTGACTTTGACAGATCTTTCCTGACTCAGGAAGACCCTCTATAGTGATAGCTAGAGAGAAGAGACCATCCAGGTGTGGTTCAAACAGATAATCTGACAGGAGAATTCAAACCAACACAGAAGGGGCCAGAAGGAAAGAGGATAAATTCTATAAAAAAATACCTACAGAAAATTATGACAAACCTAGAAACCCAGATCCATCTAAATTTAGGACTGAGATCAGAATAAAGACATTTACATAAACAAAACCTTGGAAGAGTTTACCCCTCACAGACTCCTACTGCAAGAAGCACTGAGGGCTGGACATCAAAGGAAAGCATTAGATACAAGAAGCAAAGGTAACCAACTGGTGAACAGGTAGGTACCCAGAAATAAGTTTGGCCATTAAAAAATAACAATGACCAATTTTAAGATTTTTCAGATGCAAAGTTCAAATACCAAGTAGTCAGTATTTTTAAATACCAAGTAGTCACTAAGTATTTTAGTATTTTATCTGGGTGTAGAGATTGGAATCAAATTATTCTGAAGTCCTGGCAGGTCTAGGAGAAGGGAAAGCCATTAAGAATACACATAAAAACCCAGTAATTCCACTCCTAGGAATTTACCTGAAGAAAACAAAATCCTTGATTTAAAAAGATATTCAAAAAGATATATGCACCCCTATGCTTATCACCACACTATTTGCAATAGCCAACATATGGAAGCAACCTAAGCATCCATCAATAGATGAATGGATAAAGAAGATGTGGCACATATATACAATGAAATATTATGCCATAAAACGAAAAGAAATCCTGCCATTTGCAACAACGTGGATGGACCTAGGAGTATTATGCTCAGTGAAATAAGCGAGGCAGAGAAAGACAAATACCATATTTCACTTATTTGTGGAATATAAAAACAAAGCAAAACAGAAGGAACAAAACAGTAGCAGACTCACAGACACTGAGAAGTGACTAGTGGTTACCAAAGGGGAGGGGGAGGGCAGGTACAGGGGCCAGAGGTGGGTGGGAGGGTGGGGAGAGGGATAAAAGGGCGCAATAATTTGCAATCACAATATCAAGTTGATCATGGGGACTGTTAAACCACTGTGATGGATATTTGAAATCAATATAAGATTGTATATTAACGGTACTTAAATAAAAATAAAAAATTCTAAATGCATGTAAGATGTCTAAGGGTAACAGCTGTAAGAACAGAAATCAAATGTATAAAGTTCAAAATCATTACAGGGAGGTGAGGAGAAGGCAGTAAGGAAAACCCAATCCCATGGAAAGCAGAGGTGGGGAAGAACAAGGACAATGTATGCACAGACCAGGCACACGAGCTGACGCCAAAGGCAGTCGGCTGGCTCAACTATTTTCTTTGGCTTTGCATATGACTTAATTTATTAGGTCAGGAAATAAAGTGACATGCCACACATCTTAATGAGCTCACATCTGATCTCAGACCGTGCTGAGATGATAGAAGAGAGTAGCCTTTAAAAGGTTTGGAAGAACGGCCATCGGAACAGGGAAAAAGCACACACATTTCCCCCAGGTTGCCCTGCTGCAGAAGAGCAGAGACAAAACCAGGCATCCGTGATGAGCTACTCACAGAGATGAAGATGCTACTTCATGCTGGAGGACTGGCCCACGCTGCTGAAACTCGAGTTTCACTGGTGTGGTTGTGCTAATAACAAGATGTTCAATCATCCTGCACTTTACAGACTGAAGTGCCCAAGGGCACCCCTCTAATTTATTAACCAATTATCCACCCAAACACAAAGCTTCCAAACAGCACTTGTGTGCTTCCTGGGCTGACGGGCAGTTCCTTCACTGATGTTGGTTTCTCCCCGTTCTGTACACAGAAATTTTTTTCTGCGAGCCTTCCAGAGGCAGAGCTATAGACAGTGAGATGCAGAATTTGGTACATCACAGATCATCCTGTGTGGTGTATATGGCATTTGAGGAAACCCGTGTCCTCCTTCAGGCCACGTAAGGTTGCCTCTGTACTACAATGAATGGACCGAAGGACTGACATTACCCAGCCAGCAAAGGGTCTCTGAACATATCCTCTACCAGACACTGGACACTGGGAGCAGGCAAAGGCCATTTCTGCCCTTCAGGAACCCAGTCTAAAGCAGAGCACAGCACAGTTACTCATATTTAAGTTTGGGATATGATAACAGATCTCCTTTCTTTTTTCTTGCTTTTGCTAAACAGTAAGCATGGTTTGAGCTCCCAGATGCTGGGCTGGGTAGGAACTGCTGGGGTATCGTGGGAGCAGGGAGATTAAGACCTGGGATCCAAAAGTCACTTCACAGAAGTAATGATCCACACCGGGTGACTAAGAGGTTGGCATGTTAACAATAAACTGCAAGCAAAGCCTGAATTATCAGTGTAAAAGCAGATCTGCCCTCACCATAAAATGGCTAAACAAAACTTATCTCCGTCACTGGAAGGATTTAAGGTACAACTGAATGACAATTTCTAGAGGAAGGTGCACAGAAAACTTACTTATCACGTAGTAGAATTTGTTTTTATTCCTTCACAACCCCCACCCCGCCCCCCAGCTCCTTGCTCCCTGCCACTCCAATACAACCTATACGGGCTTCATACATTCATTCTTAAAAAACAGTGAAATGAATATGAATGAAATGAACCTATTACCCAACAGAAGAATTAGGACATTATCTCTACCTTACACCACCTAGCCTTCTTCTCACAGTCTCATGGTTTTTCCAACTTTATTTTTAATGAAATGTTACCCCAAACAGATGTAAGTACAGTTCAAGTCTTCACAGTTTGTGGTGCTCTATTCTAAAGCATGAGCTAGTTTGGTGCTACTCAATGTATGCTCCTCAGAGCAGGGGCTGCTCTGTAAACTGCTTATTACTGGTCCTGAAGAAATAAGAAGCTGAGTCACAATGCAAATCAATCATATCGCTCAGGACACTGCTTAGTTCAGTTAACATTTCTGCAATGCAAGACTTTCTCAATGCAGGAAGCAGGGCGTCGATTTACATTTTGGCGCAAGCTTATCACAGATCAGCTCTCTGAGTAGCATTCAACCAGTTGATTTCTAAGGTCCATTTCTGAGAGCCTAGAGTTGAGGATCACACAGGGCTGCAATGTTAAGCAGCATATGAACAGGTGAGTATGAGGGAGTCCAGGAAATACTGACCAGTACAGTTGGCTTCATCGGACCAGTCCCTGCAGTCATTGTCCCCGTCACACACCCAGGAGGAGCGGATGCACATGCCAGAGCTGCAGTTGTATTCATCACTCCGGCACTGGTGCATTTCTGCAGGTGAGACCACAAACACAGAGATGAGAGGGCAAAAGGTCGCCAAAGCTCCTAAGGGGTAGAGATGAACCAGTTACCCCCTTTATCCCTGATTATCCAGAGACGGCATTGATGAAGAACCTTAACCTTGGATGCAAGGTCATCCAGGACGGGCTCCCACTGGTGCGCTACAAATGGGGTGCAGGCGAGCAGAGTTACTGACACCTGTACACTCTTGCCACCGGTTGCTCTAGGCAAGAGCAACCTTGTCCACTTATCTGGGTGCACTTTACAAATATTACCACTTGCCATGCCTGCTATGATGGGAAGCAGTCAGGAAGCAATGTTCTAGTTGCCCAGAAAGTAGAATTGTCAAGAAACAGACTTGTTGAGACAGAGCCTAAGGCTTCACAAAAAAAGGAGTTATAAGAACTCTGAGCACACCAGTCAGTATGAGATGCTTGGCTCAGGGAAAGCGAGAGCAGTGCTGAGCTTCCAAAGCAGGGGAAATGCAAGCTAAGACTGCACACTGGAGAGGTCCGGGGACACTGGCTGGCGGACTATCTCTACAGGGCAAGGGCAGAGGCGAGTTAACCCAGACAGCCTGAAAGAAGGCTACGTGGGCAGCATCTTTTGCAGACCTGGAGATGTCATCAAGACAGAACATTCAGATGGAATTGTAAAGATGCTCTGGAAACAGGAGCGGCACAGCCTGGGGCCCCCGGCAGCTGCCTCAGTTGCCTGACCCAAGAGACGGTGGTGGCGATGCTGCTGATTCGGACAGTCACGAGGAAACAGTCTGAGACTCAGGAAGAGGACCTGGCTCCGAGGCTGTCAGGACTCACCAAGGCCTTGGGAGGGATTCTGAATACACGCGCAGGGAAGGGCCCCGAACAGAGTCTCACAAGGGCTGAAACTGTCTGTCACACATGCCCAGTGAGTGACTGAAACGACATCACTGAAACATAACCATATGGACTGTCCTTCCTGTTAGAGCAAACCAGCTGCCCACTCCAACCCTCTGAGCGAGGAGCAGACAGGAAAAGGGAGAGCTGTTCTGAATCCCAAGGACTGCTTTCAAGAACATCCTATTTTTGCAAAGATGAAGGAAAATTATGCAATCCCTCCAAAAACCTCCTCTGAGAGCCAGGCTAGAAGCATTTACTCTGGTCCCTCTATTTCAGTCCCTGCAAGTCAAACTACCTGCTCCTGATAAAGCAGGCCCTGTCCGTCAGCACAGGCACAGCCTGACCCGACCTGCCCCCATGGGTGGGCAGAGCCCTGCAGGGCCACAGTGTCTGGGTCAGCGTCTGGACTCCATTCTGGCTTCCCTTTTATGCCCAGGAGCCTCCAATCTAGTAACTATACATACTGCAGAACATCTCCGCCTCCGACGGTCAGCAGCTACGAATTTGGTACCAGAGCTCATTAACTAAGATGGGCTTGTGAAACTGAACGGCAGTACTGGGCATGGGAGACACGGATTCCTGTGCCCTGTTCTGACACAAGCTAACTGTGTCACGTTCAATAAACCTCTGACCTCTAGGGACCTCACTCATTTAATCTGGAAATAAAAGGACTGAGCTAGAGACTCCCTATCACTCTTTGCAATTCCAACGAACTACTTTTTTCTAAATATACGCACTTCCATTCAGAAACCAGATGCTTACACAGTGTTTGAACCATCTGCTGGCTTCTAACAGTTTAGAATTCAGCTGGTAGTTCACAAAGGTATATGGATCTCTGTCTTGGGGAAGCTAATATCACAGCCACCCAGGTGTGAACGAGTCTGCAGAGCTGATCATACTGCCTGAATTCACCTAGAATCTTAGTGTCACATTCATACTTTGAGCATCCATCTGCGCAAGGTACAGCTGGACCAACACACTGTAAGTGAATCAATCCTACCATGTGGGTGGAGGTGGTCAAGCAGCCAAACATCAGAAACGGTTTTCAGAATCCACCATTCCCAAGCCAGCCCATCCCCTAGTACAGTGAGCAGGGAACGGGGCTCCTGACACCACGTCCTCTTACCACAGTGACTTTCATCACTGTTGTCTCCACAGTCATCCTCCAGGTCACATTTGTAGGAGAGTGGGATACAGGTTCCGGACTCCTGGCAGCGGAACTGGGTGTCCAGATCACACACGGTCGTAGCTAACACGCAAGAGAGAGATGGCACTCATTAGGTACAGTTAATTCCCCCCAAATACAAGCAAACATCGTCCTGGGGGGAAAAAAACAATTAAAAAAGAGAAAGGAGCAGATTTTAACTGTTGCACCAGAAACAAAACCTAGACTTAAAGGAAAAACTAAACAGCATGAGAAGCTGATTATTTACAACCAAGGGAGGTAAGAGCCCATCTTGCCAACGACAGCTTCCAGGTGGGAGGAGGCGAGAAACTGTCATGTAGCTGGGAGAGAGAGTGACGGGCTAGACCCCCTCCTGAGATCCCCTCAGACGTGAGGTGTTCTCCTAAATCAGTGGCAGAAACGCCTTCTCCTGCAACACCCCACTCGGAAGCCCAGCTTCACACACGGAGCCCACGCCCTGTCGCAGACCAGGGAGGGAGGGAGGCGGCGCGGAGGCAGGTCTCTGCAGCAGCAACACAGCCCTGCTGCCGGCCAGGACTGGGTTTCAGAGGCTGGCTCTCCTCTTGGTCGGGTTAGTTCTAACCTTCCGGAGCCTGTTCCCTGATAAAAGGAGGGTAAGGTAACATCAGAAAGACTAGAGGAGGATCTAATTTTACCAGCTAAGATTTGCTTAACCTACCCACTCTGTGCCTCCAGTCCCTCTACAGGTAAAATGGAGATAATACCTACACCGTGGCATGATTATGAAGGTAAATAAGAAAAGTCCGCACCAGAGCCAATTAAATAGGGTGCAAACACAAAGGGCTCTAAACAAATGCCCCGTCTCTTCCTCTCACTCTTCTGCATCTGAAGGAGCACAGAATGAGATTTTTGTCCCTTTTCTAAATAGAAATGACAGGTGTAGGCACGATCCCTGGAGCCCAGCGGATGGGGCTCCAGGAAGGGCTCTGGGAAGGACAGCTGTTCTCGGGGGCAGCTGATGCGGAAGGCACAGCCCCAGAGCAGATCCCGGGAAGCAGGGTGCAGGGGAGAGAACGCCAGCAGCCCTGCAGCCAGAATCCCCAGCAGCTCTTGTTGGAGGCTCCATTTCTCCGCTGTAATTGAGCTTGTGGTGGGAGGCAGGGGATGGATATAAAAATGACAAGTCTGCAGGGGGTCCACGTCAAACCCTGGAGCGCCTGACAACTACCCAGCACAGGAGTCTCTGCTGACAGGCCCCCGCCCACGCCTCCCATCACCATGCCCCTGCTCCCCCCTGGCAGCGGATGGGGAAGCACCTTCACTTCCCAGACAGCAGAGCCCAACACGGCCTGTCCCTCCCTGTCGCCCTGCCCCTGGACGGGTGCCACCCACCCCCAGCACCCATCATGATAAGCACTTGCTCTCTTCCAACTTGGTAAGGGAGATGCACACAAAGGCACAGATAAGCACCAGAAGATTCTAGTTCCCAGGCTCTTGGTTCTCGTTTCCCAGGCTCCGCACTTTGACCCTTGAGCCCTCACCTGCTCAGTTGCCACATTGGATGAATTGGGCAAGCAGAATTGTGAGAGAGCAGAGCAGAAAGCCATCTTCAGGTCTCGGGAGGGTCAGTCCCAGCTGACATTCATGCCAAGCCAGGAGGAGATCAGAGTCGGCTGCGCACCTCACCCAGAGGGGATGTGCAAACTGCGGAAGCCCACGAGGCTGGGGGCAGAGCTCAGAGCACTGGGTGGGAGGCAGCACTCCCTGGAGATGGAGGGGATCTTTCTCTCAAAACACTGAACCCATATGAGACCCCAGTTTGTCCACCTAGAAGAAACCAAAGCCAAGGGACCCAGGGCGGAATCCCCATCTACTGGACACGAGGTCATCTCGTGTACCGCTCTGCGGCCAGGATATCTCCCTATGTTGAAGCAATCTTCTTGTTAACCCTTAGAAGTGTCTCTTCTCCCAGCCCATCATGTACTGAGCTCCTTTCCAGAACCTGCTCTCACGTTGTAAATATTTAGGAACACTTTTAAGGAGTTTTGGCTCTTCCCCACACATACCTACTACACCTTCCCAAGACTCTAGCAGGCAGAGAAGATTTTATCAGTGTCCTTTCTGCAGAAAAGAAGGCCAGCACTGTCCAAAATCTGCCCATCAGTAAGCTCATCCTCAGTGTGAAAGGTGTCCACTGACACCAAGAAAAGATGATGAAGGAAAGGTCTGCCGGGGGACCTACAAGCCCATGCACAGTGCCGCAGGGCCCAGACGGGTTCAGGGGCTGACTGCTCCCAAAGGGACCCTGCGGGGGCTCCGCAGCTAGCTGGCTACATACACCCGCCAGGGGCCAGAGGAGCATGTGGGGCCAGGAGCCAGCCACCTAGGAGTCTGTTATTCCAACACAAAGTGGCAAATGAACTTCTGGGTTTCCAAAGGTAAAACAGGTGAAGGAGAAGCCTTCAGGGTGGTTGTCTGGCTTCCCTGCCTCTGCTTTCTCCCACCTGATTCATTGTGCCCGCTGCCTACCTTTCCAAAGGCAAAAATCTGATGTGTCATTTAACGGTCCCCTGCTCTTCTGAAAAAGTCCACAGGCACTTGCTGCTGTGGGTCCCCTGCACACACTGGTCCATGCTCCGTTCTGACCTCTGGGCTTTCACACATCCTGTTCTCTGGCCTAGATCATCCTTCAGGGCTCTTCATAGATACCTACCCGTGTCTTATTTGGGTGCCCTTCCTGTATGCACACAGCGCTCCCCCATTACAGCATGCATCGCTCTACTCTAAGCTACTCTGAGTACCTCTTCCTTCTGGGAATCTCCCTTCAGACTACAAACTCCAGGCCCACCTTGATCACCAGTCTCTCCCCAGGCCCAGCACAGAGCCTGGGACGAAGGGTCAGTATATGAACACATTACTGACTGTCAGCATCCTTCTAAGATGCTGTCAAGGCTACTGAAAATAAACTGAATTAAAAAAAGAGCTGAAGTTTACGGTAGATAAATTACCCATTATAAGCAGCTATCTGTCTTTAAACCCTGTTCAATAGAATCATATACTTTAGCAGTTGGACTTTAGAAATTATACAGCCCAAAGATGACGTCTACACGCACACACACCGATGTCCCCACAGTCCAGGCCACACTAGGCATCACTCGTCAATTAGATCGATTTCTCTTGAGCCTGGCAGGCGGCTGACGTCAACTGACGTCATTTAAGGTAAATGTGGCATTTAAGGTAAAACCTGTTTCCCACCCTGAAGAGGCTGAATACTGAGTTTACGAATCAAGGAAGGCCCCCAGGTCACCCAGCTCATGGGTGTTACTTATCACAGTGGTGGGGCCACAGTTAGAGCCCAGATCCCCCGGCTCCCAAATCAGCTCAGTTTCAGCCACGGGATGCTCGTGTGCAGCTCCCAAAATGAGGGCTAACTTACACTCACAGGGGTTCTTTTTTTCAGGAATCACATGTCTCTACTTGGCTGTGGAAATGTGTTTTGCCCACTAAGGGCATCACCCCTCACAAGGGCCGCCCCACCCCCAGGAGAAGCCCACCAGCCTCTTGAGTGTAACAGCGAACGCTTAGCATCCCGAGAGCGTGGCCAGACCCAGGACTCACGGCAGTTCCTCTCATCGCTCATGTCTCCACAGTCGTTGTCAAAGTCACACCACCAGATGCTGTTGATGCAGTTGCCGTTGCTGCAGCGATACTGGCTGTGGAGACAGGTGTTTTCTGGCCACAGGGATAGAAAGAGGAGGAAATGAAACCAACATTACTCTTAAGGCTGAACCACTAGACCTCCTGACCTGCCCTTTCTCTTCCTCAGATAACACACGTTAGATGGTAAAAGGAATGACAGACGCCGAGCTCACATGCATGCAGGGGAGGGAGCGCCCAGCAGAGGCCCCCTTCTTTCCTCTTTTAATTGAAATTGAAGAAGAGGCTGGCTAGAGGGGTGTCAGAGCTGGTTACAAGGCTAAAAAGGAGACTAATGATGCCAGTTGGGTCTAGTGGGTAGAGAAACCACACATCAACATTATAAAGCACTAATTACACAAGGAACTCCTTAATGAACTGTGTTGACACAGTATTCCACCAACACACACATGCAATAGATTTGCAGCTGCATATAGTCGTATATAGTCATGTATATTCGATTATCAACCAAGAGAATTAGGAAGATTTTCTTTACATACTCTGAGGAATTTTTTTTCTACCCCATGACTTCTTTCCAGCAAGCAGTTTTAATTCCTCACACGCACACACAAAAAAAACTGCACTGTTGAGGAAACTGGGTCAAGAACACGAGAGGACTGGGTGAGACCAGGTGTGCTGAGGAGGCATCCAACTGGTCCTTTTCCAAGTCAGGCTGGTCCAACTCACAGAAAGCAGAAGTTGGAGAACGCAGATGTGGGGGACGGATGAGGACAGGAGGACGCAAAAGAAGGGAAAAGGTAGACCCTGGGGAAAGCCCATTTCGTGGGATGTTAAACCAAAAACATAGCTTTCATTTTTAAATAAACAGCAGGGGCCTGTTCTGGATGAGGACTGAGGTACCGCAGGCCTTAGAACCTCAACCAGATGCCTGTGAGTATCCAGGGGATTTTATTTCTACCTTAGGTATTTTCAGTGACCCCAAAGTATGATGGAATTGAGAGCACGGGTAGAGAAGATGGAAGACGGGAGGGAGGATGACAGGCAGGAAAGAAACAGAGACGCACCTTCTTTGACACAAGTGTTGTTCTCCATTTGATAGCCCGGTGGGCACTCGCACATCAGGTCCCCGGATGGGAGGACGCTGCTGGACACACCCTCTGGACACCGGCAGCTTTTTGTGTTGTTGGCCTTGGGCAGGCACAGCAGGCTGCATGGCCTGGGCACGCAGGCGTTGCTTCCTGGAGAGAAGCAAACAGCCGCAGCACCCAGGTTAGCAAACAGCAGGGGACACTGACCGAGGACTGACACCCTCACTTGACAAACACATCGGCCGACAGCCTCTGCTCAGAACCCCGTGCAAGGGCCTGACCCACACGGGCCTTCGGCTTGAGCAGACTGCCCCGGAACGGAGCCAGGCACCAGCTATTCCTCCTGGGAATGTGCGACTGGGATACTGAGAGGCTACAAAGGACTCGGGGAACTGGAGCTGAGTGGAAAGTCACATCACACGGTGCGTCAAAGGTGACCTAGGGCAAGCCAAACCTTGTGCAAGTCAAAGCTGAGAAGCAAACTCGGACGTGTGGGTAAGACGGGTCTACAAAGAGGCCAGGGAATAAAGCAGAATTAATTACAGAGAGAGGGACAAGGACACCACGAGGGCTCCAGGGGGAAGGGGAGAGATAGGCTGGCTAGTTTTGCCATTCTCAGTTCCAGTCCCACAAGGTTCACCTACACTTCTGACCTCTGAGTTCCTTACTGTCCCCCTTTATTCCTTTAACAGCACTTTTCTCTTCAGTTGGCTTGAGTGGTGCCTGTTCCTTAGGACCCAGAGGCCCTTAGTTAGAACCTGCACCTGAGCAATGGCAGGGCCCAGACAGATATCCCAGCCTCTGCCTCTCAACTCGTTTGTGCTGGAGCACAGCTGCCGAGCTAAAAGACGAACAACCACAGGACTCATTAGCCACTGTCTGTCGTGCAATAAATTCACATAAGGACTAGTTAATGCTGATCTATCCCATTATTTCCAATCTTTTCTCTGGTTCAGCTTTCCAAAGAGAATGCCAGATAGAGGCCATAAAACCCTCCACTGCACTCTTGAGAGAGAACCTTTGCAGATGGACAATGACAGAAAAGGTATTTTCCTACCCCCACAGCTTTCTGGGAAGGAGAGAAAAGGAGGCATTAACCCCTTGAAACAACTGGAAATGCGACACAACTATCAAGCATCATATAAGGACAGAAATTTTGGAATGTATGCCTTTTCTTTTGCCTGTAACTATTCATCACCAAAATTGGGAAAAATAAACTTAAATGCTTTGATAAAACTCAACCAGTGATGCCTCTTCAACTGTGCCATCTCGCGGACATAGAACCTCACCAGAATCACATCAAAGCAACTGGTTTCCATCCAGCCAACATTTTCGCTATGCTGTGCCTATCCTGGCCTGCGGGTTGGAGAAAAGCATCATTAATGACAATCACTACTGACAAGGATGACAAGACACTCAGTGGCTTTGGGTGTACTGGGCACGGCATTGGTATTAACCAGTGTTAAACATAAAAATAACAATCACACTGATACTCAAACAGTGTTGTTTCAATGCTAAGGAACAAAGAATATAAAGGGCTACCAAGTAGATAAAATACACACCCACAGAGGGAAATCCATATGATGCAACATCCAAAAGGGCTCCCCAAATAATTCGATCGACCCTAAGGGGTGGATTACCACAGTCAAATAACCAGCTGATGAGAGCAGAAGTGCCAGAAATCAATTCACCCTGATCCGCTCCAAGGGCAGACTGTTCTTCTATCACAAGCACACATGCCAAAGGCGATGGGAAGGTATACGGAGCCATCACTCATGAAAAACAGCTCCAAAAGGGTCTGGAAAATATTCTCTGTATTCAAAGGCAATGTATTGTACAATGTTCCCAAACTGAACAATAACAGAGTATTTGAAAAGTACTCAATGACAGGCTAAAATTTTCACATGGGTTGTATCTGTAAGATAATGTGACTAACATTTTCACATACAGAGCAAATATTCCTAAGCAAAGAAGTAAGAGCCAAAGAACAGAGTCCAAAATGGGGATCGATGTGCCTGAAGGCTGGTCTGGGCAGACATGCACACAGTCTCAGAGGGAGTATGCGGGGCAAACCCCAAACCAAGCCAACCAAGTCCCTGATCCCAAGATGCTCTGCAGGTCAGGAGCCAGCAGGCTAGTCCCGAGAAAACGGGAGAGCCACATCAGAGAGACCTGGGAGAACATGGAAGGAGATTCAGCAGAAAGCTGCCAGAACACAGCCACAGCCCTTTACCCAGGATGACACAGTCTTAGTGGGCCAGGCAGATGATGTAAAGAGCACCAACCCAGTGTGATGAGGGACTAATGACGGCCGTCACCTCCAACGACGACCCTTAGACGACCCAACACTCAGGTCCATGACATCTTCCTGAGGCACATTCAGAACATTTTCAGATTTCCTCCAGAATCAGTTTAGAAGCCAAAATTGCTCTTCTCCTGATTAATTATCTATGCATCTAACAATTATCAAAGTCAAGTCCACCCCATAAACACATGCCGTCATTATATTGAAAATCCCTCACTGACCACAAGCTCTGAAGGAGAATTCCAAGAGCTCCAAAATATTTTAATCCTTTGCGACATCCACCGAATACATTAAGAGCCTTGCAGAGTAAGCTGTTTAAAGGCAAAACACTTTTTATGGAGAAAATATTCCAGCCCACACTATGCAAAAATCAATGAGGTATGAAGATAAGAAATGCATATGTGTTTATAACCAAATATCCTAAAAGGACAAATGTTCCAAGCAAAGAAATTTTTATCATGAACAAGAATCAATCAACATCCCATCCTTATAAATCACCGGAGCGTGTACTATAGCACCGCTACTCCAGCAACATCCGCTACAGGGCACCGAGACTAATGGTTTTATTTAAGTCAAGCTTCAAAGTCAACTAGACCACGGCTCAATTTCTTACCACTTTCTAAATGTGTGATGTAGAAAAGCTACTGAATCTGGCTTTCATGTTCTCATCTGCAAAATGGAAATGGTAATAGTACACATAGATTTGGGGAAGATTAACTTGAGGTTATGCAAACCCACAAAGCATTAACATGGTGGTTATGACACAGCAATCCCTTGTTCAGTATAGTTCCTATCACTATTATTGTTATTATTATGTTTTTACACTTGGCTAATAGAAAAGTCCTAAGCGGGTTAGGAGCAGACAACAAAAATAATAAAGATTGACAGGGACCAGGGGTTGCCAATACGACTCATGAATTTTCAATATTCTCAGCGCAAAAGACCAAGAGGCACCCACTGCCTCCAGGCAGCGCTGGTAGCCAGATGCCGCTGCAAGAGCGTTGCGTTAATCCCAACTTACCTGTCCGAAAGATTACAAACTTCCTTCTCTGGCCCTGCATCTTTGGGCAGGAGGCCCCCTGGAAGTATCCTACTGACACGAAAGAGACAAAGAAAATCCCAAAGGCAGTGGAGCAAGGAGCCCAGAGTGGGCACCAACTGGCCCTGATCCTGCACAGTCCCAAGCCTGTGTTCCACCAGCTGCACACAGCTCCTCTCTCCAGACCCCAGCCAGACTCCCAGAATCACACTGGCTAGTTTAAATGGCGGGGGAGTCATGCCTAAGGTGAGACAGGCAGGCCTCTCGGTCCTGCACCAGGAGAGGGCACGTGCACATGCTTAGACCACAAACCCCTACCAAGCCACCGCACAGCAGTTGTGTGACGTGATCAGCCACGACTCGGGGACAGAGAGCGCAGCAGCGCCAGTTCACCTGAACACAGGGCTTCGGGAACTGCTGTGTGCTCACAAAACACGCTTACAAGCCCTTGTCAAGACAAAGACCTGCTCTTCTGGATTGGGCGCTGACTTAGGAAAACGCTGACAATTCACATGGCTTGCTAGGAAACGGATCAGCAAGGGTGGGCGTCCTCCACCAAACAAGCGCCCTGAGATTTCAGCCGCTGGAGCTGGGAAGCAGGATCCCTTCATCAAACCCTATTTTAAAACAGGGTTTTAAGAACACCTCTAAGAAAGAACGTCACTTCTACGTTTAGCAGCAAAAATGGAACAAAAGCCCAGCTCCTAAACTAGAAAGGGCCCTTTGGGAAAGCTGATTCCTTTCTGAGATTCTGTTCCCTCATCTACAAACCAGGGATCCCAAGAGCAGCCCTGCCCACCTCACACATCTGTTGTGAAAACACCAATGACACAGCCTTACATCTCTGGGATACTGTATAGTGTTTTAAGGCTAGTTCTTATGCTATCCTCATTGGGCCCAGAAGGACAACAGTGATACCTGGAACCGTACTGTTTCCCTTTGCCCATTTTCTCTTAGCACAGGGCCAGCAAAAACCCACGAAACAGTATCAACATCTAAACAGGTTCAAAACAGTAAACCTAGCAGTTTGTCAATAAAGGCGAGTCAGCAGACCTGAGCTGCTATTTAATCCTGCAGAGATAAAGAAGGCACACCTTAAAGAGACTATTCTTCCTCTGAATTCCCTGCTTTCTTTCCTCTAGAACCAACTGCCAGGGTGGGAGATAAACCAAGAGAACGGGCAGTGAAATAAGGGAGAAGGCTTTCTACTGGATAGTTTCAGACTCCAGGACCAGCAGGTCAAAAGCCTCATAGGAGGTCCCGAAGTCTCGGCTGACAAGGACATCTATTATCTATACCCACTGACAGGGGCTCCCTTTCCATTATTTCTTCCCATAAATGTGAACTGAGCACCTACTAAGTGCTAGGAAGTGGCAAAATTGTTGAGCCAAAAAAGAGAAAAAGACACATCTCCATCTTCATGGGGCTTCAAGTTTCATGGTAGGGATATATTAATTAATTCACAGAGACCTACACCTAGATAAACAAGGAAAGCAGGTGCTCAGCGAGGTCACTGGGCAGCTGGAGAACGAGACACAACTCCTGTTGGGAAGGAGGAACTACCTGCTCCCAGAGCTCAGCCCTACTCCCTGGAAGCAGCCAAACAGGGATAAAGCACATGCTGGGACTCACCAGCTGCAACAAAAGCCACACCACCAATCAGTAAGGGGCCAAAGGAAGGAGGCAGCTGTAATTACCCACCAAGTACCGACACGCTAGGCAGGGAAAAGCACGCTGTCTTCCAGCTGTTTGTGTATCATTAGAAAAGAAATTAAGATGTCATTAGGAAGAAATTAAATAATGTGCATGTTGTCGTGACAACAGAGATGCTGGCTGCCAGATGATGCTCGTGCAGAGATTGCCCACACCCAGCCCCTTTTGAGAGATCAACTCTGTAAGACATGAAGGAATAGACGCTGCCTTACCAGTAGTCTTCCCCTTGTAGAAAATCTTCATGTCCATCAGACCCGTGAGCTGGTTTGCCAGAATCGCCATCTGCGACCCACTGTACTTGGAGGCCCGGAATATGCTGAGCTGTAACCAGTCATCCCAGTAGATCTCATTCTGAAAAGAAAACCTTTGCTCTTTAGTCCAGCTATTTGGTCTTTTATTCTAGGCCCTTGGTAAGAACATGAGTACCCACGTACAGGGGGCAACTAGCATCCATTGGCTGCATGGCCGGCCAGGTCAAGATTCCACTTAAGAGTCGGTGGTTTTATGCAAACCTGGCCAAACAGCCACACTGAAGGAACTGCCCAAAGAAACCATCTGGTAAGCATTCAAGTCTGACCACGAGCCCAGCCCCGCAGTTCAAAATCGGCTTCCCATGTCAAGAACCATTTTGTTCTCTATTGCCAAAGAAGGATGACAGGCAACATAGGGAGCTCGTTTCTTAAACAATGAGGGAATGAGCTCAGCAAACCCCACAAGAGATGAAAACACGCAGCCAGAATGAAGCTACCAACAATGAAAGGGCAAATCAGGGATTTTCGTGAAGTAACCTTGAACTGTAACCTTTCGAAATGTGAACAATGAGAGCCCAGACCCCTGGCAACCCTTGATATGGGCTGAAAGAAGCTGTCTCCACAGTTCAGAAATGAGCCAATTTTCTAGAAGGCGGTCAAGCATCTCTGCAAAAACCCAGAGACAGCAGGCTCTCCACCTCAGAATGCCCTTCACCTGTGCGAACAGACTGCCCGATGCACGGACGAACAAGGCCCCACCTTAAAGACGGCGATGGCGTAGGGGTGTGGGAGGTTGTCCAGGATGACTGAGCGCTGCTGGCCACCGACAGTGATACGCTCAATGCAGTCCAGGTAGGCATCTGTCCAGTAGACCCAGTGGTCGTCCACGGCAATGCCGTTGGGCCACTTCACATTCTCTGACACAAGGCGAAGGATAGCAGAACCATCCATGTTGCTCCGATAGATTCCAGGCCTCAAGTCTCCCCAGTCGGTCCAGAACATGACCCTGATCAGACCAAAGAACACATGTCAGTCAGAACTGGGGAAATGGAAGCTCAATTACTACCCCTAAGAGGTAAGAAGCCCCTCCAGAACAATCAGCCAGCTAGTTCAGCAATAGTATTATAATCTGTAATGATAATACTTAAAACCACTTAATCCCTTCACCCAGAAATTCCTTTACTGGAAGTTCCCCACAAATATAATCAGGTTATGTGAAGATAATGTACAAAGATGTTCATCACAGCATGGCTTAATCACACTAGCAAAAAATATATACATATATATACACTTAGGTGTATATATGTGTGTGTATACATTATATATATATTATGTATACACACCAAAGTGTTAATCTATAGAGAAGGTGATACACTATAGAACATACAAAAGAATACTGTGAACCCTAAATATTCACATGTACTCCCATGAAACTATCTTCAAACCATATCAAATGTTTTAAAATGTTCCTATAGTAAATTCCCTGTGATTCTACTTGATGCATGAATGCATCCCTGTGATTCTACTTGATGCATGAATGCATGTGTGTGTGTGTGTGTGTGTGTGTGTGTTTTAAGGACACATGCTTGCACACAGGTTAAAAAAGAAGTCTGAATGATACACAGGAAACTATCAACCATAATTACCACTTAGGAGGGCAAGGGGGAAGGTTCAATGGTGAGAAAGGAGGAAACAATTATTTTTCATTTCATAAACTTTTGTTGTCTTTTAAAATCTTTAATCAAGTACATGTATCACATTCAGAGTTTTCTTTTAAAAAAAAGATCTAATTCCAATCACAGATGCTAGAAGAATATTATAAAGCTTTGAAAGGAATCCAGAATTTCCCTTTTAGTTATGTTTCCTTAGGTTAATAAACTGGTAAAAAGCATCTTTGCATTTCCCAAGTGTATGTAAATAGCTACTAAGAAAACCTACAGAAGCTGGGGGGACCGGGGTGAGACGGCATGGATTAAATGTTTGTAATGTGCATGAAGCTCAAGACAAAGAATCCTTATAATATCCAACCAGGCCTGACTATGTCTGGGGAGAGACTTCCAACATTACCTTGTGTTAGAGGAACACCCCGCAACCACGAGACATCTGGATGCCTAAAGGGATTCTGATGCGTGATGACATGAAGGGCACAGAGTCACGTGACCAAGACCCTGAAGCTGCGGTTTCGAGACTTGCGGTTAACATAGTCCGTCAGTCACCATCAACAGAAACCAAGTTTCCGTCCAGCGGTTTGGATGTCCATGCGAATCTGCACGGCATCTGACACATGCCGATGCCGTGTGGGGTGACACTTACCCGTCGTGGGGCACGAGGACCAGGGCCCTGGGCCGATCGAGCACCGAGGAATTGACGACCGCGAGCCGGAAGTCGCCATCGGGATGGGCCGCCTGACAGACAGAAAGGCCGAGGTGGAGCCGAGCTCAGCAGGGGCGCAGCCACAGCCCGGCTCCCACCCTGCAGGCTGCCGACGGACACACCCGTCTCTTGGCACCTGATCCTCTACAGGCTGATCTGGAAAACCTGCCCCAACAGCCGGTCAGAATGGGCTGTCCCCTCCTCTGGCTCGTGTGACAGTTCCCACCAGGCCTGACACAGGACCTGGCGCCACCCGGGCCCCCTTCTGCAGGGACAACGCTCTGTACAAGCCCATGTTCCAAAGCCGTCAGCTCCTCTGTCCTCAGAGCAAACCCTCCACGCTACAGCCTCGCAATTTAGTCTCCACAGACTTTTCTCTCCTCCACTTCAGCTCCTGACTGCAGCAAGGAGGGTCTCCTCATGGTTTTGCAAGCCTGGCATACTCACGCCTGTCTGCTTCTGCCATATACCCTTCTGGGCCTGGGCTTTGCTCTCTACTCAAATCATATCTTTCTTTCAAAATTCACCTTGTTGCCTAACTGTTGTGATCCACCTTGATCAACGAGCATCTGTGATTCTGGTCACTGACTCACCTTCACCATTTCTGCACATTTGAGTTGTACACAGTGACGGTATGGACACTTAAGCTTCACCTAGCTTCTCCTAGCTCTTAGCAAAGTGCTAACTCCACACAATTAAAGACAACAGAGAAATAGCGATCCCAAGACCCCTGGCCCACTACTCAGTAGGTGTGCCAGGCACACATGCCTTCTGCTCCCTCCTCTCGACTGCACAAGCAGGTGAACACCCTCACCAGCCTCCCCTCAGCCTCAGTCACATCCTCAAGATGCCCCCTCTGCCCCTTCCCCAGGCACACAAACACACTGCCTGCTTGACGTTCTTTGCATCACCAACAGGACTGACTTATTTCTTCCTCCGCTAAGATCTAATCTCGGTCAGAACAGGGCTCGCGTGTCTTGCCCAATGCTGTATCCTTACAACTGAAAACCATACCTGCACATATCATGCCTGAAAAACACACTTGTCAAATGACTGAGTGAATCAGTGAATCTTCATCTGACAAATGAAGAAACAGAAGCTTAGAAGAGAGACTTGCCCACGTCACTTGGCTGCCAGGAGAAAGGCAGAACCTGGGTCTGTCTCAAGTTTGTGGCTTCTGTCTTGCAACTCCCCCTGGCTCTCTGTGTCTCCCTGCTTCTACTGAGCTGTCCACACAGCCCAGTCGTCTTCCCTCTGCGTGGAGTCAGCATACGAGAGAGGCGCTGAGACAGCGCCCCAGGGCCTCAGCTGCAATCTGCAGGAACCGAGTGTGCCTCCGAGACGGTGACTCTGGTGGTTTGGGGCCGTTTCTTACCCTCATGCTGCCCTGGGTTGCTCCGTGGCAGATGGGGAAGTGGAGATGGTAAGAGTACCTACCATACAGGGCTGCTATGAGAAGTGAACCCAACTGTATTATCAACATTATTACTACTGTACGCTTCTGCCTGCCAACATAATAGTCATTCAGGTATCTCCACGAAATCTCTGTTTGACAGATTCAGGCGTCCTGTCCTCACGTGGGACCGTCACAGCAGTGAGCGGTAATTCTGAAACTATTCCCCTTTTCTTCCTTCTCCAGAGGCTTCGCTGGTCTGTTCTCTGGAATTTTCCATCTCCATACTGGTTCCTGCTTCTGTGTCAAATCCGGTTCAAAGCCCAGGCACTCCCCCCACTCCAATAGTAAAGGACAGCGTGGAACAGCCATACCTCAATCTTTTTAAAGCCAGAATCCACCCAGTACAGCAGCTGGCTGAGAGGCTCAAATGCCAAGGCTTCCACTGTCTCTAGGCCGGAATTGATGATCACCTCTTGCCCTGTACTTCCATTCAAACAGAGACGCTGAAGAGAGAAAAAGAATTAGAAATACTACAAAACGCTGAGAAGGCCATCTGCCAACTCAGCCCCACAGATGGTATCACTTTATTTAACTGGCTTGACTGGCAAGGGAGGAGATGTTTTATATACTAGTAAACTCTACAGATAAGTGAAGCTGGTTTTTAATAACAGCATTTCTAAAACGTATTACAGCTTCCTGTTCTAAGCAGAATACCTAAACAGAGTGTAATCATTTATATTACTCTGCATTATCCTTATGAATGCTGGTCCCTGAAAAGTAGGGTTCACAAGAATTAGGTCAGCAATCACTGAGATGCATGAGTCTGGTTGCTTTTAAAATAAATGAAACCAGACTCCTGTTATTTTTAAGTCCTTGAGTCTGCTTTTCATAATGTTTCCGGCCCCCCCTTGGGAGGCTTTTGGCTCTCAGGTGCTCTCGTGGGGTCAGTTACATTCAGCAGTCACCACCCTCCCCCGGTACAGACCCCCTCAAATACCCAGGCGCTGCAAAGTTCTATTGGGTTGGAAGTCCAGATAAAACTCGTTGGAACTGCTTTTCTAAAAGGACTTTAAATAAGCAATGAATAAAGATCAAATAGCTCTCCTTTAAAATTGCATGGATCTGAGTGCATGGCTGTCTATCTGGCCTGTGCTGGGATCTTTAGAGCTCATTTCCTGGTTCTTGACTGTGTTCAGAATAGCTCAAGAGGGTAATTACGGGAATTCCGGACAGTCAAGTGTTACTATACCATGTCTTGGGAAGAAGGACGCTAAAGAGGCAGTTGGTACAAGAGGGAGTGACGAATAATTCTCCATCCCTAGTCCTCAGACTTCCCAGTAGGAAACGTGAGACCTCACTCACAGGGAGCACCTCGGGGGGGTGCCCTTTGTCTCCTTCTACAAGGATGGAGGTGGGCAGGGAATGCAAACACTAAAGCAGAAAACTGAGAAGTTTCTTCCATCAGCCCTGAGATGAGTTAAGACTTAAAACCTCTAATACCCATTTCCTTAGGCCATTCTGGAAGCAGCTTAGCAGGACTGGAGGGTCACAAGGCACAGCCCTCCACCACTAGACCCACTGTGGACACACCTGAATGATGTCCAAGGCCAGGTCGGACCAGTACAAGCAGTTGTGTTCATAGTCAAAGTCCAGGGCCACAGCTGCCCGCAACCCGGTAAGAGGCAATTGCTCGGTGGCTCCAGAAGCGAGGTCATAGCGATGGATAGATTTCCGCATGGCGTACAGGATGAATTCGTTCTCCTCTGCACAGACACACAAAACAATAGGGAGGATGGCCTGGGAGGCGCTGAAGAGGCGCTAGCATGTCTGACTGGCTTCTTTCTCACACACGAGCCCCAGAGCCATTGGCACAGTGGCGTGGAACAAGGGTAAAGACTACAGCATCAGGACTTAGAAGGTATGTAATAGAATTGCATTTCTGTCCTGGGCACATGACTTACAGTCCCGTGAATCTCAGTTTTCCTGTCTGCAAAGTCTTCCCTGTTACATTTCTTTTTTTTAACCTAGATCCCCCAGTAGGCAGGCTCCAACATCAGTACTTCTTAGCTCAACCTAAACGTCTCCAGTCACATTTAACAAAATTACACCAGTCAGCATGTTCTCCTTTGTCATATGACTATTGCACAGCACCATAATCTCGTTGACTAGAGATTACTAGTCCCTGAAGACTTTGAGTTAAATTTTCTAATCTATTTGTCCATTCAGTATTGTTCATGAGGACATGTGGCAATTATATCCACCTACCATATGCTCAAAACAATAATACGTTTGTTCTTGACTACTTGCAAAATGTTTTACAGCATAATCATCACAAAGATTCTACTTCTACTTAACAAACATTTACAAAATGTACATACTATGTGCCAGGCATTGTTTAATCTGCTGTATAATGGAAGAACTACTATATAGTCGGTTTTACAAATGAGAAAACCGAGAGCAACGAGGTTAAGTAACTTATTCAAGGTCACACGACTACTAAGTGGCAGAAGCAAGACTTGAACTCAGGCAGTCTGCGTTCTGACTCTGAGTTTTAACCACTATAGGACACTGTCTCTTAGAGTGTAGATACGAATGCAGATATTTTTTAAGATGTAGAAATAGAGCCCCAGACTGCTTAAGAGACCTCCTTAATGTCAGACAACTAGAAACTGAAGAGTTAATGCTCTCTCATTAGGAAACAGCCTGGAAAACATCTAGATTCTTCCAGGAAATGGAAACGAGGTACACACCCACATCCGTGTATAAAGTGCCCATTTGGACAATATGTTGCTCATATGACCAAGATCTGAATCCCTTTGCTGCATCTCTACACAGTTACTGTTATCATTTCTCTCTTGCCCCTCATTCCATTCATTCACTGAGTTAACACGCACTAGCCAGCCACCTGCTCCATAAAAGTTTCAATACAGGTAAGGCACCAAAAATACAAATCTACCTACAATTTGTAATAAAAATTTCCCTTCTTTTCCTTGGTCTCATTTCACTTCAAAACTATCTAAGCTACCACCACATGATAACTCATCTCTTCTTTTGGTTTTCAAGAAAACCTTCCCACTGTAATTCCCAGTGAAGGCAGCAGTCAAGATGGGAAGTATCAAGATTGTCAACGACATAGAAATCAAGGTCTCTCGTCAGAGCTGCCGTGTCGCATCATGCAGGTACATTCACAACAGCCAGACTTCCACCCCACAGCTCTAACATCTAGAAGAAAAAAAAATGGGTTTTTCTACTAATCAACTAATGCCGTGACAGTAGAATTTGAGTCCAGAAATAATTGCCTTAGGATTAGGTACAGAGGAATGTGCTTAATGGACAAAAGGAACAGGATTCTTGACCAATCACAGCACAGCCCAGAAATCCATGTTATGACAATAATCAATAAAAAAGAAGAGGACTTCGTCTTTAAAAATCTTCCCAGATGCCCGCAGTACCTCATCTTTGCAAAGGAGCCTTGGTTCCCATCGGTCCTAGGAAACCATCTTTTCCTTTCTTTGGTACATTGCTGCCTTCTGCTCCACGCAGTTTCTTTTTTTTTTTAAACATTCGAATGAGGCCTACAGTACAGATGAGAATCTTTCCACTCCATTCCCTGTTCAAGCTTCTCCGGTCAGAAGAGAAAATACCTTTCCTACCAGTTTAGATGGCTTTAAACAAATTGCTTTATCCCTTGCTGAATTATCTGCAGAAATATTTGTTACAAAAGCACGTGCTCCAGCCCCACCAGCCCACCCTCATCACTAACAGCTCTTGGGTGGGGGGGGGGGACTTTTGGGGTATTTTCTGCTCATTTGTGGGAATCTACTGAAGCCGTGTTCTTTGTAAGCCTCCACAGTGAGGGATGTTAATTATTCTGGTAATGATGGAAGATTAAGTTAAAGGACTAATGAGCTTAGCATGAGAAACACCAGGGCGAGCTGGCAAGCGGCGAGCAGACGACAGGGCGGCACAGCCCTGCCCACAGAGGACGGTGCGCCTCTCCCGTGATTCGCTCGGCGCTTACGGCTGTTCTAAAACAACGCAGCACTGCTCGCGGGTCACTCTCCGTCACCAACAGGCCTGAGCAGGAGCACCGGCTCTGCGGGAACAAGCTCTACGTGCATAAGAACCAGAAACAGTGAAGAAGGAAAAGACGCTGGGGGATGAGCTATTTGTTCAGGGATTATGATTTCATGTCTATATTACAAATACCTCAACATGTGCCACTAAACCAACTTGAAATGGGTCCGGAACATGCCAGGCCTTAACGGCATAGGCCCTCACTCCAAGGAAGTTTTTCATAATTGGCACATGTGATGATCATCTGAAACAACAGGAATGACACTCACTCGCCGCACGGGGGAATGTCCTAGTAAGAGCGCAGGGCTTAAGAGTGAATTTTAGCTTTGTCACGTGCCAGGGGTGTGATCTTAAATAGGCCTGTGTAAGCCTTTCCTCTGAACATGTCTCCTTATATTTAAAAAATAAAATGGAGCTGATAATACTACCTGCTTCACTGGACAGTTATAAAGATTAAAATGGCAACACATGGAAAAGAACACAAAAGAACAGATGCTGAATATTTCTCAATGAGTAAAAGGAGGATTTCACTCAAAAAAGATTTTCCACTCCTCTAAAGGCATAAGGCCATAAATACACTTAGTCTGGATACCAAGCTGAGGGGGAAATAGGAGCTCTATGATGCTTGTAAGTTCCACTCTTTCTCTCCACTGAGTTAGAAGAACCACAAGCCTGGGCCCGGGTGAGATGGCGATAAGGTTACGATGGTGTCGCAAGAAGTCAAGAGCAAGGAACCACTTCTTACCTGCCAAAGGACACGGGACCACCTCTCCTTCCAGTCGTGTTTCAACATCTCCTCCACTACAAGTGTCCCCAGAAATCTTCCGATAGCTGTCACCCCCCCACCCCAAGAGCAAGAGGTGAGAAACATCAAATCATAGTCACAAAGGCTTCATAACGGGGAACCTGTTTCCTACCCGTGGATAACACAGCGCCTCTGTTCATTTCCCTCTAGAATAAGAAGGATGCTTCGCCATTCTGAATAGGTTCTGCTTGTAATTAGATTAGACAGCCCAGACCATGGGCAGTGCCATCCCAGACCATGGGCAGTGCCCTCCCAGGCAGGAGCTGTACATGCATCTCTTCAAGAAACTCCTCTGAAAACTTGTCCTGGCTGAAGTTTATGACTTAAGACACAACTAGAATTGCAGAAATATTCACAGACTTGCCTTTTTTTCCTCCCTGGGGTTAGAAGACATTGCAAACATCATAATTTTAAATATTGCCCTAGTGGCCTAAAACCTGCTATGTTGGAATTCTAGCATTTTGAGCACAAAAAGAAGCCCAGGGGTCCTCTGGGCACTCTCACACCAAGGGCAGAACCCCTCATGTCCCCGACATGGCAACTTCTGTGAGACGTACCCTCTGGTTCTCCGGTAAGTAGAACCCACGGGACAAGATACAGGAGGGGAGTATGACTTCCCAGAAAACTCAGGATCCGGAACACAAACCTCTGAGGATAGATCTTCACTCATCTTGAAGCCGAAGTCACTGAAAAGACAATCAGGTTCGTTAAGGCCATTGGTTTATACACTTCAGGCATTTCAGTACCAACTCTTGTGACTCCTACCATACCACCTGCCACTGCAGACATTACTCAACAGGTCCCTTTCAAGAATACTCACTTTTTTACATTAACACACTTTCAGAAGAAATTTTTCATCAGAACCACAATTGAAAAATCATTATCAGAGGCCATGTATAAATAAAAACAATACAAATCATTATGCCGAAAACAAAACAATGCCACACGTTTTAGCTGGATCTAGTTCCCTCCCCAGAGCCTCTGGGCCTGCTTTCTCTTTGTGAAAATGGATTAGCAAAGGTTAAAGGGTAACTAGCAACCAGGGAGACTTTCTCCTTGACAGGACTGGGAGAATTAAAAGAAAACTTTGCAAGGATACTCTTTTTTTTGTAAACTAAGGATTCGATGTTATTTAAGTCCATGTCCACATACTTACTACCTAAAATCCCCTCGGGCATCTCATCCTGCACTCTGGGTGCACAGTGCTTTGGTTCATGAGACCTGCAATTTGGGGGTCTCATCATTGCCAAACCATTCAGCTCAAGGAAAGCAGCCCTGGAGTGGGAAGCTAGGGGCCTGGGCCTCGTCTTGACTCTGTGCTGAACTGCATGACTCCTCAGCTGCACCATGTACTTCCCCAAGCCCTGTCCAGACTGGAAAGCCTAATTCAAAGGGATTTTCCATGGAGATGGGCTCTCCCCAAAAGGCTTCATTTACTCTATTCAGTTCAATGAATATTGATTAAACATCTCCTATATGAAAAGTATTTAACAGGTTTAGGGCAAAGTAGTTTATCCACATTTAGCAATTTTTAGAGAATTGTTCAGAAGGGAGAGTTTTATTACTGTATCAAGCAGGTCTTCATTAAATCAGGTAGTTTTTATTGAAAGGCTGCTTTAAGCCTCTTGGGCGGACTAGATGGAGCATTAGCTAATTACATATTTGCCTCCCTTGGCAGAACACCTCTTAGGCAGATTTCTTCCAACTGTAAGTCATAACCTAGTGGGCTGTGCACACACGTTGGAGGGACCAGACCAGCTTCCTCCCCTCCCCACAAAGAACAGAAGATGGCAAAATTTATCACACTTAAAAAGTCAATGTTATCTCATAAAACTTTTGTTTTCATGGTATGCATGTACCGACACACACAAATATGTGTATGAACAAGGTCCTACTATAAAGCGCATGTCTTACTGGGGGTTACAGTCAAGACTGAAAGCCACACTTCTGGGCAATGTGGGGAAATACAAAGATATAAAAGAAACTACCCTGAAATAAGGGGACATGTGGGGCAAAAGCTAGGCTTTCCAGTGAGGTCTGAAAGGACCGTCAGAAGCAACCTGACTTTCAAATGTGTTCGTCACTCAGGAGCTGAGCTGACTGACAGATGTTACAAGTGCTCACATTAGCATCTCCTTCTCCTGCCATCCAGCTGGGGACAAACCACTTTTCTTCTCACTGCTGTGGTCCAGTGCCACCAAACATTTCCAGAGCCACGCAACCAGGCCGGCTCCTTTGTAGCAGCTACAGCAGAGCAGCAACAGGACGGCCTGAGAGTAATGCTGCACCATTTACCATTTTCACGGGTCACAACCTGCACAAACCCGTGTGACAGGAAGCCATCTCCAGGAGGGGCACAGCGGGCAATCTTCCTGGTGTGTAATACAGACTCAGCAGCCCTGGGTCTCCACCTGCCAGCTGGGGTGGGTTGGCATCTGGACCGAGAGGGCCCAGGCCGGTTTATGAGAGGCATACCTGCCCCTGGTTCTCATTTTTGTTGCTGCTGTCATTGTCACTGCTCTTGTTTGGGGGGAAGAGTAGATTTTAGAGAAAAAACTCAGGAGTGGGCAAGCCAAAAAAAAAAAAACCCGAAGATCTGTTACATTTGTTTGATTTCATTTTATCTTGTAGTTCTTAATGCAGACAAAAGAGAGACGAGGGAGGGCACTGTTATCTCTCCCATGATGAGGGCCTCCACAGTCAGGGGATGCCCTCGGGCAGCAAGAACTCTCAATCAGGTTACAACTTCGGGGTACCTAAGTGAGAGCAGAAGGGGACAAACGGGTCTGAACTGACATCACCAGGAACATCAAACAGCTCTGTGGTCCTGCCACGGAAGCATCTGCACTGTTATCTCAGGACCACACAGTTTTCAAAGGGAAGGTGCATCTTGTGCCATCTCAGGTGCTGCTCCCCAAAGGGTAGTTTGCAGATAAGTAACATCGGTCGGCACCACCCAGAAGCTGGCAGAACTGCAGAACCCCAGAACTGCAGAGTGAGAACTCACATTTTAAAAAGATCCCAGGTGATTCACACACACTTTCAAGTTTCAGATGCACTGATCTCAGACGGGAGTTGGTCAGATCTGATTAGCTGTTCTTGTAATAAAGCTTTAGGGCATCATTCCCGCACCCAGTCACCTGTAGCTGCCTTTCTCCTGCCACAGCAGAGCTGAGCAGCTGCAACAGAGACCCCACGGTCTGCAAAGCCTGAAGCACTTACTGTGTGGCCCTGTTCCAACCTCTGGACCAGAACACATCAGAGGTTTCTGGCTTTAGGCACAGTGAGTGTGGCCTCCCAAAGCAACGCTTATTTCTCTGTGCCTCAGGAATACTGAGAAAGGAGTTACGGGTCTGTTTGATACCCATGATCCACTGATAGGCCTGCCTATTTGGGAATAATTTCATGCTAGATTGCAGAATCGAAGGACTGCCCAGAGGCCCTGGGACCCTATGCACTCTACTGCTGGAATCATCTAAAGCGAAGCTCTGCTCTGATCTTAACTCTCCCCAAAAGTGGAGGTCCGTATGCTTGCAGGGTCTGGCCCTGTGTTCTCTCTTCTGAGCCTCATCTCTACCCACTGACCCCGCTTCATATACCCAACGAGGCATCCGAACTGAGCCACCAACTCCTTCCCCCCACAACACCTTCCCATTGCTGCCACATCTTAGAACACCCCTGCTCACATATCCAGATGCTTCCTTAAGGCCCATGTGAAACAGTGCTTCCTCTAGAAAACTCCAGAATCCCCAACCGCAAATCACAATCTCCTTCCCGTCAATAGTCACAGTCAAAGTACCTGTTCCTCCTCCACAGGGCCTGCGGGTTTCCACCCTGGTACAATTGGTCATGTGCCTGCTCTCAGCAGTCTCAGCTATGACTTATATAATGTGCTCAAGGAATAAATATACAAATAGATAGATACTAACACCCCCCAGTTCAGATAAAGAAAGAAATTCCCTCTAGAACTGGGCTCCTAAGACAAAGGAGTTACCTACAATGGAACCTTCAGTATGTTTCCTTTTGGGGCTGCCCTCTGAGAAATAAACCCCACAGGCATCCAGTCCAAAATAAATTACTGTAGCTTCCCTAGGCTGTAATCCCTCCACCTATCTGCGGCTGTAAGAACCAAATGGAATAACCTATGTACAAGTTCCTCACACAGTTCCCGGACCATCAAAGATGCTTAATACAGATTTGTTTCCTAAGATTTTCTGCCTTTCCTCGGGGAAGGGACTGTGCCCTAGTCTGTTTCCCATGCTGCTGAGTGAATGAAACACAACTCAAGCCCCAGGCATTGAAGAAGAACCAACCATTCATAGTCCTGCCGGGTGCAGGAGCAGTTGGACACGACCACAGGCCTGTCGAAGTCCTCTCCATTAAAGCACGTGGCATGGGAAGTCCTGCGCTTGAAGACGGTCTTGTGTCCCAGCAGACACTCGTTGCCCCGGTCATCAGACGGTGACCACAGCTTGTAGTCATTCTCTGTGCAGGGAACCCCTGAGGAAGAGGAAATGGAGCACGGCTGAACAGAGGCAGGCCCACTCGGGGTTTCCGGCCCTGCCCGAACCTCAGCCCAGCCGCCCACTTCCTGCTCGGCCTGCTGCTGCCCAGCAGGTGCACAGACCTCTGGAGCTGTCCCAAGCCTCTCATCAGCCTGCTCTGAAACCAGGAGGCCCCCAGGCAAATGGAAATGGTAGCCCTGCAAACACAGGTGTTCATCGGAGAAAGCTGGGAAGAAGCAAGCTACCTTTACGGCTGTCTACACTCCTGAAATATTTAGATGTCAGTTTCCCTTGGAAATGGGTACCCAGACATGTTTATCTCCCAAGGAGTTAGGCAAAGGCTGCATCCCTGATGGATGGTACCGCTCAGAAGTACTGTTCCCTGCTTGCTTCCTGGGTAGTGTGTACACAGCAGGCAGTACAGCCCAAGAACAGTAGAGAATCCACTGCCACTACTTGGAAGGTACAGGAGCTTCATGGAAGGAGGCTGAGAAATGTTCAGACATCCTGGAAAATCACTCCCACTACCCACGCACCCTGGAAATGAGAGTAGCTTCTACAGGAATTCTGAGGTATACCTATGTCTCTATTAGTCCTTTATGTCTTTCTTATATACATATGTCTTCAGTAAGATTAAATGCTGCCTGAAACTGAGGAGTAACTGTCAACTCAATACCATTCAAATTAGCAGGTACTTATTAAATCCTGGCTGACTATAAGGCTATCAGGCTGCCCAGTGGGTGGAAAATAGATATGCACAAGACAGGTTGTTTTTCTAAGGACCTTATAATCTAGCTGATGGGAGATGACACAGACTGACAGACACAGAGTTATAATTCTAGGCATGATGAGTACACTTGTGTTTTGGACACAGAGAAGATGGGAGAGGATGTCAACAGCCACGTGCACTGGATCCTGAAACAGGAAAGGGATTTTGACTAGTGGCAACTGAATAGGCAGCACTGGGGATGCTCCGGGCAGTTGGAATAAAGTCAGCCAAGGCAGACAGGGACGAAGGGCCAGCATTACATGGGGGTGGGAGGCAGGAGGCAGAGGGGCTTCACTTCTCCCTGCTTGCTTACATCCTGGGCCTAGACTAGCAGATTGTGGTGCGACTTTACCGGCTCTGAGGAGGGCCTGCATCCTGTGGCACACTGCCTGTTGCATAGTAATTACTCACCAAATTTGCCAACCTGGAACTGCTCATTTGGAAAAATGCTTTTCATTCATTCCCATGCCCAGCACACATACACCTACACCTAGCCTATGCACAGGAAATGAGGACCCAAACGATAACACACGGTCCTATTAAGAACTGTCCGAGTAACTCTGTATTTCTCAATCACTAATCGTCTATGTGCCCTTCTCCCTCTGAATCGTAAACTCTTCTCAGTACAGAGCGTCTAAGGTGACGCTCTGGTCAGCAAGTACTTCCATGAAGAGGGCCGAGGCAGCGCAGCTTACCCAAGGCGTCTGTGGCATTGACCTGGAGGATCAGCCAGCTGTGGACATTCTCTTTGTTGGAGCCGAAGATGGTGAAGACAGTGCTCTTCTCGCCCGGTTCCGTGAGGAGCCCGTACACAAACACGGGCTTCTCGGAGAAGAGGAAGGTTTTCCAGGCCTCCCCTTCGTTGGTGCTGTATCTGCCCAAGTGCAAGGAAGAGGACCCTCACGGTTAAGGTCTCGAAGGCAAGGACTTGTTTCCAGATAAAATTCCCTAGTAATAGGAACCAGGAGTCCTTGGAGAAATGGCTGTTCCTGGGCTAATGTACAGAAAGTTTAAGGATGGGCCAGGAAGCAAGGAGGCGCTCAGAGACGAACGCAGTCGGTGCGAAAGGACAGGGAAGCCAGCTGATGGGGCTCCCACTGGCCACTGTGAGAAAATTTGAACATAAAAAAAAAAAATGATAGTGGCAGATTATATGCTGAATGAATATCTAAATGATGTGAACGTGGAGAGAGAAGGGAGGAGGGACAGGTTTTTCTTAATATTACACTGCTACCTAATACATGTTGAAACAATGACAGAATGAGAAAAATGGCCATCCTGCAACCCCCACTGTAAAAACCAACTCAGACAGGATGGTCACTGGGGGCTCAAACTCCTGGGTGAGAGCACGCAGGCACTAGGATGTTGGCGTGATCTCAAGCTACTGACCCAGAGAGTCACTCGCACAAAGGGGGAGAGGAGTTTTACAGCGCCCGAGAGCCATGACGTCACTAGCCTTAGTGTCACTGATGGTAGGACAACTGGACATTATACGCGTCTTGGATAAAGCACTGGGATAGACAACACATCCTCTACGTCCACACAGCCACAGTGTGTGATGTTCTACATGACAACTGACCCAGATTCTTCAAAAGAATCAAGGTCACAGAAAACAAACAAAAAAGGCAATGGCTTGTTACAGATTAAAAGAGACTAACTAACCAAAAGCAATGTGTAAACCTGGACTGAATTGGGAGGCAAGCAACTGCAAATAATATGGGACAACTTAGGAAATACAAAATCCGTAAGTAATACTGAATTAACATTAATTTTCTTAGGATTCTGATTGCACAGGAAAGGACCCTTATTTATTGGAGATGTCTGTGTAACTACTTAGCTGTGAAAGAGCACGATGGCTACAACTTACTTTCAAATGATGCAGAAAAAGAAAGAATGCTAGATGATAGACAGATAGATGGACAAACAGGACAGACAGATGGCAGAAGGGAGGCACATTGGCAAATGTTCACACCTGGTGATACTCAGGGAAGGTTTTATGAGTGTTCCTCATACAGTTCTTCCAAGTTTTCCTGTGGTCTTAACAATTAAAAAGTCTCCGAAGAGAACAAGAAAGCAAGCCCTTGGGGAAAAAACAGCACTGAACTAACTGTACTGATTTTAAATTGTCTTTTGCACTGAAAAGCAGAAGAGAAGGAGAAAGAGAAGAAAAATCAGCCTGCTAATTGCTTCGGTACACAGTAAGCTTGGCGAGATGCTCAACATGAGAACCACCCACGGATCTCAAGGCTATCGGTTCTCTGTTAATCCTAAGTATAGGCAAAACCCCTTTTTCTTTTACCTTTCCCATATTTTTGAGGTTTTAGTTTTACTCCTTCGGCATCCTAATACTTGACGTAAATCCTTTCACAACAGCACTCAATCCAAACACTTCCCCTCATGTTGAGATTGCTAAAATTGATAATTATGGCCAGAAAGCTGTGGGTTAAACCGAGTGGTGGTGTTACAAAGCGACGTGGCGAATGTTGCCAGGAGGATGTATCTCTCCTCATCTGACTGATAGGCTTCTGGTTCACGTTAATTTTGAAGCACATATTAATTCCTTCAATCTCCTTATACCGGTGTGAACGAATGGCTTAGTGCCACTGAAACAGGCAAACTGAACCGGCAGAATCGGCCTATTAACTAGACACGATGGGACCTGTCTGCCCGCTCTGTGTTAACACTGATTCCATCTAAGTGCACATTGCCTAGTTAATTCTAAGAGTTGCTTGACCCCAGGATGACCTCAGGAATGAATCACCCCATTTCCCAAAGGACGGTGACAACAGTCCTTTAATGAGACTGAGCTGCAGGTGCATGCCCAAGCACACAGCCGTGCAGCAGAGGGTAAATGGAGCATTTAGAAAACGGTACTTGGGCAGAATTTCAGGGAAGGGGACAGTCATGTCACCGATGGCAAGAACTGAGGGAACATCTATTCTGAGCCCAGCTCAGACCCCCTAACAAAGAACTTGTGTTGATGAAGTGAAAGTGACGAGGACCTTGCAGAAAACCAAACCACACCGTGTTTGCATGTACTACTAAGTCACAACTGTCGTCAGGAGGGAATACCCAGAGCCCTTGCCTTTAGGAATGGTGAATTCACAATGCTCCCGTAGAAATACAGCGCAACCCTGGGACCAAAAACACTCAGGGGGACAGGAAGGTCGCTGGCTATGACATGACACAGTTATGTGATATGATATCCTCAGGCTGCCGGGGTCAGATCCAGGCCCCACATTTGAAAGCACTGACACCCTGAGGTGGACCCGACCTGCCCCAAATGCCATCCTGCAGACTTGGTTCTCGGAGTGCTAAGGTTCCACCTCAGCCTCGCCTCCCACTCCCACCTTGCTCCTTTTAAATTCATCCCCCAGGACTCTCCAGAGCCATCTTACTGGAATGCCAAGCTAGCCGCATCATCCCCCTAGGTAAAATCCTCACGGAGACCTCACCACTTCAAAAGCCAAGTCTAGTCTCTCCAGCATGCCACGTAAGGTCCCCGAACCGGGCCCCTACCTAATACCTACCCTCAAGCCCCGCTTCTCACCACCCCCACCTTGCAATCTGATTTCTACTAACACTAATGAGGTTGCACCTTCCAAGCTGACCCACACTGACCCTTCTTTGCCCTTTGCTTAGGGTCTTCTAACCCTGAAGTGACAGGCCAACCCTGCTTTCTATCCTCGAAGCCTCAGCGCATTTCCTCTGCTCCCCAAACAGCACAACCTGGCCCCCATCCAGTGCCCCCTCTAGCTTACACCCTGCCATGTCTGCATGATCTCACTTTGTGAGCATCCTCACTACACTGCCACTGGTCAGGCCCAAGACCTCTCACTCACTTTCTTCCCCTGACACCTGGCATCTTTCCTGGCACAGAGAAAAGGCATTCAGGAATGTTCATTAAAAGAATTAAATGAGCTGTACTATATTTTCTTTTTTTTTTTTAACCCTGCCTCTGTCTCTTAACAATTAAAAGGTGATAGAGAAGAACACCTCCACTCTAACCCATGGGGGTTGGAATGAAGGGTGGGGCAGCTCTCTCTGCAACTGTCCTGGGGTTACTACCAGCATTAGGTGCTGAATCAAGCTGACAGGTTAACTGCCACCTCCCGCATTCTGGAGTGTCGGGCTGTTTCCAGAACTCGGGGCCAGAAAAGACAGCTGCCCTTTGCAGGGGCTTTTCAGGACTCCCAAGGGGAAGCCCTATGAAATCGGAAATCTCCTATGAGGACAGACGTTTTGGGGCCAGTCCAAAGTATGATTAGTAGCTCTGCTGATGCCGATAGGCAAACTGCCAAGAAGAAACGGGAACTGATGGCATCCTTCATCACCAAGCCATCAAACTTATGTCTGGGTCTTTTTTGGGCCAGAGTGCAAAATCCCACCACAGCCCCTTCTCTGAAGAACACTGATTGTACCCAGGAAAAATCTGCATTCCCAGAGCAGGCTCAGGGGGATGGTGTGCTGAATGAATACGTGAATCCCCAGAACGGGTTTTTATTTACTCATTTCAGACATGAGACACACGAGCAGAACAAAGCATTCCACTTCTTACTCGCAATTTCAATTAACAATAACAACAAAGGTCACAGTCTTAGTGGAGAATCAAGGCAGAAGCTGAAACAATTAAGTCAGTTCTTAGTTATCTGTGCTAATCAGGGAGAGAAAGGTATGAATAATGTGAAAGAACAACAACTAAAAACAAAACCTCTTACTTTAAGCGACGTTTTAACCTCTGACCCACTAAACCTCCTCTTGGGAGCCGCCGATGTTACTCTGCCTGGCTTCCTCCCTAAGGCCTTTGGTCAGATAGTTAAGCTTCCTTCCCAAACAAGCCCTTCCCCCAGCTGGCAGCTCTCCCCAGATGACTCAGAAGCCTCACAGAGCCACAGTGGGCAAAGGCAGGTCCTGAACGATGCCTCACCCACCTTTGTATCCCTGGTACCTAGAGCATCATCTGCTTCATTGTGGATGTGCAACAGATGTTTGTGTAATTGACCTGAAATGATGCTTAACAGAAATAGGCTCCAGTTCCAGCTTGGGCCCTAACTACTGACAAGCCTTATTATTTCCTCATGTGAAAGCAGAGTAAGGTAGATTGGGTCATCTCTGGTGCCTCTGGGGTGTACACATCCAGGGCCCCCTCCCCCCACCCCCGCTCATATCTGAGCTCCAGGGATGGTCATTTACACAGAGCACAATGGGAGTGGTCCCCCCCAAACTGTGCCACTGCCACAGGACCACACCCTCTTCCAGTTTTATTAATCAGTAACAGAATAAGCAGTCTCGGAAGACTAAGTGTGTGTGACCTATTAATTGAACAATCAAACATTTACTAAGTGCCTGCTAGCCCGTATAGAATAGAAATTCCGGTCTACAAAGACCTTGCTAATGAGTTGAGGAATTCAAGCATATAATGAAAAGGTAACTAAGGGAAAGAGTCAGAATGTGATCAATGCCAAATTAATGAGACAGCCAATAAATGCAATGAGACTCAAAGGAGAGAGCAATCACTGTGGCTGGGGAGGCAAGACGCAGAAGTGGCCTGAAGCCCCAGGCCAGCAACAGAGGTCCAGCTGGGTCACAAGCAGCTTCCACTCGTGCACGGGTATCACAGTAAACCACCTTTGCGGCTGGAGGGCATGAGCTAACTAATACCTTCTCCTGCTTCTCTTCCGATGAGGCTGAGAGCACACAGTGACAAGTCAAAAGCAGAGCAGCAAGAGGGGAAGGAATAAAAACCCCGGGTGCAACACAATGAGTAAATGCCAGGTGGCTACACAGATTCGGGCCAAGCTCCGACTGGTATTTGGGACACATGCACCTGTCAACAGGGGGCCTGAACATACTCTCATATTTGCAAATGCTTCATTTGCAACACACATACAGATACCTCCAAGTGACCTATACAAACAGAGGAATGCTATAGTGTCCATAACCCCTGATGTCCACAATCCCACAGTCATTTTTAAATGTCTAGGGAAGACACTGATTTTTCTGGCAGTGGGTTTATTTTCTTGGTCATCTCTCTGCTCCAGCTAGGGCAGCAATGACGGTGCATTCCCTGAGCACATATGCACCAACAGATGGTGTCAGAGGACTAGAATCATGCTAACTACCGCAGAGAAGTCAGCTTGGAATGCAAATGTAATCTGCAGAAAAGTTAAACAAGGAAAATGAGGAACTGACAATGCAATGTGACCGCCATACAAAGAAGGAAACCTATTGCTAGCAAGCCAAACCATGTGCCCTATGGTGCTTCTCACAGGGTAGTGCCCTGGTAATCACACCGTGTACTGGCATATTTTACAACTAAGGAAGGACTCTTACAAGTGAGGGAAAACATCCTATTTATCTTTAGATACACAGTACGGTATCCGGCACAATTAGTGCTTGCTGAATGTGTGAGATGGAAATTAATAAATGAGTGGATTAATCAATGACAGCATAAACATGGCCGGCACTGTGCCTTGTGACTGTCCTCATCCGAGAGCAAACACCGATCAGAACGTGGATACGCTGTTGCATACAAACAGGGCTGCTTCTGGCTCTTTCCTCTCAAGAAGCAGTGGACCAGTGTTGCACAGACCAGAGAACAGCCAGGCAGGATGCCAAACACCAGTACACTGTTTCTCTCCACTTCTCTGAGGCCAGGCTGCTCAGCACATGTCAAATTAACCACAGGGGAAATCAGCTGACATTTTTTTTTTTTTTACAACCACCCACCTCTCTTTTACTGCTGGCCCAGTTTATGAAAGGAGCCAAGGAAAAGAGGCTTTCCTCCTTGCATTAAATAAGATGATACAGGAGGCCGCTCCACCTTGTCAGTAATCCAGCTCATGGGTTCAGCTCAAAACCGGGGAGAAATGAGGGCCAGCCCTGGCCAAGCATTAACAAAATTAGTTTTTGCCCTAGCCAAGACAAAATAATTGAAGGCCTGGTTCTGATACATAATCAGACATTAGGAGGCAGAGGTTACAAACTTTTGACATCTTTGCATTTCCGAGCAATGTATGGGGAAGAGTACCAGATGTGATTTAAAGACCTGAGGGCTAGGCTTGCCTGTCACTAACAAATGGGGGGAGGTCTGGGACAAGTCACTTCACCTTGCTGACCCTCAGGTTTCACACCTGCAAAATGAAGAGTTAACACTAAATGTCCCTTCCAGGTCTGTTTGTAAATCAGCAAAACCAAATGGACAACACCAAAGATCACTTGGCTATCAAGTAATAGGCACTCTGATATTATTACCTATGTAATCATTATTATTATTATTATTTATGATTATTGTTATCATGACTCATTCAACGAGTAGCTCTGCGTCACCCACAAAGCAAAAACTTGAAGAGTCTCTTGTTAATTTTTCAGTCACGTATCAATTTACATCTATGTACAGTCGTACTTTTCCAAATCGAGAAAATTATTTCATTTGTTCCTCCCAACACCTGTTTGAGACAGGAAGGGCAGATTATTTCCCCACTTTATCAATATGCTCAATTGAAGTAATTTCCCGAGGTCACCAGTTAGCAGGCAACAATCCAGTGCTGTAGAGAAATAACCCACTTCTACAACCAGAGACTTCAGTTTCCAAGAGAACAGCGTGATGTTAGGATGTTAGGAGAAAAAGCTTCATCAGAGACACTTACTTTAGCTCGTTGGTTTCCATGCCCTGTGCGATGGCCACGATGATGCCGCCGTGGTCGCCCCAGGTATAGTAGTGAGGTCCAGGAAGGGCCTGCAGGGGAGAAGCCAGTGCTGAGGCCGCCGCGGAGGAGGTGGCTGGGCAGAAACCATGCACACGCGTGCACATGTGCGTGCACACACAGACACACCCACAAGCACGGAGAACAGACGCCCACCACTGAAATATGATTTTTCCTTTTCCAGAGCACACACATCCACTGTGTCACCGGCTCTGCACAGCCCTGGAGGTAGGCAGAGCAGCTACTTGTACGCGAATTTTTTCCCCAAATGAAGAGACTAAGGTTCGTGTTAAAGTGACAGGTATTCTACCCAAGAAAAGAAATGTACGTCCACCTAAAAACCATGTAATTAAATGTTTATATTTGTAATCAGAAAAAACTAGGAAGCCCACCAACAGATGAATGGACAAACTGTAGAATGTCCTCACAAGGGGACACTAATCAATGGTAAAAAAAAAAAGGGAAGAACACTGATAGCATGAAACAACATGAATGTACCTCAAAATGATCATCGTGAGGGACAGAAGCCAGGCAAAAAGATTGTACCCTCTGTGAGTCCATTTATATAAAATTCTAGAAAATGCTAGCTAGTAATTTGTCAGGGACAAGAAATACCATGGGGAAACAATACCGTTGGGGGGGTGACGAAATGTCTGCGGTCTTAACTGGCATTGGTGATGGTCAAGTGATGGGGACCAGCTCTGATAAAATTGTACACTTAAATATGTGTCACTTACTGTATTTCTGTTTGCCTCAATAAAGTTGTTAGAGTAAAAAGCACAAAAAAAGAACCTAAGGATCAGAGAATTTGCACAGCTAATTAACAGGAGATGAGGAACAAGAATGATAGGCACCAGTTTTCAAGGTAGCATCTCTACCACCACCTATTCCCCTTGCACACCCAGACAGCCCCTCTCAAGCAAGGACGGCCCGTGGGACTCAGATGCGCACTCACACAGACACACTCTCAACCTTTTCATCCCCTCGTTAGTTCTCTATTTCCAAAAATAAGGCCCCTTGTGCACCGGCTGCTTCTTGGCAGGCGTTAGGCATGCCGGATGGGAGGCACCAACAGCTGCCCCAGCGCTAGCCAGACGACACCACTTCACTGGAGAACAAGACACGGCTTTATACCCAGAAGGAAATCACTTGCAGATGTTCAAATCCCAGATTACACCAACATCAGAAGGTACAAACAAACCACAAGCCTGTCCGCGAGGAGAGAACACCCTATTTCAGAAAGAATGTCCGGCTCCATGGCAGAGGGGAGCAGCTGCTTAATCTTTCTCATGGGCACAGGACAAGGATGTCCCCAAAATTCCCAACCGTTCACCCTATTCGACTACTCTGGCCCCAACAACCTCCTGCATCCGGATATGTAATCAGGTTCTCTGCCATACTGTACATATAGTCTTTAATTTATACACACACACACACACACACACACACACACACACACAATGTCTGGGACCCAGATAACCTCAGCCGGAGGGCCGGGTAAGCCCTGCCTCAAACACGATAAGGTATGCAGCACATCTCCGTAAACTGCCAAAAGCCAAACATTCGGTATTATTACTGCTTCATGTACCACATATTTAAATACAAATGTGTTCATACTGCACTACCATCAAGAGGCCTCAGGAGGACAGGAACACTTTCCTGCCTTTTCTGAGACCTCCACATCCCTCCTGTCATCACACTCAGCCTGCAAGCGGTGCTCAATAAATTCTCATCACGTGGTCTGCTGCATTCTGCTGGCAGCTCCTACACATACTCAGAGCGCCACCGAACGCCACACCTACAGAATGGGGCCAAACACACTTCCCCCCGCCTGCCTAAGTCCTAGGAGGCTAGAGCAGAGCATTTCTGTTTTCTACATGTTTGGAAATTCCCTGAAGTCCAAGGCTGATTTAGCATTTCAGGACTAGAATAATAGTTCCACCTTCAGCATTGGTATAACAGTGGCTAAAGATCCACATTAGTTATACTAACTTATAGGGAAAACAGCCTTCTTCCAACAGCACAGAATATGATGAAAGCACATTACGGCACAGCCCAGTGATGGGAGAGCCCGGCTTCAATGTCAGCCATGTACCAAAGTAAGTCAACACGCAGTTCAGACCTGATACCACCACAACTACACCGTCATGTGCTGATAGATTCAGCAAGTATTTAGTGAGCACCCACTCCGTGCCAGACGCGGCTGGGTCCCAGAGGTACAGAAGTGAGTGAAACAGACATTGCTTTGTCCATGTGGAACTTATAATCTTGGAGCATTTAGTCAAATACACAGTTGTGTTAAAAAAAAAATCTGTTTTGGGTTGAAAGGAATATTTTTGACAAAGTTCACAGCCCACATCACAAGATGGGCATTCAAATCAGAGCAGCTGACCCTCATGTGTGACTCTGGGTGCCTTTCTCTACTTTACAGTCATATGTGGCTTCACTGGCTGGCCCTGAAATGTGTCTCTGAAATTCCAAGGCTCAGTCCATGTTCTCAAACAAACAAGAACAGGGGCTGGGGGCTGACCTCTCGCCACCGGGCTCCAGCGCTGCTGGAGATGTACACATTCGTCTTGCTTGCTAAGTTCTTTCCCACTGAACCTAAAACGCAAGCGGAACAATTATTTTTAATTTCAGGAATATGTCAGATAATCACCTTGCCCAACTAGAAATTCTGGGGAGTATCTAGAAACAATCTCGAAACCACAAAAGCACTTTCTGCAGCAGATGCCAGTGGGTCCCTGGGTGTCTGGCTGCACATAACCAGAGTGTGAGAAGTGGCAGAGCAAACTTACCGGTGGCAACGATGAGACCGGGAGCCGACTCCTTGGACAGGATGGGCATCCTCCGGAGCTGGAGGTTGAGCAGCTGACTGAGCCGCTGTGCCAGGTGCAGAGAACAGCCCTGGGAGAGCTACGGAACACAAGTCCCAGGCACCATCAGCACGTGACACACCGCCTCCATGTCCCTCTAAACAAGAGGCCAGCGTGCACACACCACAGAGCTGGGCACAGGGGAGACCAGGCCCGCGCAACCCAGAGCCTCTGCCCTGCTGTGCCCACACTTCCCCAGGTGGACACGGTTATCTGAACCTGGTAAATGCTTCTCATGAGAGAAAAAAACTCTAAGAAATTCCTTCTGAGCCTCTCAGAATAACGATTAGAGATCGATGTCAACTCAAGTGCATAGGAAAGCTATCCCTCTCCCGTACTACCCAGAGATTCTCTCCTGTGACTCAGAACTAAAGAGAAATCAAGTGATTTCACGGCACTCAATTTCTAAGTCAGTAGAGATGTATTTCAAATATGATTTAAGCAATTCTGTCAGAAGTAAAACCAAGAAGCAGAAGTCATAAAGCCTCATTGGTAAGCTCCCAGATGTACAACATATTAGATATAAACACCAAAGGATCCACATTAAAAAAACTTTTAAATTTTCACATTTGTATCAAGTACAAAGTCTGCCGTGTCCACTGTAGGACAATATTTTCAAGCTGGTCTTATGTTGAGATTCTAATAGTTCTGCAAACAAAGCCTTTTGCTAACATAGTCATGCCTGATTCTCTGGCCAGAAAGGGATGTCAGATGCTATTAAGCCCTTATTCAGTGTTCTAGACAGGGTAACTCCGTGTGTCCTTATGGTTAACAGGTAAAAACTAACATGATTTGCTAGATATACTTATTTTTATAACAAAAGGATTTCTCCAACAAATATTCATTTCACTAGTGTCACAGTTTGGCAAATGCAAACTGGAGCAAATTAGGTTGAGCCTCAAAGAAATATCTTGCCAACTCTCGTTTCTTTCGCTACCTAAAATCTGAAGTTGAAATTAAATGCTGATTGATGGTTGTACCGTTCATAGATAAACTGATCGGGGAAGTAAGAAGCTGAATGTTAACAATACCATCAATTCTATTTTAAGCAGGGCTCAGATCCCCACGGCACGCTCAAGAAATGCCCTGCTCCCACCCACACCACGTTGTGCACAGCTTCTAAGGTCTGGAGAAGCACTTAGGTATTTATCTATATCTACTCACATCTCTCCTCTTTCCAAAGTTAGATTTGATGTGGCAAGTTGAGACCTGTTGCCAAATGGGGAAGCGAAATCACAAGGCACGTGCTAGAGCAAGAGACTCCAAAATTATTTTTCTGAGGGCCACAGACGTCAACAGATTTAACAGTGGACACACAAAAGGCAAAAAATCCAAGACCAGAAATTGTTGAATTGAAATGTTACAGTTTCTCCAAAAATTACTACTACTTGTTTTTTTCGGAGTTCCTCCTGCCCACCTCCTTCCCACGCCCTAGACGCCTTAGGTGAAAGGAAAACAGAGGTGGGGCTGGCACCCAAAGCCAGGGTACTCAGTACACACTGTGCTTCCGAGGGAAGAGGGGGAGCTGCTCAGGTGTGTGGGAACACTTCCTGGGACCAAATAATACTTTTTAGTATTCTTAGCTTTTCAGAGGATGCCACAGATAGAGGAAATTGGAGGGTTCTCAAATCATATGCAGAGAAGGATTGTAAAAGAAGTTCCACACAAATAATAACTTATGGCAGAGGTTCCCCAAATTTTCTTGATTCCCAGCAAACTGGTGCTTCAGTAATTTTTTTATAGCGTCCCCAGGCCAACAGATATAGACCAACATTTGTCTCTTACATAGTTAAGTCTAAACAACTTAATAAATACCTATGCCCTAATAACGTAGAAGCAGTTTGAAATAATAGCATATACATGTGTGTGTATGTTTAATTTTTTATTTAATCCTTAACCATAATTACTTAATAATGGGATGTGTGCCCCTGCTGGGCACCACACAACTTCTCAAATTCTGGAATCCCATCAGATACCAACAGTGATGTTTTCTATTCCATCTTGACTTTCTCACCTGCTTTTTGTCACATCCACTGCTGTAAACCCAGCGCCATGAAGATACAATGTCATCAGAACAAAAAGAGCGTAAGCTCACGCTGAAACCGTAAACCCAAGGTAATATCCACACGGTGACTAAGCGAGGCCCAGAACCACAGTGTCTCCCTCAGAAATACAGAGCATCCCATGGTGCCCCCGTGAGCTCCCTAAAGCACCCCAAGAGGCTTTGAGGCAGAGCCTGGGATCCCTAAGGGAGAACTACAGATCAAGGTTTAGATTAAAAACCCAAACAGGAGTAAAGCCTCTATACCTCACAATTGATTTTTTCTCCATATCCTGTGAAAGCCGGAGCCTGAAGGAATTCCCAGGTCCCCCCTTTGTCAAAGGTGATGACTGATCTCATGTTCTCCTCATTCATGGAACCATTGATCAGAGTAGCGATGTAGACTCCCTGTAACCCTTCCACACGGTGGAAGTCAGCAAACGGTTCATTTGCAAAATACCTGCAATTAGAAAAGATAAACAGCTGTGAACCTGAACTGATACTTGCTTGGTCTGGTTTTATGGTAAGTAACATAGAATGTAACCATTTTGAAGTATACAATTCAGTGGCATTAAGTACCCTCACAATGTACCAACTATCGACACTATCTAGTTCCAGAATATTCTCATCCTCCCAGAAAGAAACCCTGCACCCTTAGCAGTCATTCCCCACTCCCCTTCCCACCCCAGGGCCTGGCAACCACCGATCAATTTTCTATGGATTTACCCATTCTAGATATTTCATATAAATGGAATCATACACTGTGTGGCCTTTTTAATGCTGCTTTCACTTAGCATAATGCTTTCACCTCTCAGTACTTCATTCGTTTTTATGGCTGAATAATCTGCCCGCTCTTTTTTTAAAAAGCGATTTTTTTTTCCATTAGACTTTGAGTGTTACATGCTAATCTGATCAATAACTCCCCAGAAGAAGTTCAGAATGACCACTGCAACCCACAGAAGTTGACATCAGACTCACCCTTACTTTTTCACTAACAAAACTGACCCCAAGTCGCCCAGGGAGCCTTGACAGACCAAGAACAATCAGCCAGACTTGCCAGGTGCTAACATTAGTGCTGGGGTTTTCAATTTAACCCAGTCTGCAGGAATGTAGCTACGGGCTACACACTATCCGAGCCCTTAGAACTGATTACCAACACCCTGAACACACAGATGCAGCAGGGCTTCTGTCAGGAAGCAGAGCAGAGTCCCTACCCAAAGAACAGGTGTATATACAGCAAGGATGGCTCTAGAAGCTTGAAGTTACGCTTAACAGGGTAGCAGAGAATAAGGCTCTCCCAGACCTTAGCTATTGTCCTAGAATACTCTGAGTTCACTGGAAAGCAGTTTCACTGGAAAACGGTCCACATATTACAAACTTAACAGATTTCTGAGAAATGGTAATAACCATAGTTCACATACAGTTTTTAAAACCAGAAGTGTGCCTTTTATTAGAGGGCTCTGAGCCATTGGGCTTTGTAAAAATGCACAGAACTGCTTTTTTCCATTATCTGCCATACAAATCTACAGCCAGATGCCTGCTCAGCCACCTCAGATGGAAAGACACACTCCAAGCTCTGAGGCAGAAGAGGAAAAGTAGCAGATTTCACAAAGCACTGGCTTCAAGAGATTGAGAAACTGAGCAAAATCCTTCGTGAGATACTGCAGGTGAGACCACATATTCTGACGTGTGGTTTCCTTGAGCCAATTGGAGTTATTTTTCAGTTGCTTCCTTTAGGGAATCTACCAAGGCCTGTTACCCTCCTGCTTGCCGTTCAACTGCTGCTGTGGACTCGGTCATCGGGAAGCCTGCCATCCTCATGTCGACCGGCTTCTTTCATGTACCTCGGACATCTGAGTTTCTCTCATTTAGACAAGGCCTGTTTCTTTCCCCCCAGTCATTCTCCTGGAGTTTTGTCTTTTACTTCCGAGCAGAAAGCTGTCCTCTGACCTCAGATGATCCTCTGCCTTTGGGCCCATCCTGCCATCTCCCCATTGGACCGGCCCTGCCACAATTGGCCTCACCCTAGACACGCTCTCTGCGCCCATTTTCTCCCATTTCCTCTCACGTGCACTGTCTACAATACTTCTCCCCTGCTTCCCAGAGTGTGCTGGGCCGAGACTTGCCAGCCAACTCAGCAGGCCCCCTCCACCAGCCCAAGCACAGGCCGCCAGCCCACCTGGCCACTCCAGACCAATGGAGCAGATCCCTTGGGAGACCCAGCAGGCGTGCCACCTCACAGGCACACCGGACCCCCCACCCGACAGTGACTTCCACAGATGGCTCCTTGGCACACCTCTCCAGTGCCAGGGGCACCCCCTATTAGGACTTCTTCCTCCAGCTCTCTGAGTAAACGAACCAATTCCTTGGCACCACACTTGCCTACGGAGTTCAAAGAAAGGCCCATTTCAGATACCACAGCATCGTGCTTTACTTTTTAATCCACCTGCCCACACATACTGCTAATTCACCCTCATCCCTTTTCATCTTACTGAGACGGACAGGCGGATGCCAAAAGGTTCAAATGAGCATATCTGCGTATCTCCAGGCCTGAGATAAAATCTAAAGAACAAAATAAGAAGGCTGAGCACTACACGCTGAAGTACGGATCTTGACGTAAATCTATTTTCGACTTCCTAACTGGACTGTACAGCCAGGCAGGGTGGAAGGGACCTTTCCACCTACATAGAGGGCCGCCTGCATGTGGGACGAGACCATATGGTCACATAGCTGGGGTGACTACTTCCTGGGGAGCTGCTCTCTGCAGCTTCTGGGTCCCACTCTGCTCCACCATGAGATACTCGTGCTGAGTTGGGCAAATAGAGAACAAGGAAACCTTTGGCAAGCGGTGACTTAACCACCCCATAGCTGGAAGCTCTCAAAGGTGGAAAAAAAATTTTTTAAAAACCTATAGTCAGTGAAAGGCTAGAGGGATAATGGTTCATAATTTCAATCATAAAAAACTAAGGCTATTATTGACCCATAGGAAGGAATGAAGTCCTGACACATGCGACATGTGGATAAACCTTGAAAACATTATGCAAAGTGAAGGCGTCAGACACAAAGGTCACACATGATGACATGACTCCATTTATATGAAATACGCAGAAAAGGCAAATCCCTAGAGACAAAGTAGACTGGTGGTTGCCAGGAGCTGGGAGGAGGGGATAGTAGAGAGAAACTGCTCAGTGGGTAAAGAGTTTTCTTTTGGAAAAATGAGAATGTCTTGGAATCAGATAAAGCCAGTGGTTTACAACAGTGTGGGAAAAAAAGGGACACAGTGTCAATCAAAAAGGACGGCCATCGACCAAACCAGAAAAACCTGAGGCCGAATCCTGGCAGGAATGGTTAATAACACAGTAAAAACACACTGAATAACAAACAGCCTATTGGTCTATACTGGGAACCAAAAAGACATAAAGACTAAAAGATGACAGCATCTCTGAAGGGAAAGAACTGCAAAGTGGAAACGAGCATCAGAGACAAGGCTCCACGTGGGTACTGGCATCTCCAACCGAGGACGTCCAACCCAGGCTCGACCCTTCCTGGCAGCGGCTCCACACCCAGACCACCCTGACTCCAGACGCAGCCAGCATTTTACCAGCTGCTCAGCCGAGCGGTGATGGGCCCTCGATTCCACATATCCCAGCAGCAGATCTCTCTGCAAATGATCACAATTTGACGACATCTATCAGCTCCACTGCTGGGCCGGGGGTCCAGCCCACAGCCACCTCCACTGGCCTGGACTTCTGTAATGCTTCTGCCACTTGTGTCCCTGCTTCCACTCCTGTCGCCCTGCAGGAGACTAATTTCCACCCAGCATGGAGGATGGCTTCTTGGCAAGGTGAGTCACGTGGGTGTTCACTCAGAATTGTGTACACCGCTGTCCATGTACATCTCACCTACTTCACTTCAGGTAATGCAATTCACAATTTTTTAGATGGTAAAAAAAAAAAAATCAGATGATGTCCATCTTCTGGTCAAAACCCTCTATCCTTCTTAGAAGAAAAAAGTAAGTTCTTTTTCTGCCTTTGAAGGCCCCATACGATCGGAGCCCTGCTCCACTGGGTCCTGTCTTAGGCTCTCTGCCCTCCCCCAGCTGGGCAGTCTGGCCTGGCCTCCTCATTGTTCCTAAAGCAAACCAACAAAGCCCCACCTCAGAGCATGGTGCCGGCTGTGGGCTCGGCTCACAGCGCGCTTCCCCAGGTATCTGCCTGGCTCCCTCCCTCACACGGGAGCAGCCCTCCAGGACCAGCCTGCATGAAGTGACAGCCTCATAATCCCGTCCTCGGAAGTCGCTTTATTTTTCTTCTAAGCACTCACTATTACCAGGCAGATTATATATTTATTTGTACTGTCTTCTCCTGATTGAAACAAAAGCCCCACGGACCAGGGACCTTGTTCTGATTTCTCACGGCCATGCCTGTTATTTCTCCGCTGCACCTGGAACACAGTGTGCGCGGAACAGCAGGACGGTTGCTGAAAGACCTGATGATGAAATGAATTGCTGGCATGAGGAGCTGGTGGACCGCGGCGACGTGCCCTCTGACCCAGTGATCACGGCCTCAGAGCCATGCCTCACTGCAGACCCGGCAGCCAGCCTCACGCGACAGCTCTTCCCAAGAGCAGAGGGTGATCCTAACCACAGTCAGACACCTCACAAAAGACTGGCGTGTACACAACAAATGAGAATGAACAGACAGACTTATGGCACTGATGGATCGCAGTGCCACCCACAGACTCATGGCACTCATCCCTCCAAAACCCCCGCCTCCTCCACAGCCCCAACAACTCCCAGCATCGATTACAGATAAAGGTTCAATGACACTCGTATCTTTCCACAGACTCCCCCAGAATACCTAGGCCTCAGAAGCTAACATTCCTTTGGAATCAAAAGTCAAAAAATACACAAATCAAAACACATATATGCCCTGTGGACGTTCCCTGGGCACACTAAGGTAATGACCTCCAAATTACTCTAGGAGTAATGAAGCCTATTAACCTGATTCACTTGGAGGTAAGGCTGGGTGGCTACATTCGCCAGCTCCCCCTGCACTGACATTTTCTCAGTGCCCTTTCCCACTGGCTCAAACAACAAAACGGGATAACTGAATGAAAGGGACCCAGGGGAATGGCTGGCACAATGGCTTTGACCCTAAATGTCACCTAGAACGGCAGTGCTCAGCCTTGACATCATATAAGAGTCACGCAGGAAGGTTTTTAAAATCCTCATACCCTGCCACACCCCAAACTGGTTAAATTACAGTCTCCGGGGACATGAACCAGGCTTTGCAGTTTCTGAGAGCTCTGCCAGGTGAGTGCAAACACACAGCTAATGCTGAGAAGCCCCCAACTACAGGCTGGTGGGTGCCCTAGGGTGAGAGCAGGGGAGGGACGCCAGGGCTCTTACCTCACCAAGGTGTCACCGCCCGCCCCGCCAGGGCTGTAGTAGAGCACGTTCTCCAGGGACAGGGAGAACTTCAGTCCCTCTGCCTCCGAGATGTACAGGTTGGTACGGTTGTTACTGTGACTGACGCAAACAAACACCTGGTCCTCAGAGGCGTCGGCGATGTAATATTCCTTTGGAATCAGAAGTCAGACAATACACAAATCAAAACACACATAGGCCCTGTGGACTTTCCCGAGGCAGCTAAAGTAATGACTTCTGAATGTCCCAGGGATGAAGGTGGGCCCGGAAAACTTCCCAATCTTGGTAAAGCAGCTTAGCCAACTTTGTCTTTGGAGAACCCGAGGCCACACTCTAGCTGGAAGAAGCCCCTTAGTAGGCAAATAGGAAGGGGCCACTGAACTCCATAAATGACCTAAAAGCCTCTTTTAAGTTAATAGTGCCTCCCTCTTTTTCCCATGAGACTTGTCACTCATAAAAAGTACAATACAGGTTAATGTACATTTCCTTTTCTCATTTTCTCTAAGGTGACTACAGGCAGGCAGAACCCATGGAAAGCAAACAACTGACAAGTGTCACCATCACACCCTTGTCTGAGCCACGAGCCTTCCCCCACACCAATCGCTGGGGGCAAGGCCGTCCGCCGCCACCCCTGCCCTCAGGTCACATCTCTGATGACCCCAGCCCGCATGGATCTTTCCTACTGACCTCATGTTACAATGCATACTGCACAAGCAAGCATTTGCCTGTTTGTGGTTTCTTCCTCTGCTCATTACTCAGGCTCACCAGCCTGTCTCCAAAACGGTAGGGCCCAGATCTTATCCCCTTCGGGAACCTACCATCCGTAAGCAACATAGCTGGTACTTAATAAATAGTGGCTATCGCCACTAACTTCCCATTCCTTCAGGACTGGCACCCAGAACCCACTGATTCTGGCTCCAGACCTCTGCCGAGCCTTCTCCACTTTAAGAAAATTATCCTGTTCAGCAGCACTCCAAACAGTGAAGAAAGGAAAAACAGGACAAGATGCTCCGAGCATAATCGTCCTCCCTAGAGACCTCCCTAGAAGATGCCTGACTTCAAGGGGCTTGCATCGAACATGCACCCACGTGGACATCCCTGCAACGCTGCAGGGGGTGAGCTCTGCATGGGGACAGTGACACTTCTTGCCACCCCCGGGCAAACCCCACTCACATTAATAGGATGTCTTGTGACAAACTGGGCTGCTCGCAGGGGCTTCCGGCCAAAGGAGACCCAGAGCTGGACAGGAGACGGTTGCTGACTGCCCGAGAGATGCTGCCAGGCAGAAGGAGGGAAAAAGTCAATGTGTCACATCATAGCCACTCACAACAGATGGAAGGAAACAGAAAAGTCAGACCCCTCCAATTCCACTGAAAATACAGAATCGCTAGCATGACAACAACTGCCCGTTTTTGCAATGCCCACCACCATCACTGGACGAATGGCACTTCATCCTAGACACCTGGTCTGCAACAGACACTGGATACTCCACAGATACTAGATGGGGAGGAAGGATAACAGTATGGTGGGGGGACTCGGGCTTGGGGGAGGGAGGAGGCTGCCAGAGCCTAAGCAGAGAGTGAAAGGGGAGGAGGGTGTGCTGAGGCTGAAGGGACCAGTGGGGCAGAGCCACACGGTGAAATACACCCAGGCTCCCAAAACATATCCTCCTCTCCTCTCGACTACTACTTTCAGACAACAAGAATAATGGAGTCACAGAGCTTCAATTTGCACCAAGCATTGTCGGAATTGTCATTGACTCTGTTTTTGATCTTTAATACTTCTCAAAAAAAGTAATGATTCAAAACAGGGTAAGAACTGCTGTAATGGCTCTACATATGGGTTTTTTCCCAGCTCTAAAAGTATGTCACTGGTTGCTGAAAGTCAGTGTTGTACATGTATCAGGACACCCTCACATGGCTATAATCACACACGTGACTATTAACATATAGACATGTTGGGATTCCCAGCCAGAAAGGGTTAGTTTGGCTTCATTTGTCTTTGACTATGTTGCTACTGTTTATTAGAGATTTTAAATTCCTAAAGAGTAAGGAACATAACAATTTCTCTTAACTATAACCTAACAACTGAATACCCTGTGCTCACCTATGCCCAATAATTACTATTTGAAGAGCAAGCTAATAAAGTTATTTTTTATTCATTTGAGCAGTGTACCTAGACAGATATTAGATACATACATATATATACACATATATGTATATCTTTCCAAACCACCACTAAACAAACGGTTAAAAGCAGTTTGTTTTAAAGAAGCCAGGAAGAGAAAGAGTTAAAAAAAAAAAACTCTCCTTCCAGAATCACACCCTGAAAAATCATGTTAATTGTCTGTACTCCATATGGAGCCAGAGAGAATGATGGGCCCATTAAAAATGTAACATATTACCTGAATGAGAAAACCATTCCCAGCAGAACTGCTATGTGTAAATTCCAAAAGCCCTCCTTAAGTCAATAAAATTTTACAGTTATGTATACAGGTCAGATGACCCTCCATAAGTCTTTATAAAAATATATGAATACACAGATATCAACGAAACACATACTTTATACTTTATATTGTCTCACTATTTCTACTGTGGTTACAGCTTAGAAAGGAGCCACTTTTTCCCAGTGACACCCAGACCCTGCATTAGTAAGTGTTCCGAATGATTGCCGCAGGAGGCCTGAGAATTGAGAATGCATAGCAAGACCAGTCTTAGCTCCGTAAATGCAAACATCACAGAATACAAAAGTTGTAAGAAACCTCAAAACATGACCATTCCCCTTGCTTTGGGGAAAATTATTCCTAAACCTGGACAATTCAGGCTTGCCCCTAATGTATTCTTAATGAGTCACTGTAATATTTTACTGCCACCAAGAAAGATATTAACTAAACCTTGCCACACCAGGACTATGAGATGTAAGATGAGGCCTAATACTTTTCTTATTCAGCCATGGGCTTTGGTTGTCATTGAGGTCTTCTTAACCATGATTATAACAGTGAAACGTGCTCATGGAAAACATCCACCAGGACACACAGGTATAAGGTAAAATGTAGCAGGTCTGTTCCCTACTCTCCACTCATCACTCCATGCTGTGCCCTGGAGTGCCCCGGTAAAGGTTTTTGTGCATCCTTTACCAGGGCCCTCCAGGGCATAACATGCTGTGTGCCACCACATATAAGCATATGTATATAGTGACAGACACTGCTACACTCGGAACACCCACTATCCCCTTCCACCTTAGCAACAGGACCCTGACTGCCACACGAATCAGACTTTTATACAACTCCGTGTGATTGTGTGACTGAGTAGCAATCAATGAGATGTACACAGAAGTGTTGGCTTGGGTTTCTAGGAAGGCTGCTTAAAGTGATGGAACCAGATGGAAGGGGTCCCTATTGTGGCCTCTCTGTCTGTCCTTATTCGTCTTAACTCCAATAAGACCTGAAGGCTAGTACAGGTGTCCTGGACCTTGAGAAAACCTTGAGAATGGAAATCATTACTTAGGATGGTAAGAACAGACAGACAGAGGCCTGGGTCCCCAATAACACCAGGGCTCCAAACACCAGCGTGCCTCTAGGCAGCACTGGTGAGAAGAATAAACTTCCACCTTGCTTAAGCCACTTTCATTCTAACCTGTTACCAGGAACCAAACACAATACCAAACTGTATACTGATACATCCAATTTTACTTTTCATACACAAACTAGATCTTGATAGAAATAGTGTTACATAACTCTTTTCATTAAGAGTGTCTTACTGTTCTACAGTTTAATTTTTTCCATTAACAGTGTATTCTAGACATCTTTTATTTAACAGCTACTGATGGACATTGAGGTTATTTCCAGAAGCCCACTTCAGTGAGCATACTTGTATATATTACCTTTTTCAGAAGTGGACAGGAACACTGTAGGGTGCATTTCGAGAGTTCCCTAGGTCAGAATTTTCATTTGTGAAGCAAAATTTTAGCAAATGATCCTCCTAAAAGGTTACACCAATGACATTATTTCCCAGCACACATATCTTCATCAACTACTAGGAATTATTTAAATGTTTTAATTTATTCCAGTATTATAGGGCCTGAGAATTTATAAGATTTTTCCTATTTGGTGTTTTCATTTCCATTAAGTAAAAATAAAGCAATACAAGTATCTGAATAATCTGAATTTCAGAGAGTGTACTTATATTTACGTTTGAGATTATGTGAATACCAAAAAAAGACAGGTCAAGGAGAAAGGAGCAGAAAGGAACTAAATAATATGATACATCCTTGACAAGAGAGGGTCAAAGGATGTCACAGTCAACTGTTCAAATGAAAGTTTCACAGAGAAAACTGGTGGGAGAATGAGGGACCCCCTAAAGCACATGGTGGACAAGGACATGAGTTCAGAGGCACCTGGGCTGTAGCTTTCACAGTCACCTTCTCCTCTCAGGAGTAACAAAGACTCAGCAAAACATCATCCACATTATTGTTGTGTACTCCTAAATATTTATACATAAAATGATATATTCTGATATTTGCTTTACAATACTCCAGGAAAAAATAAATAAATAAGTGATGGGGTAGACAACCAAAAAGATAATAGCGAATGTAGATAATATTGAGGTTGAATGGGGGCACCTGGGGAGTTCATATCAGTAGAAACTGTTCCTTTATGTAGATTTGATAATGCCCATAATACAAAATCTACAAATCAATATTAATTAGGAACCCTTCCAGAATGGTAAAGTAAAAAGCTCTGAAAATCCTCTCATCTACACAAGTGACAAGAATACTGACAAAAATCCTCAAAATCAACTTTTTCAGAATGCTGGGAATTCAATAAAGGCTTGCAAAAACCCAGAGAGCATTTCTTCAAGCTGAATAAACGTAGTCAATTCAACCGAAGCTCAGCAAGAATGGCCAACTTGGTGGTGTTCTGACTTGCCCCTCATCCCATTCCCTTCTCTCTAGCTCTGCGGTAGCCTTGGAAATCCACAGCTCTGCAGCTACAACTGCTGTGAAAACCACCAGCCTAGCAGCCAACCAGAGAGGACAGAATAGGTTTGAAGCTTCCAAAATGCCCCACAGCCAGAGGGCTGTCACTGTTTGATCTGGTAGCTTGCTTGAAAGCTGCATTCATAGGTCTTCTCTTTATATAACCTGACTCAGCTCACTGTACAACCAAACCTACACGCAGGACATTCGCAGAACACAGTATGGCAAAGTTTAACATCACAGCTGCCAGAGAAGCATTGCCACTTGGACCTAAGAAAAGGCTAACTAAAAAGCATTAGAGGAATAGCTGGGGAAGATGTCCCTAAGATGCACTGATAAGCTCTGGAATTTTCCAGGAAATCGACAGGTCACATGCACAAGAGCTGGAAGTAGGCTCAGGAAGGAACCGAAAAGGGCCTAATTGCTCACCTCTGGCTAATAACACTGAGGCTCCGTATCGCAGGAAGTGAAGGCTAAGGCAGAGTTGAAGTCTGTCTTGAAGGCATGCCCCCAGCACAAGCTCAGAGGCCCTCAGCAAAGGGGGCCAGGTTTACTGGTTCAAAGCATTTTAGGAAATCTCTGTTCAATCATTAGCTGACTACTAAACTAATTAAGCACTTCAGTAGCCATGCACATTGAAGAATACAAACTTTACAAAGTAAGCAGGAAACTCGCAAAACAAAAAAAAGTAACAACAGTAACAAAAAGCAACAAAAAATCCTGAAAAGGGGTTGCCAGATCATTTCATTTCAAATGTCTGGTTTTCAACAAAGAAAACAACAAGACAGGCAAATAGCCAAGTATGGCCCACACACACAACACACACACACACACACACACTCTCAGTCAATAGAAGCTATCCCTGGGGCAGGCCACATACTGGACTTATTAAGCAAAAATTAAAATCCCCTATGTAAATATGTTCAAAGAACTAAAAGAAACCATGGGCTCAAGAATTAAGGGAAAGTATGAGAATATTCTCACCACATAGAGAATATCAATAAAGAAATAGAAATCACTTTTAAAAGAAACAAACAGAAATTCTTCAGTTAAAAAATACAATACCTCAAAAGAAAAATTCGTGAGTGGGGCTCAGTGAAGATTTGAACTGGCACAAAAAAAGGAATAGTCAACCTAAAAACACATTAATTCTGATGATCTATGGACATGGATAGAACCGGAAACATTATACTATGAAAGAAAATAATCACACAAGGGCACATATTATATGTAGGCAAACCCAAAAGGTAGGTAGAGAGTAGGTCCATGGTTGGGAGGAGAGGGGGGATGGGAAATGATAATAACGGGCAGTTTCTTTTGGGGGCAATGAAACTGGTCTGGAATTACGTAGCCATGAGCATTACACAACCTTGTGAATATACTAAAAACTGCTGAATTACATGCTATAAAAGGATTAATTCTATGATATACCTCAATACCAGTGTTATAAAAATCTATTTTAAATTTACTGGTATTATAGTTTTATTTCTAATCTGCGTAAATATGTTTGGGTCTTATTGTTGTAAATGAGTTACAAGTGTGAGGTGCTTAAGCCTAAGCTTTATGTCTGCATACATTTAAGCAATGTTATAATTAAAATACTTTGTCAACTGTTATGTTTTGGTCAGCTGTCATGTAATTCACACCTCAATTGTTATCAGCTAACTTCTCATGTAGATACCCACAATCCTGAGGCAACGACTAAGTTTTCCTGTTATCTCTACCAATAGTAGACGCTTTAAAATAGCATAATGAAGGGTAGAAATTGGTTTTTCATAGTGAAATACCACTGGTTGGCTGGTCAGAATAGCAAATGAAAAATGAGCTCTCTGGGGACATCAGGAGCATGCAAGATATTTGAATTGGCCATAATATTCCCAAGATAACACCCAGCATACACAGGGCATAACAATCTAGTGAGGCCTGTAATCTGAACTGTGAGAGGTAATGCCTAAGACTTGTCTTCCTCTTACACTAGGGGTTTCCGATTGCCTGATGCCAACTGAAAGGGTAACACAATCCTGCTTCTGCAACAAGGGTTGGCAAACTTTTTCTGTGAGGTCCACACAGAAATATTTTAGATTTTGTGGGCCATCCTGCCTCTTGGCAACTACTCAGTTCTGCCCCTAGAACATGAAAGCAGTGAAGGACAGTACTTAAACAAATAAGCACGGCTTTGTTTCAGAAAAACACTGCCGACAAAGACAAGTAAAAATCCACAGCTTGCCCATCCCTGCTCTAGAACAGTGTGTATACATCGTGCGAGGCATGGCTGCATCACTGGAAGGACACAGCAGGCACTCATTGGGCCCACACCTCTGGATGACCGATACGCAAGAAATGTCTGAGCCTGGCTTTCGGGATAAGCTGGTGGTGATGCTGTGAGAGAAGCGGCTAATCCACTGGCACCTCCTACTTTCTGTTAAGTATGGTTATCTACCAGAGAGAGCCTAACTGCTACATACTGCCAACTTAACAGATGACGTTGGTCCATTTGCAGGGGCGCCTTCTCATTCGTTTAATGGCCCTGTCATCTGGGTGTGGACTAGTAAGACAGGTAAGTGAACTTCATGTCAAAAGACAAAGAAAAAAAATTAAACTTCGGTTAACAAAAATAAAAACCAAAGGGCATCGGACACAAAGGACATATGAAGTAAAAGCCAGGCCGACAGGGCACCACGGGGTTCTGAAGACATGGACACCAGCTCCAGTGCAGACCCAGAGGGCTATCCTCACGGGTTCTAAAAAACTAACTTTCAAAGAGTTGTAATCACTCATGGTGCTGCAGGAAAACAAAAGAGTTCATTGCACAAACCAATTTTCTATGGTTTTGTAATTACTTCCTTGACTTACCTAACTTGATGAAAACCCACTTAATATTAAAGTCACTTGAATTCCCCAAACTGGGCAGCCTGAGGGATTGGCACCCTCCAGATAAGAAGTTACACCAGTTGGCCTCAACACTCTGAACTGACAGGGTTATCCAACCAAGCAGTGTTATTTATCCTGAAGGTTCAGGAGTCTCGTGTAATAAAAAAGACAAAAACCCCCATTTTATCATCCAGAGCCAGTTGTGCTTCCTCTCTCAACAATCTAACCACTGACAAGTGTTCCTTTGACCATACAGTTGATATTATTGAAAGCTTCTGCATATAGAAGGCCTCAGAGAAGAGCTCTCAAATTTGGGAGATTCTTAGGCATCCTGGGGTTGCGCAGGGGAAAATGCCCTTAGACCCCACAGTCTGCATTCGTGAAAAGTGCCCTCGTGAGGGCACTGCAGGGGCTACTAACAGCGCAACGTGACGAACACTGACCGGTGGTAGCCTAGCTCATCCTACCTCAAGCCTCTAGCTAACGCCACTGACGCTGCCACCGGGTGGTCCACCCATGTGCTGAAGGAGCAGACACATTAACTACAATTTGCACCAAAACAATATACACAGAGAAGCCGTACAGAGAGTTGAGAGTTACTGTAAAAGTACCAATAACTTAATTCCCCCACCCTGCCGAAAACTAGCCCGAGCTTTCTCAATTAGGCAAAGATGGCGTTCATGAGTCTGCTGCACATCGGCTCTCTATCAAGCATTGTTCAACATGCTGGGCACTGGATCAGTGAGGATCAAAACAGACACAGCCCCTGATGTGACCCCCGGCCGGGAGTAAGTAAAGGTGTTCCACCACACTGCACGGCAGCTACGTCTGCAGAACAGACACAGCTGTGAGGCTGGGGTGGAAGGCACAGCAAGTTCCAACTGGGATATAACACTCCTGGGTGTGAGATCTAGAAAAAGCTCAAGTACTCAGCCCCAACTCCATCAGCAGGACCGATCTTGAAACCAACCACTGGGTTTGAAAATCAAGAAATTAAAACAAACAAATAAATGAAGGCCCCAGACCTAAAGCAGGAAAGCCTGTGGACCCTGGAGGGCTGGAGACAGTCCTGGAACTGGACACAGACCAGTCCTGGAACTGGACACGGACCAGTCCTGGAACTGGACAAGGCCCCTGACCTCCGCATTCCCACACCCACCTTCCTGCCCGAGCCAATTCAAGGATACGTGTGCCCTTGGGCTGGGATGTGTGTGCAAGTGTGTGAAGGAATGATCCAGGCAGTGACCCAGGGCACACAGCCCGACAAGAAAAACTGCCAGTTGCATGGTTTTAGAAACAATTTTACAAGATATGTAATGAGGAACCCTTCCTGCCTTTAGCCACTCACATCTCATTCCAACTACTCTCTGCTCTCCCTGGTGGGGAGGTCCTCTCTCTACCCTAGAATCCTCCTAGGGGGGTTGACCTCCTTCTGCCTGGCCAGGCACCAATCATATGAGAACGTGGAAGAAAAACATGACATCTGACTTTAGTCCCTCAGGTGAACAGTGACAGAAAGCAGAGCAACCTTCTGGTTACAAGAGGCCTTCAGCAGAGCGGGAGGTTATTGAGGGGATGGCTGCCTTTCAGAAAGCAAGCTCATAGCCCTCCAGGAGTAGTAGACCAACCTGCTCTTGGCCAGGCCTGGTTTTTTCCTTTACACAAGCCCCAACTTGCAATGTGATACAGTTGCAAGGCAAGTCCTGTTAAATAATCAACCTTGCTTGTAAACGAGCAAGCCCACCATTTCAGCATCTGGCCCCCAACACATCCAATCAAGGGGATGATTTTCCCAAAGGCTGAGAGTTAAGCTACTTACTGACAGCTGGAAGCTTAATTACTGCTTTTCTTAGAGCATTAACTCCCACTAGCCAATGACTACACATTCTATTAGCCATGTAAATTAACATGTGTCCAAAATTCGCAAAGAAATCGGCCTAATGTGAAAGGAAATCAGGCAGTGGGATTAAAGAGAAAAGCCCCTGAGCCCCTCCCACTCCTTTCTGGGTTCTGAAAATTGGGATTTCAAGGAAGTATGTATTCAGCAAAGATGTTCTGCTATCAGGAAGCCACCAAAACATTGTGAGTGGCTGTCTAAGCTTCTCCACTCCTCCAACCTGCCTGGGGCACCCAACACCCTTGGGAGTTTTCACCCAAGCTCAGCACCCTACAGCCAACCTCCCCTGGGCACATCGACCCGTACCTACCTGTGCAAATTCACCTGCTTCATCAGAGCAGGCCAAACCGCAGAAAGGAAAACTAAAAAAGCAGCTTATTCCTTAGCCTTCAACTTACCACCACCTTTGTAGCGAACATGTATTTGTCCCGAAGCTGAAAGTCTCTCACTTCCTCCAGGATGACTTCCTGGTTCTCCCGGGACAGGAAGAAGTCCGTACTGCGGAAAACCGTGGAGTAGCCAGAGGGCTCATGCCGTGCGACGTAGACGGTGTTTGGCTTGTCGTACGGATCGATTCCCCTAGAGCAAAAAAAAAGTGGCTGTCATTTCCATGCTTCATCACTTGGAGGCACAGAGGTTCCGTCAGCTAGAATTTAGGGACACACGGTGGGATCCCCGACTGATGCTCTCTGTGCCGCAAGCAGAGCCCTTTGGCCGCTCCTCAGCTCGGGAGAGGGAGAGGAACGGCCATTTGCAAAGTGCTGTATGTTCTGACGGCTATTTTTCGAAGCATCTTGGGTTTTGCACAAGGCAAGCTCTGGCCATGCTTAAGAAGCAGGGAAAGAAATAAAGATGGCAGGTTTCAGAATCATAAGCAATGGACTGCTTGAGGCAGGAAGTTTCTGGCCTCAAGTTATGAACCCCAGAGGAATGAAGGAGGGTGTTTACGCAGGATGCGACCTTCTCCCGAGAACATGTACCAAAGAGGAAACCACATTAGGGAGCAATGAGCCTGAGCCTCCTATAGGGCCTGCCGTTTCCCTTTCTGTCTGTCCTGGGCTGCTGTCACCGATCTGTGTAATCCAAATTCACAGGTTCGTGTCCTTGCTCATACTGGTCTCCTTGACGTCTTTCCAAAATGCAGGGCTCATTTGTCCTCCTGTGCTTTGGCCAACATCACAGCCCTTGCACCCATCCTCCGGATCTGCACGTACAAATCCTACTCATCTTCGGGGGTCAAGTTCAAGTCCCCTTTTCCAGGAAGCCGTCCCCCAACGCCCCCCCTCCCCTCCACCCTCCTCCCAACACTAGCAGTGTTATCCCTGCAGCACTCAATTTCAAAGGTAGAAAACCACTCTGGATGGGTGGATTTCGGAATCACTTGTGTTCCTTTATTCAGTGGTGCTTTTTACTCACTGTATTATATTGTTCACCACAGTGTGTTTGTCTAGAGAAAGTGCAGGTGCCTTTAAAGGCCACGTCTTATGTTTCTTTTTACCCTACAGGGTTTCCTAGTTGAACTGATTATCCTTGCTGCCTTGAATCCGTGGGCCATATGACAAAAACTATCCCAAACCGAAAACTGCAGGGTGAGGAGGTCAAACCACCTCGGAGAAGAATCTCTGAACTGGTGTTCCCCCAAATAAGGCCCCAGACAGAGGATGACAAATCCTCCCCAGGTTGCTGACATTCAGAGGGACACCGAGGCCAGGCAGACCATGCAGCAGGCTGGAGGAGTAATTAGAAAAATCAGGAAGAGAGCTTCACAGTGAGGGGGCAGTGATGACCCGAGGGCAGGCAGGAGGCCTCGCCTGGGTAGCTGTCTCTATACCACTGCACATGCCCAGTGGCTCTCGGGATAATGAAGGCAATGACATAAAATTCCTTCAAAGATGTACAGTCAAGGGCATGTTCTAGAAGAAAGACAGAGAGAGGGAGGGAACAAGGGAGGAGGGAAGGTGGGAAGAAAGGAAAAGGGGAGAGATAAGAAATAGAAAAACAGATGTAACTTCGGCTCTACAATGCAGAGTCGTAGCAGGGCACGGTGGGAACCAGAAGGCATGTGTCTCCCAACCCGGAGACAACTGTTCATTATTAGATGCTGTGTGCATGTGTGTGGGGGTGGCAGCGCGTTCTCTTCTACAATTAGAAGTACCGATTAAAGGACTTCCTCTACCCTAGAGGATATGCAAATTAAGTGATGCGGCTGGATATTTTTAAAAGGCAGAGAGGAAAGGACCTTTGTTAAGATATTTGAGACCAAGCTCCCCTCTACTGTCCTTTCCTGGTCAAGGGCATTGGCCAAGTACCTAGAGATGGAAAGAGTTGTGCCTTTCATCCCAATTTTCTTCTGTAATCCCTACTTGAACCTCTCATTGCTGAGAGCCACTCCACCTACAAATTCTTGGACTTGGCGATCACGAGCTTTCTACGTCTCATGCTCACTCACAGCTACTTTCTGCTCTTTTTGCCTTCATTTGGAAATTCCAAGCCTTGCTCTACAGCCATCAGTCCTCACCTGGCCTCACCTGCCTCACTTGAACCCTGCAGTGACGCTCCACACGGCATCCTTGAGGCCCTCACTGAGAGTCCCTTCCCGTGCTGTCGTGCCCATCTCCAGCTCTGGGCAGCACAAATCACTGGTTTTCCTCACCCCTGCTGCTCCCAGGCTGCCAAGCATGACTGAACAAATGTATACCACTATTCCCGGAGAGGTTAGATTACACTCTCACTACAGGCAATCCTAGGGGGAAATCCCCCAAATAGCCTGAAATTCTCTGACACCAGACAGGTAATTATGTAAAATAAGAGGCCAGTCCCTTCTCCTAGGATGGCTATCTGCATGCCTGCACAAAGGCGGAAGGTACAACACGCCAGTTCCTGAACATGAACTTCCTCTATGTAGCGAGCGCGCTGCTGGTTTGTCCTCTTAATATATGGGTCCCCAAACAGATAAAAGGGCACTCTGTCTCTTTAAAATTCAAATAAAGCTAAAGAACATTCTAATGGTATTCTTTGGGTACAGGCTGTACTTGAATGAGATTAAATTAAAACTCTACAACCCCTGCCCAAGGAAAATCACAAAAGGGTCAGAAACAGCTGCCCTGTATGAAGAAGTCCACTGGGGCCTGCAGATCCTCAGCTGTAAGGCCCTTCCCTGGGCCCATCTGTATGTCCTCAATCACGAAGGAAGCAAGACTAACTCAAAGACATTGCTCTTCAAACAGAGGGCTGAAAGAAGTAGTGTCCACATCTTGTTGGGCCATGACAGTTTATGGGACCACAACTGCATGTAACAGCCAAAGGGCAAATGACAAACTGGAAAACATAAATATCAATGGATGTACAGCACATACAAGCTATCTCACATCACAAAGGACTGATCTCAAATATATAAAAGGGCTCCAGGAAACCAATAATTTAAAAAAAAATCAAACAATCCAATAAAAAAAAGGGCAAAAAGCACATGTCACACCACACATACAAAAAGAAATGAAAATGACCCTCAACCAAGTTACAATTTTAAAAATGCAGATTAAAGCTACACTAAGATATTATTTCTTACCTGACACACTGGTTGTGGGGAGAGACACAATTCTATGTTGTTGAGATAAGGACAAAATTTGACACTTTCTATAGGAAATTTGGCAATCTGTACCAAATTTACCATTTCAATACTTCCATCTCTGGGGATATATCAGTGCACTAAACTGTCAAAAATCCTGCCCCTGTGGGGCTTTTATTCTATTGAAGAAAGATAAGCAAATAATAAGCACAGTAAGTTAAGTACTCAACTACCATGCAAAAAATAAAGACTAGATCAGGGTACAGCAGATTGGGAGTGACAGGACAGTAGTTGTCACTTTAATAGGATCCTCAGGATAAGCCTCACTTAGAAGGTATTATTTTAGCAGATCTGAATGAGGTAGTGGAGTAAGCAGTAAGTGTCTCCTGAGTAAGAGCATTCAAGACAGAGAAAACAGCAAGTGCAAAGGCCCTGTGGTAGGAATGTACCCAGCATTCCATCTGAGAGAAATGATGCTGCATATTAAAGGGTTCAAAGCACAGAACAACATGATCCAACCTAGTTTTAACAGGATCAATCTGGCCTTGTACTGAGAATTAATTATAGAAAGACAAGAGTGGAAGCAGAAAGACCAGCTGGATGACTGATGAGTGGCAATGGTGCTTGGAGTAATAGTAGCAGAGTGGTAGTTCCCGGATATATATTGAGGGTAGAGCCATAGGATTTCCTGACAGATTGAATGCGAAGCAAGGAACAAATATGGAATCAAGAATGACTCGAAGTTCTTGGTCTCAGCAACCAGAAACTGAAATAGATGGGATTACAGTTGGGGCTGACTTGGGGCAGTGAAGGGTCAAGAGTCAATCTGGGAGGTGTCATGTTCGAGCGGCCCACTGACCAGGAAGTCCACTCCCAGGAATCTGTTCTACACATTTGCCTGCACATGGACAAACTCATGTATCCAGGATTTTACATCATATCCCCATAACAGTAAAAAATCAGAAGAAACTGTGTCTTGGAACAACTGTACTTAAAGTACGGCCCTGCTGACTTCACTTTCCTTCACAAGAGCTCCCTATTGCTTTCAGAAGTCAATCAAGTTCTTCTACCAAGCACTGCAGGTTCTGATACCAATATTCCTTTCCAAACTTCACCCACCACACTGTCCAAATGCAAGACTCAATGGCCTCCACTCAAGCGCCACAGTGTCTCGTGCCTTTGGCCGTTCTGTCCCTGTCTAGAATTCCTGTCCTGCATTCCACACCCCTCCTGCTACACCCTACCTGCTGCGCACACCCTGTATCAACAGGACCTCCTCCGTGGACCTGTGATCTTCCCATCTGGAAGGAATATGTCCCACCTCTGGCTTCTCATGCTGTGTCCACAACTTCTGTGCTTCTTTCATAATATGCGTTACATGCCCAAAACGTCTTTTCTTACCTCCTAAACTACAATCTCCTTAATAACTATATCTATAAATTATTCAACTTATACCTTAAAGCATCTAGCATGTTTTGCATTTAGAGAGTCAAAAAAATACATCATGAATGAACAAATGAATGAATCTTACATAGAGAAAAATCCCCACTTCTGATAAGATCCTCCAGAAATGAAGGTCCTAAGAAATTCTAATACATGAGGGGCTTCAGGACTGCCCTGGGTTCCCTGGTGGACTGAAAAATGCCAAAGCTCACCCATCGCCTTCCCCCCTCATCCCCCCCACCGAGGGAGCGTTCTATCCCTGAAGCTCTAATTCCCCAGGCTGGAATATGTATTTCCTGAACCAAAGGTTTCATAGTCAGATGAGGGCAGATCGATCCTCCCTAAAGGACCTAGAACTACAGAAAGGAGAGCCTGTAATTCAGATTCCTTAGATGGCAGTAGGACCTACCAGGAAAAGGACTTCACGTGCTCCTGAATCATGATCCAGGTCTGGCCAAAATCATCGGACTTCCATAGCTGTGAAAACCAAAGCAAAATATGAGAGATGCCCTCTCTTTTTTTTTTTTTTTCAACCCAAAGCAGCATGAAGGGGTCATGAAGTCAGAGGACACACAGCCTGAATGGCCTCACCACCAAACGCTCATGGATCCCCCACCTTAGGTAGCTGCTGTCTGTGAGGGCAGACACCAAGATGGCCAGGGCCAGCCCGGCCACCCCAAATGCACACCCGGGAGGAAGGGCCGACTGACACCTCGGTTCTTCTACACAGACACTAAGGTCCCCACAGCAACCGGATGGAAAATGATCGTGATGTGTCTTCCATTTATGGATTACCAGAAAGTATACTTTACTCAAGACTAGCCCTCAGCTGATGGTAAAAACAGAAGGATTATATTCAGTATTTCTTGCCTGGGAAATAGGTGTCCTTAAAATCCCAAAATGGGCCACGCTGAATAAAAATAAATAGAGAGGACACTGGCTAAGTATACAGAGTCACAACACAAAGGGACCTGCTGAATACATGGGGAATGGCAGTGAGCAACTGACTTTGCCCAAACTCCTCAATTTCCAAAGACATGATCCAAGTCTGGCCCTGGTGACCATGTGTTATGAACCAGGAGACCAAAAATAACAACAATCCACCTACACCAGTAAACGAACCCAGCCCATACTCAGGTCACTACCTAAGGCAAGTGAAGGTAAACAGATCATGTTGTGGGTAAACAATCTGCAATGAAAAAAGAAATGTTCTAAGGCTCCTCTGAGCAAAGCCACTCAAAACTCATCATAAATCCACTCCTGCAGGACAGGGTTTCACACAGGTTTCAGAGGATTTTACCAGACCAATCTCTTGACTTGGCAGGTTTCAAGCTTGATATATAAACCCAGTCAGGCTCCCTCCCCATCTCTCACCCGTCTCCACATCTGGATTCAAGGAGGAAAATGCACACACCATGGGGTATGCACATGCACACCAAGGAGAAGTATGAACGTTCATGGTGAGGTCATATAAATGGTAGGCAAAGGCTGTATGTTTGAGGTGGAGGGTGGGAAAGGTAGAACAGGAATCTGAAAAGAGGTCTCAGCAGAGCTCAGACTGCAGACCTCTCCCTGGCTCTCCCCAATTAGATTCCAGGGCCTCGATTTACCCCCAGGACTAACAAAGGTGCATAGAGCCTAGAAGGCATGTTGGCTAATGAACCAGGGCCAGCCGGGGGCTCAGCGTCTCTCCCTGGCTGTGAGACAGGCTGAGGGTGCCAGGGGATATGTTTCGCCTTAGCCACGGGAAATGAAATAGTAGCTATGAAGGTGAAGCCTGAGAGAGGAGGAGGGAGGGGCCGGGGGAGGTCACCCAAAGGACACGCAATCCACACGGGCGGGACAGAAAACCCAAGGAGCCCCACCTGACTGGGCTCCGGAAGCTCTTACCTGCTTGTTGGGGTGAGACCTGTCAAAGCCCAGGAGAAGGTTGGAGGCCTTGCTATGCAGAAGGAGATCGGCTGCCCGGAATGGGATGGAAAAGCCCTGGATAGTGTTGCAGAAGTCGAACGTGATCCAGAGGTACTGGGCATAAGCATCTGCAAAGATGTACTGTAAGAGACAAGACGAGTTAGAGCAGGCCCTGGCCAGAGCCACGTACACGCTCCAACAGCGTCTGAGGGCACGCACACAGCGGGGCAGAGCCGGGCCCGGGGGGCTTCCATGAGGCTCTCACCACCTCCTGGCAATCAAGGGACATGGTGCACCCCAAATAAGGCTCAGTGGCAAGTGGGGTGAGACCGGAGGGTGCTGTCCTTCAGCCAGTCCAGGACACCAGCCAAGCCTTTCTATTTCTTCTCTCAACTGACCTGCCTATTCTCACACCCTGGCGAGTCACTCGATCAGTCGGAGGGTGGCTACTGGGAGCTGCGACAGAGAAGTCCCACTCTTCAGATGGGCCTGCTGACTATCTCTGCATCCTCTGAGCAGCTATGGTTCATGCCTTTCCAGGAAAATCCCTAAAATCACACCCATCTGGAAGATTAGCTGCTTCTTGCCCCTAGACCAGGTGACAGGGCGGCTGAGTCCCAAGCAGCCACTGCAGCCGGCAGACTCACTCTGGGACACAGCAGGAAGTAGCCCTGGTGAGCAGGGCCTCACCTTATTTTGCTTCCGCACGGGTGAGTAACTTTGAACAAGGCTGGCTGGAGAGTGGCCACCAGCCTGAAGAGCTCTCAAGGGGAAAGGGACAAGGCAATTCAACTGAACAAACGCGCACCGGAAACCCTCTGTGGACCAGAGGATGGGGGCGCCGCAGGGAAAACACGGGGCCCTTCCTCCTAAGTAGCTTGCAGCCCAAAGTTTGCGGCTAACTACAGTTCCAGGCAGAAGTGAGAAGCCAGGGACAGAGTCCTGTGAGGGCAGGCGGATCAGTGCTAATTTGGGCAACAAGAAATGACTTCATGGGAGGTCCAGGCCTTGGAGGGCACATGAGGCTCCCCTAGGGACAGAACGTCCCAAGTCCAGGGCACTTGGAGCTTAGGAACAAAGGAGGGGGCAAAACATCCAGCATGGGTTTGCTGGCAGTCTTGAGGACCTGAGGGAAATGAGGAGAAATAGAGCTGGGCAGTGCAGACCGGGGCAGGCCCTGAGCGCCCAGGGGAGGTGGGGAGGAGAACGCCTGCTCCCAGAGAGCGAGGGGGCACTGCTCTGCCGGGGCGCCCCGCCCCACCGACACCCCAACCCAGAGGAACCCAGTCCAGGACTTACCCTAACTGATTCCACCTGACCAGCTGATCGGTCTTAGCCCTGAATCTTTCTGCACTAATGGCTTCAGGCGTGCACTAATATTTTGCACTTTTTTGCACATCGCTTTCTTATGTTCTGGCTCCTTTTCCTTGGCCCTCTCTCTCCCCAAATCTAGACCGCAAACTTCCCAGGGACATGTTTGATGTGTTCTTTCTCTCATGCTTCCTCCACAGCCTCTAAGGCAAAAACTCTAGCAGAAGCCTAGTTAAATCTGATTTTAAAGGGTAGTAAGTGTTTCGGAAGCAAAAACGACCATAAGCAAAAGCAATGTTATAAAAACAATCACGATGCAAAGCACACCGCGATGATTTTTGGCACAAGAAGTGTTCCCTAGTAGTAACTTAGAGATCTTCCTGTTCCAAAAACCATCTTGGCTGCTGGGGAAAGGAGAGCTCTCAGTTTGGAAAGATCTCTCCAGAAATCTATTCCATGGCTTCCAGCAGTTTCACAATGGAGAATCTAAAAATCATGTACCCAGCCACAGAACTTACTTTTCATGATAACAGCCAACATTTGTCAAGAGGACGGTGCGTGTACCAGGCACTGAGCTGAAGTTTCACATGCCTTATCTCAGTTTGTCCTTGCAGAGCCCACTCACTCAGTGCTTTAGATAATATTGTTATCTTCTCTTTGACTAATGAAGACACTGAAACTTGGGGAGGTTAACCACCCAACGTGACCCAGGAGTGGGCAGCATTTGTATCAATGTCTTGGCTGGTTCAGAACCCATCTCCTTACAGTCACCATCAACCCTCACCTCTCCTCGGCCAACAGAAAGGCAGTGTTTCCTGAATTTAGGTAGTAGGCCTTACACTGCACCACTGGGCTCAGTTACGTGTCTCTTCTCTTACTCCACTCCACCAGCTTTCACTGGGAGCTCCCACCCCGCCCGGGCAGCCCTGTTTCATCGCAGATCTCTGTGCCCCAGCCTGATCGGCTGTCCTCAACTCTCTGACCGGCTCCCTACCCTCAAAACCACATAACCACAGTTAGGTAGCCTCCTAACTCTCCCCTTGGCTGCTAACCTGGTTCACCCTTCCATGCATCTTCACCCACTGACACCAACAGCAAGCATTCCGTGACTCCAAATCTCCGGGCTAACCGCGACCTTGCACCGAGAGCCTGGTTCCACTAACCCTTCACCTTCTCAGCATCTCCACACTGACGTGCCAGCGCATCTCACTGGGTCCGAACCGAATTCATTGGTACCTTCCACCAAAACCCAATTCTGCCTCCCCACATCCCAGGCTCTGTCCATGCTACACCTTGTCCCAGCCCCACCATTCACATGGGAGGCGGGCGTTCACTCCACTGCCTTTGCTTGGCCCACAGTTTCAATCAGCTTCCTACCCTGTTCTGTCTCATTTTAAAGTATTTTTCGCAGTCTGTGCCTCCTTTTTATTTCCAGGGCCACTAGTGTGGCCTGAGCCCCTACTGGAGACTATCTGCAAATCTGGGTGAAGCCCCGGGGTGTATTCACCCTCATGTCTTCTGGGACCTAGCAGGCTGTGAAATACTCAGAGGTGGGACGGGGTTTGGCTGAGCGCCTGCTGACATGATGGGTCCCTTCCAGACCCTCCTCTCAACTTCCCCTTCCACCCACCCAGCGTATTGCCAGGAGACACACTTCCCCAAAAGACCTTATACCCAGTAACTCCCCTACTCAAAGATCCTTCCGTGGCTTCCTCCCATACTCAAGGCAAAGAGCAAACTTCTTCTCCAGACATGGGCTTAACTGATACTGCAAAGCACCTCAGTGCAGACCCCCCACCCCTGGGAAGCGAGCCCCTCACTGCCTGCACAGAAACCACATATCATACCTTGAAGTCTTGGCCTATGCCTTTCTCCTCCTCCAGGACTCACACCAACTCTGCTCTACCTAGTAAAATTGTGCCCGTCCCTAAAGCTCCACTCTAACCCTGAGCCCCTCGTGAAGCCTTACCTCTCTGATGCAACCTCATCTGGTCCCCTGGCTCCGAACACCTGTAGTTCATCACACAGGCATGTGTTGCTTCATGCTGTTAAGTAACCGTGCCACACAGGCACATATTAGGAAGCACAGAACATCCTACTCTGTTTTTAAGTCCCTAGACTCCCTGGCTGTCGAGTCTTCTTGAGGCCAACCCCACAGATCTGCCAGCAAAGCTGCCCTACCAGTGCTTCCTAAACTGCGACTTCTGGAGTGTCCTCACCTACCCCCACCCTCCACCTGTTTCCCATCACTTAATATTCCAGAGGGGCTTCACCTTTTGGCTGAAAGCTAACATACAAATCCCTCTGGAAAGAGAACCAAATTAGCTACAGAATTCCTCTCCACGTTAGCATTAAGTGACTCTCTCCTCTTTGGAGTGGGAGACCTAGAGTACAGTGAGAGGGCAGAGGAAGCAAAGAAGGAACACACCTCTAGGGGCTGGGGCCGAAGACAGAGCTGGGCTATGATTTCATGGAGGACCTACCGTGCCTGGAAAAAGGCAGGACCAGCTCTCACTTCCGTGGAGGTCGTGAAGCCTTGCTGTACCTTCAGGGGCCTTTAAGGAGCCCCAGGCATCCTTAGTGCCTGACTGATCTGGGGCTCGCTGCAAAGCTAGTGAGAAGGCCAGGTGGCTAGACCTGGGCACTGGTTCAGGAACAGCACCTGGGATGAGGAGGAGGAGGTGGGGCTGTGGCCAATGCGAAAATAGATGCAAGCGTTCACCTGAGCCCAGGACGGCTCCATCTCCATCACAAGGCAGCCGCCAGACCAGAGCTGGTGCCTAACTAGCACCTCCCTCTCCCTGCCGCAGGCACACATACCCTCAGATTTCCTTGTGGCCCTTTTAACCTTGCAGAGCAGCTGCCTAAGGTCATGGCAACCACTTCAAACTGTGCTCCTTGACAGCCCACCTAACATGGGTACAAGGGGATGTGCCTGGGCACAGCACCTTGGCACTGACAGCAGGACACCCAGCCTTGTGTGACTTTTCTCAGGAAGTAGAAGGCCTGGTGAGGCAATGTGCCTCCCAAGGGACAAAGGCAAGACTAACAAAAGTAAACGGCACAGTGAAAGGCATCATTTCCTTCCTGAGAAGTCTGGGGAGGGGTAACGGCCTTCTCTGGGGACTTAGAAACTCAAGAGAGAATGCCACGTCCCTAACCTCACCCAGCCTGCTCCAGGCCCAAGGTCCAACTGTCAGTACGTTCCCCAAGAAGAGAACCTCCCTCCTCCTCCCCCAGCCAACCCAAAGCAAATCGAACTCTCCCTAAGAAAGCCAAGGTGTGCATTCTTCCAGATAGACAGCACAAAGGCCCACAGCACCTGTGACTCCTTTACTGCAACCCCCCCACCCCCACCCCCACCCCCGTTTCTCACTGCTTCTTGCCCCAACTCACTCCTGCCTTACTCCGGCTCCAGACCAAATACTCGGAAAACCCCTTATCCTCCCCCTGCATTATCTTTCCCGTCTTCCTACTCCTCAGACACGCGGGCTTAGCAGCTGATCACCACAACCCATGACAAGCAGGCAGGAAGTGGAACCTGCTCACAGACACCTGTGCCTTGTGGTTGGCGGTGAGGAGGGAGGAGACAGAGCTGAAAAGGGAGACTCGAGACATAACAGTGCAGTTTTGAGGGCACAGCTTCAGCTAGTGTTAGTTCTGGGACAATGTGTAAAACTAACGCTAATAACAGATGGATGCGACCTGACAAAGTGAGGAATCCCAGGGTTATTTGACGGTTGAGAGGCAGGAAGCGTCCAGGTCTACCCATGGGAGACACAGCACAGCCAGCAGGCCACCCAGCTCTGGGAGCCCCCAGGACCAGGCCTGCCAGGCCACAGCGCAGGGAGCAGAGCCGAGGGCCGGCACTCTTGGCGAGAGCCGATTCCTTCCAGCACCTTCTCCTTGCTGTTTATCGCAGGGGGAAAAGCCACAATTATGCTGTCACCCTGGAACCGAGTAGGAAGGGAGTCTGTTCCTAAGTGCTGCTCTATTGTGAGGCCAGTAGGCAGGGCTGATGTTATATTAACCAGAACGCTTCTGGGTCAGTTAGTAAATAACTGCTTCCCTGAGACCCCGGAGTGGCTCCTCCTAAAGACCCCCATTGGCCCAGCCCCTTCCCCAGGAACTCCCCACAATCCAGAAACTAACAAGTTAATGCCAGGCCCAGCAGAGTGGCCCTCAGGACCCAGCACCCTCCACACAGGTCTGTTCTGATTGGTCAGGGCCATTCCTGCAGTCAAATATTTTGAATACAGCCCCTGCTGATAGACCACAGGCAACCTGAGAAGCCAGCGCTGGGGGTGGGGGCACCTGGCCAAAGTTGAGGACTCCGGAGACCTACCTCCCAGTCTTGTTCCTTTCTACAGAGCTAAGAGCAGCAGCTACCCTTACCTCAGAAAGCTTTTGCCAAGTTGTAGTTTCTCAGCATCCTTAGACGCAGCCATCCGCCCCTGGAGAGGAGCTAGCCACCACAGGAGTGAGGAAAAAAACAGCCTAACCCAACTCCGCGCGCTCAGGCTACCTAACCTCCCTCCCCGGCAGGAAAGCCTTAGGCTGCCTGATTCCGGCCCTGCCCCCTCCCCTGCCTTGGGGCCCAGGACAATCTCAGATCAATGCTTCCTCCAAATCAAACGGCCTGGGTTCCACTGCAGAAACAAAGCCCCAGGCCAGGCAGCTGGGAAAACAATTTAGGAGGCACAGCAGTTATCTGTTCACAGAGGGACTGGTTGGAGGTGGGGGTGCACATGCACACACATGCACACACACACGCACATGCACACACACTACTGATGCCAATGAAAGCAACAGCTGAGCAGCCTCTGGGAGACCTGGATTAGACTGCAGTCCCAATGGGTCTGGGTAACATCTTTGCCCCTATGAGTCAGGCTATTTATTAGCTGGCAGATTTGCTGTGCTTTTAGCTGACACTGTTTGTCTAGAAATCCTGCCTAGCCAGTACCTGGCCTGCTGGATTATGCACGGTTCCACCCTGAGAAATGTATCCTGTTCTGTCACAAACTCCCTGGTTACCAGGCATGCTGCAGAGATGACAATGCATCGCCCAGACCCCCTTTTTGTGTAGCAATCACCCCAAAATACAGCCTCATAAAGCCCCAACAGGTAAACAGCTTCCTTACGCGTTTGTTATCGGCAGGGCTGTGGTAGAACTGGGCGATCACAGCCTCACTGCTGTTTCCCACGCCAAAGTTGAATTTCTCCGAAATTCTCTGGAATGACTTTCCATAGTCGTAAGACACGTACACCTGGAATATGGAGGAAAGAGCAAAGAGGTGTTGAGAAATGTGGCAGGAAGCTCTCTCTCCCTGCCTCCACTTTTGAGTGCCGCACCCTGGATCCTGCACGAGGGTCCCAACAGATCCCTGATATCATGAAATTACAGATGAGAGAAGATAAAAGCAGGGCACCTCTGTGTCTGTCCCCAAGCACGTGGAGGCAAGAAGCATGGGACACAGCCACCACTGCCTCCATGGAACACACAGGCCTCTTTTCTGAGGCCAAGGCAAGTCCCCGGAGGGCAGACAAACGGATGCAAACAGTGATAACCTCCTTACCATGGCTGGGTTAAGTGTTTAACAAATCATATGCAGAGGCAGAGAGAATGTGGTTGTCCCAGGGGAAGGGATTGGGAATTTGTTTTGCCATCTGTTGAAATGTCCCCAAAATGTAATCTAATTCTTCATCCTTCTGCTGGGAAGTTCTGTTCCAACAGCATTCCAGAAGATAGACAAAGAGCCCAAGAGATGAAAAAGAGAGAGTGCCAAGTGATTAACGAATCGCAGAGGTTAAATATCTGGGCACCAGAGCCCCCTAGCCAGGACTCGTGTTTTCTGATTCCACGGTAGGCAGAGTCTTAGGATGTGAGAACGACGGCCAGATCCACTGTATTTATTATTGGCTCCCCAGGAGGCGCAGGAATAAATGTAAGAACAACTCTCATTCCCTGAGTGTTTGCTTGCTGCCAGATATTATACACCACCCTCTTCACATGAATGAGCTCAGAGAGCTCTCACCACCACCCTGCATGGGAAATGCAGTTATTAAAATCACTTTATATAAAGATACCGTAGCAGGGGCTCACCGGACAAGGTACCTACCAAAATACCAGAGAAAGGAAGGTGCAGCATGAGGCTCCCACCCAGGCGGCCTGTCTTCAAAGCCTGAAATCTCAAAGCCGTTGCTGAAGGTAACGGCTGGTGGAACGGATGTTGTCAGAGAATTTGTACCTAGACTTTACTACCCATGCAACAGGGAATTCACATAGTCAGTGGATTAAAATTTAATATAATCAGTGGGTTATTCAGGGATAGGTGAATATTGATTGACTGTACTTAGTTTTAGGTATTGGGGTAAACATGACAGAAAATAATGACAGGTGAATTCCAAGCCTGGGATCACGGACTAATCCCAGAAAGTGTATTGCCTCCATTGTGCACTGACTGAACAGCAAATGTTTGAAGGGTTTTACGAGAGCCCCTGGGGGCTGTGCTAAGCATGCCACATAAAAGACATGGCCTTTAGACACAACGCAAACATATAAATGTTTGTAAACAATGCAGCCTGTAAACAATGAAGGACACAGGGTATGTCAAAGGGAACCAAGAGCGCACCTGGGTCATTAATATTTATTAGATGTCAAGGAGAGGAGAGCACAACAGGGCCTCTGCCTCTATGTGGGTCACAGTGAAAGAAACCCTATTACGAATGCCGCTCTGACACAGTGTGTATCCCCGACTACCAAACACCTGTAAGAAGCTGCCACGAAAGCAGCCTCCGAAATACCGCAGGCTGAGAGTTTACAGAGCATGTGAGTGGGTAACAAGGCAAAGGGGCACTTTCCTGCTTCCATTCTCCAAGCCGAGAATAGGCACTGAGGGGTCCATTAGGATCATAAGTCACATGCAGCAAACTAAAGGCTTCCCAAAGAGGGAACTCGAGCCCCTTCCAGCTCCAGCGTCACCTCCTCACAGGCACAAAGGTGATCAGCAGTTCACCTGAGGGTAGCATTTGCCAGCATACAATTCCTTTTTGTATACATTCTCCCTTTTCATCTTTAAAAACTGTGAGTGGGTCTCACCTCTGCCTCCCTCACTGTGCCTGAAACATAGCAGGTGCTCAGTAAAGATTTCTGGAATGAATAAATACCACTATAAATTACAGAGTGAATGAAAGTGCTCCTCAAATGATTAAGAGAGAGTGAAATGAAAGAATCAGGAAGTGGCTGAGTAAGGATTTCCATTTAAGAGATAAAAAAAAAAAAATACTAAGACTCAGAGAAGCAAATGAACAGCCCAAGGCCAAACCATCGCAGGTTCCTCCAAGCCCAGCTGCCTTCCATTCTGGCAGCTTAACCTTCTAGGAGAATGTTCTCTTCCGCGACGTAGGTTCTCTGTTCAAGAGGAAGATCTCATGCCGAACCCAGAGGCCAGGCAGTGGGAGACGTGCCGGACAGGAGGGGAAACCCTGACCTTAACAAAACACAGAGCCTTCCAAGGCTCTCAGCCACATCGCCGTCACTTCTCACTCAGCGGCACCACCTCACTGCCAAACAGCTCTTTCCAGAATTCTTACCTGTAAACAGAACCCATCTCTCTGGGTCTTGGACTTAATAGAAGTTAAGAGTAAGTCTGCCAGGGCCCATCCCATGCCCGAAGGCTCTTGTAATTCCTCACCATCCTCCCTTCTCGTCTCCGGGTTGAACAATTCCAACATGGTATTTTTATCCCATTCTCATAATTCTTCCTTTCATTTGATTAACCTTGACCCCAAGCTCCAGAGGACAAAGACCAAGCTCAAGACTGCACAGCTATCCACTTTCCTCCACAACGAAGAGCCCAGAAAAGAGATCCAAAGGCCTCTACCAGCATGCAGACACCGCCCAGACCGCCAGCGTCGCGGCCTCTGCACTGCCCCCCACTGGTACTCCGGTTCGGGCTGTCTTCGCCTCACCGAGGCGCTGGGTCACGGCCCCTCTGCCCGCGATGACCGCCAGGTGAGTTTGGGCAGGCATCCCGTGCATGCTCGTCTCATACTCCTGCAGTTTGTTTTCTACCCAGACACAAGTTTCTGCACTAATTCATCCTCTAACCTTTTGATGACACCACCCACTAAAGATCAAATGGAAGGAGTTACTAAACCGCCACAAGTTGCTGATTAGATTGCTGTCTTACCTATAAAAGATGGTGCTTCCAAGTGAATGGTCTTAACTTCTTTCTCTTATACTTCAAAGCCATACATTAGCAGTGAGGAGGAGGAAGATGGGGAGAAGGGGGAGAGGAGAAGGGAAAGGGACAGGGGCGGGAGGGAGGAGGGCAAGAAAGGATAAGTGTGCAGAACACATCTCCGTATCTGGTGCTGTTCTAAGTACTTCACCCCAGCGCCTCTCAAACTGTGATACGCCTACAAATCACCCTGTAGGACGCAGGTCAACATGCAGACTCTAATTCAGGATGTCTTGAGTGGGACCCAATATTCTGCATTTCTAACAGTTCCCAGAAAATACCCCTGGCTGCTGATCCCCAGACCACGCTTCAGGGAGCCAGGTTTTACAAGTACTACTCCACTGACAGATGAGAAGACTGGAGAAGGTGAAATGACCTTGCTCAAGGTCAGGCAGCTAACGAATGACAGAGCCAGGATTCAAACCCAGGCATTCTGGTTTCAGAGCCAGGGCTCAGCCAGACACCAGCTCCCTCGGGCTACCAAGCTCTACACAGTTGGCAAGTACGGACCCTGCCACCAGGTCAGTCCCGAGGGGCACTGATCATACTATCACACCACTCTCGGTACCGGGGCAGCGAGTCCTACTAGTCCAGACACCTTCCCTGGCTGATTTTAACCTTCTGGTGGGTGATATCTGGACAACTCTTCAGCCACTTACGTTGTACCTGAATACATCATAAAATATGTCAGGAGAGGACAGAAACAAAGAGGTGGGAGGGGTCCTGATAAACACCACCTATCATTTCCTCACATCTACCAGCCAGCCTTATCCCAGAAAAACACGGGTCCTACAGGAGCCGTTCTTCATGGAGTCAGACTTGCCTCAAGTTCATCAGGGACATTCTTCATTTTTCCTGTTCAAGAGCAAACCTTCTGGGATTCCAGCTTCCAGACCCATCCCTTTTTTACATACTGAATATGTATGACCTGGCTACTGTCCACTCTCACACAGTTCCTTATTTGTCCAGGTTCTCCCCCTCCTGGACTGCTGATGGGGCCCTATGAACCATGCTTCCAGCCTTCTTTAAAGAACATTCGGATTGTTACTATTCCCAAGCCACCAGCTCCTGCCTCCGAGTACTAATTTATTTTTGCATTAACTTTTCACATCAGAACATCTCAATTTCATCTGCCAACTCTTTAATGGAGCTTGTATACAGATGGGGGAAGTTCTGCCATCCCTATTTATCTCTGACCATTAAGTTTCCTTTTCCATTTAATCGTATCATATATTTCATTCCAGAAGAGTTTATCACGTCAAATGTTCAACGGGTTCTGAGTAAGATACACTTAAATATTTAGACAGAGCGAGAACTGGGTTTGGGTGGACTGGCAATACGGAGTTTTTCTGGTTTGCCCAGGACTGTGGAAGGTCCCAGGATTGGGACTTTCAGTGCTAAAGCCCAGGTGACTGGTCGCCCTAGCAATGCTACATCCTTACACCCAGTAAGTGACTGGGTCTTAATTCTCACTAGCCCCTCCTCCCACAGATATGCTGCGTGACCTCAGGTAAGTCACTTAATGTCCCTAGGCTCCTGTTTGTCCAGTAAATCATAAAATAATGGTTAAGGTCTTTTACCTACCTTGCAAAAAATACTATCTGGACAAAGGCTTTTTTAATGCATGAACATTCTAAGGAGGAGTTCTCAACAGTCAGGCTAGACCTGTCTCCTGTGCTACAAGGGACACATAGGGGCAGGGACTGCGCTGAATATGTACTCAGGTGCCCAAGGCATACATAAGCTGCCCTGCATGCTTGCAAAACCTGATGGCATTTATAAATGGGCCAAAGTCACTGCATCAAACCAGTCTCGCCCTGCTCCAGAGCACTGCACCCAGAGTGGCTGCCAGGTGCCACCCCCCACGGCCCAGCAAAGCCTCTCCCATGCCCTCCCATTCGATGCTGGGCCTCCCTCCGGTAACCGACCTCAGAGCACACCCAACCCAGAGAGTGCCTACACAGGGTAGGACCTCACGGAGACCAACTTGACACTCCAGAATTACAAGTGTGTTCTTAAGGCTGATGTGACAGTGCCAGCAAAGAGTGATCAAAACTCCACATGTGTTTTTCTGTCCACATCAGACCTTTGTCACCACATCAGACCCTGACTCAAGGCAGGGCTGTTTCTCTTCCCCAGAAGGCAGAATCTGGAGCTGGGACCCTAGACTTGGGACCCAAGGGCCAGCTCTGGCCCTCATATATATCTTACCTGATGTTTGCACAACTATACATTAGCTACCAACATGTAAGACTCAGCAGTTTTCACATAAAAATCCAGACCTCTGAGCTTCTCTCGAAAATCTGATCTGGTAACACAGCCCCTGCATGGCAACCAGAGCTGAGAGCCGGTAACAAGAGTCCCTCAGAGGCACTTCCTCTCTGGTTCGCCACCGTCTCTTCCTGGGCTCTCTGGGATGCCAACCTGAGTAACAGCCACCACATTCACATTAAGATGCAGGTGAATGCTTCTTGAAACTGTGCCTCTATCAAAAGTGGGAAAATGACATACTGTCCCACAGGCCACACACTCCCAGAAATATGAGGGCACCCATTCTTCCCTGTGGAGGTATAAAGAGTGTTGTAAATGTGGGGGCAGCTTCCCCCACCCATCACCCACCGGCCTTTTCTAGGCCTTTGAGTCTGTAGCCCTTGATCTCATGTTTTCAAAGCACCTAACCTATTTAACATTGTGAAAGTCAACTGGGGAAAGCAGGAATAAGAGCGAATCAGATTCAACAACTCGCCTGACTGGAACGGATTACAGGAAAGAACAGTTAAGATCACACCAGGCTCTGCAGTGGACAGGTGGCTCTGCCCGAGAATGCCCTCCTGGCACTGTGTTGATCAGATACAATGATCCAGATCGCACACACCCTATCATTTCACTAAAGTCATCACGCACCGCATGGCTCTCTGCAATGTAAACCACCACTTGGCATTCGGCAAATAAGGCATATATGTTATTTTCCAGATTCTCCTCCCCGTTCTGTAATTCATCCCATCCATTCTCCAATTACCTTCTTTCCCCCCTGACTTGATGACCCCAGTAGATCCCAAAAGGCCATGCTGGTGGCACAGACGCATGCTCAGCACCACATTAATACTTACATCACTGCTCCTGGGCCTCGCCAGCGCCAGGCTGTCTCGGGCTAAGGCCACGATAACATTGCTTTTCTCTCCGGCCCAGTGTACCACCATTTGATTGTGGGAATCATTCAAACTGACCTGAAAGAGATCAAACCAATGCAGAATTAGTACCCATGGTGAGTGACAGCCACACATCCAAAAGCAAGACCCTCCTCCTTTGTCACTTGGAAATAACTAAGATTCTTAGATCTGGAGCACTGAGTGAGGTGACCTATTTTTCCTCCTATGCAGACTTCACCAGACACAATTTTCTGCAAAATAAACACTAATTTCCTGCTATTTTGGATATAACTGGATGGCAAAAAAATCTTCCCAGGTTCTCAATGGCATAGCCCATTCCTCTGCTGGTCTCTGTCCTTGGTGAAATCGTTCTCTGGTGACTCCCATCCTTCCTCCATGCGTGGGACCTGCACTCCTAAGGTTTGCAACCAGAGTACTGGAGCATCTTACTCGGTCCCAGAAAGCGCACAGGCCAGACACACGCTTTCAAATTCTGTTCAACCAGAACTCTCTGGCTGACAGGTGACATTCTTCGTCCTTAGCTTTGGTAAACAAGGAGGAACAAGAGAAAAACATCCCAGGGCACTTTTATCTAGTTAGATGTCAAGTATCCCAAGTAAGAAAATAGTTTCCAGGACTCCACAGAAACAACCTTTGGATCAATGCTATTAGTAGTTCCCAGACTTCTGGATTTTGTAAACGGGTAAAGTGAAAATAAATTAGGATTGGTTGGCTCCTTCCTTACCTAGGTTGGGTAAGGACATTAACAAAAACAGCCTGTGTGTCAGACCTTGACTCCTTCCTCATCTTCTTGCCCAGACTGCCCACACTGGGGTGTGGCCCCACGACTGAGTCCCAGCCTGTGGGACCCACGAGGTGGTCCGTGCGGCCAGCCCCAGTCCCCCACAGCCTGTTTTCTTTCCGACCTGCAGGCTGCATTCAGGCAGGACTCCAGGGTCTCAGAGGACAGCAGAACCGGAGACAGAAGGAGCCCACATCCCCGAGGAACCAGCCCTCAGCTAATCAGGGACACTCATCCTGAACTCCTCATAATTGGGAGTTATATTTACACCACTGAGCTTCTGAGGTTCATCTGTTATGTAGCAGCCCTCCCAAGCAATACAGCCACCAAGCTATCATCAAGGTCACTTTGAAAACAAAGGATATTTTAGCACCACAAACCAAGGAAGGATATAATCTCGGAATAAAGAACAGTTATTTTAGAACTAACCCCATTATTGTTATTTTTCCTATTTCACCAGTCACTGATGGGCAGTTCAAGGGCTGGCTTCTCAGAACACCTGAGCTAACATTTCACCCGCTCTTTGTGAAGAGAAACCAATGGCCATACTAACAAAATCTCTGAGAACCGGTGTTCACATTTGGGGTCAGGACAAAGGCCCGCAAGACTAGGAGCATGAGCTCTCTCTCTCTCTCTTGCTGAGCAATGCCTGGGAGAAGCCTATTCCACAGGCCTCTCCAACCTCAGCCGTCTCATGCCCGTGAAGAAGGAAACAAAGCTTCTGGGCTCTGAGCAGCCTCTGCACAGACCAGCCTGCACACCTCACCAGTCCCCACCCTCACCTCCTGCACGGATGCGAGTACAAGCCTGAGCTGCCCTGCCCTCTGAGCGGTCTCCCTACTAAGGCCCTACAGCAGAAACCCCCCCTCCCTACAGCTCCTGTCTCCCCTTCAGGCCACCCCTACCCACTAGCTTTCCCCACCCACCCCTTGAGACGCTCTCAGATGTCATTAGAGAGAAAGGGAAACAAACTTGGCACAGAATGACAAAGGAGCTAACTCCTAACTACTCGGATTCAGGTCTTAAGCACCTGTGTCTAATTTGATCCAGGATCCAACCTCTTTTGGAAAACATTTGAAATGAGACCTCTTTATGAAGAAAAAGACTCTTGACATTTTTCAGGAAAATAACTTTCCAGAATGTTCCTTCTCATTCCCAGAGAGATAAGTCCAGGCAAGCATCAACAGAGAGGTGTAAATAAAATAAAATAAAATAATAAAATAAAACAAAATAAATAAATAATAATAATTTAACCCGAATGCTACAAAGAGAAAGCAGCTAAGGAAATGCCACAAGCCAGGATGCCTTTCTCGCCCTTTCCCTTCCAGCTCCCGCCTCCGGGAAGAATCTGGAAGCATCTGTGGAGCAGAAGCCCACCAGCACAAGTGCCCTGGGAATTCAGGCTAAAGGTCTTCTCCCCTCCAAACATATCAGTACCCTCAGAACCAGAAGGGAATAAGCAGAGAAGTTATCCAAACATCAGTAAAGGATTCAGAACCTAGGAGAATCACTCAAGTTCGTCGGGGATCTGGGATGAAAGAGCCCACCTGGGCAACCTCAAACAGAGACACCGCTCTTACGAGGTTGCAAAGCCTTCAGAGATCGGACTGGGAACAAGGTCTGAACACAACTTGCAGAAGTCTTTCTAGCCTAAGGACGCGAGATTTATGAGGCCCCAGCCGGTCCTCAGAGGGGTGAAGGGTGAAAGCAGCCCAAAGGAGGAGCACGGGAGCACTCAAGGGCTTTTTCACAAAGGAAGCCTAAGGCATGGCGGTGAAACACCTTAAAAAAAAAAAAAAGACTTGATAAATGAGACAATTAATTGGAGCTGTAAAAGCAGCAGGGAGGGAGGCCCAAAGCCTCGTCTCAGAAAGCAGAGAAAAACTGCAAGCCCCAGAAATCTTTACACACAGAAACTGCATCACAAACATCTAACAGCCTCTGGGAGGTGCTTCAGGCCTCCGTTAGGCTCACAGCACGATGTTCAGGGTCAAGGTGATGCCCCCAGGGGGCACCTGGTCCGGGGTCCCAAACCTGGCTGACAGAATCACCAAAGACCTACCAATTCAGATGGCTGATGGGAGTCCAGGGATCAGGATTTTGCAAAGACCCACCCAGGTGTCTGTAATGCAGCTTATAAGGGGAGTGATGAATCTAGTCCGCTCCCCTTCCCAGCAGGACTCGCAACTTAAATGATAGTGGCTAGAAGATTCGCTCTTCTGGGGGGTTGTCTTTGGGTATTTTGGGGTAGTTGTTAACATTCCACGGTCTACTGATAAATGCTACAATGTGGACAAACCTCAAAAACACTATGTTATTGGAAGAAGCCAGACCAAAAAGTCACATATTGTGTGAAATATCCAGAATAAGTAAATCCATAAATAGAGAGGACACTGGTGCTTGCCAGGGGCTGGGAGGGTGGAGAAGGTGACAGGCGGTAACTATTTAAGGGGCAGGGGGTTTTATTTTGGAGTGATGAAAGCAGTGGAACTAGACAGGGGGGCAGGTTGCACAACATTGTGAATGTACTAAATGCCACTGAATTGTTCACCTTAAAATGGTTAATTTCATGTTACGTGAATTTCCTCTCAATTTTTAAAAAGCTTGTATCTATGACCTGTCAAGAACATTTACACATCTCAAGCTCTGATGCAATACCTGGAGCTCCCACTCTTGAAAGGTGCTTCTTTAATCTCATCTCGATCCATCATATACGCTACCAAAATATGCAGCTAGAATGAGTCATGGAGGAGGCAGGCTGAGGAGTGAGTGGGTCTCTAGCCAAAGCCATCCTTCAAAGTGCTGTCAGCAGCATCTGCAGAGCCAGAGCATCCGTGCAGGCCTGGTCGCTGGTCCCCAGCTGGAGAAATGGCCACAGGCTGGGGCCAGCATCCACTGAGCTTGCAGCAATCACCAGACCCACACTGATGCCCCTCGGCCCACGCCACCCCACACGTGGTCTCCCAGCACCCCCAACAGACCCAAGCATTCCAAAGAGGTTAAATGGCTTGCCTTGTTATTCAGTGTGGGGAAGATTCTGCTGCCACCCCAGCCCTGGGTGTGGGGTTGTTACAAAGAGACGGGAGGACAAATAAATGGCTTCCCATAGATAGGTAGGTGCTCACTGCTCCTGCGTGCACCTACCGGCCACATAGGAACCGAGGCCTACTAGGTGTTAGGCACCCTTTGAGGCTCTTTAACCATTTCTTACCTGCTGAGAGTAGACAAAGAATTTCCTGGGGGAAATTAGTGTTGCAAGTTTGACCAGTAAGTACGAAATTTACAATAAAATCACCAAGATCTGTATAATCATGAAGGCTTATTCAGGAGGACAAGCCCTTAATGGAATGAGTCACATATTGTCTCCATTTCTTCTGCCCTCACCTCTTTCAAATTGGTCAAACCCAAAGATCAGGATGTCCCAGACACCCACAGCCTGTAGTCCTCACGGTTCCTACAGAGCCTCTTTCCAGAACACAGTCCAGACAAATAAGGCAGTCTAGTTCATTTCAGGGCCTCACTAGCAATGAAATATAAAGAGGCATTTTTTAAAATTCTACAATGAAGGATAAAACAAATATCCTGTCGTTCAACTGCCAGGACAGAGGCAGCTGCTAAATCCCCTGAACTACAGGATGGCCCTAAGGAAACCAAAGACAGACTTCTGAGGTCCAAGAATAACAAGGTTTTCTCAAACCTCCCATTTGCATGACCTAATTGCTAGGTATGCAAATGGCCCCTCTGTGTCCCCTTGCAGGGCTGTGTTTTCACTGTATTTAGTAAGCTCATTACCCTCCCTGGACTCTCCACCTCAGAAGGGGAGCCAAGATCTAGTTTACGAGCCCCCTGCAGAGAGCCCCTGTTCATGGAAGGGCAGCTCACTCACCTGACCTTTGTGTCATCGTTGGCTCAGGACGCTTCACCCCCAGAGCTCATCAACTACTCTGCTGATAAATGCAGGCTGCCCATTTTACAGATGGGAAGACAAAGGGAGAATAACCCTGCACTAAAACACAGCATAGCTCTATAATTTCCTTAACTGGAGTCAGGAGCTCTCTTTAGAAGAGACAGAAGGACAGACAGAGAGACAGATGCTTTTTCCTTTCTCTTTACCAAAAGGGTGATAATCACATTTCCACTGACAGTAACAGTTCAGACAGACTTACTTTTATTTGATTAATATTTGGAAGGCAGACTCTGTCCACCACTCACCTCTACGTACCACTCCTTCCTGGTGAACCCCACTTTGCCATTTAGCAAAAAGCATGCTTTGCTA